GGTCTGTGGTCTCAGCCTCACAGTCAGAGGGTCTGTGGTCTCAGCGTCAGCCTCACAGTCAGAGGGTCTGTGGTCTCAGCGTCAGCCTCACAGTCAGAGGGTCTGTGGTCTCAGCCTCACAGTCAGAGGGTCTGTGGTCTCAGCCTCACAGTCAGAGGGTCTGTGGTCTCAGCGTCGGCCTCACAGTCAGAGGGTCTGTGGTCTCAGCCTCACAGTCAGAGGGTCTGTGGTCTCAGCGTCTGCCTCACAGTCAGAGGGTCTGTGGTCTCAGCCTCACAGTCAGAGGGTCTGTGGTCTCAGCCTCACAGTCAGAGGGTCTGTGGTCTCAGCGTCGGCCTCACAGTCAGAGGGTCTGTGGTCTCAGCCTCACAGTCAGAGGGTCTGTGGTCTCAGCGTCTGCCTCACAGTCAGAGGGTCTGTGGTCTCAGCGTCAGCCTCACAGTCAGAGGGTCTGTGGTCTCAGCGTCAGCCTCACAGTCAGAGGGTCTGTGGTCTCAGCGTCGGCCTCACAGTCAGAGGGTCTGTGGTCTCAGCCTCACAGTCAGAGGGTCTGTGGTCTCAGCCTCACAGTCAGAGGGTCTGTGGTCTCAGCGTCGGCCTCACAGTCAGAGGGTCTGTGGTCTCAGCGTCAGCCTCACAGTCAGAGGGTCTGTGGTCTCAGCGTCAGCCTCACAGTCAGAGGGTCTGTGGTCTCAGCCTCACAGTCAGAGGGTCTGTGGTCTCAGCCTCACAGTCAGAGGGTCTGTGGTCTCAGCGTCGGCCTCACAGTCAGAGGGTCTGTGGTCTCAGCCTCACAGTCAGAGGGTCTGTGGTCTCAGCGTCTGCCTCACAGTCAGAGGGTCTGTGGTCTCAGCCTCACAGTCAGAGGGTCTGTGGTCTCAGCCTCACAGTCAGAGGGTCTGTGGTCTCAGCGTCGGCCTCACAGTCAGAGGGTCTGTGGTCTCAGCCTCACAGTCAGAGGGTCTGTGGTCTCAGCGTCTGCCTCACAGTCAGAGGGTCTGTGGTCTCAGCGTCAGCCTCACAGTCAGAGGGTCTGTGGTCTCAGCGTCAGCCTCACAGTCAGAGGGTCTGTGGTCTCAGCGTCGGCCTCACAGTCAGAGGGTCTGTGGTCTCAGCCTCACAGTCAGAGGGTCTGTGGTCTCAGCCCCACAGTCAGAGGGTCTGTGGTCTCAGCGTCGGCCTCACAGTCAGAGGGTCTGTGGTCTCAGCCTCACAGTCAGAGGGTCTGTGGTCTCAGCGTCTGCCTCACAGTCAGAGGGTCTGTGGTCTCAGCGTCGGCCTCACAGTCAGAGGGTCTGTGGTCTCAGCCTCACAGTCAGAGGGTCTGTGGTCTCAGCGTCTGCCTCACAGTCAGAGGGTCTGTGGTCTCAGCGTCTGCCTCACAGTCAGAGGGTCTGTGGTCTCAGCGTCAGCCTCACAGTCAGAGGGTCTGTGGTCTCAGCGTCAGCCTCACAGTCAGAGGGTCTGTGGTCTCAGCGTCGGCCTCACAGTCAGAGGGTCTGTGGTCTCAGCGTCGGCCTCACAGTCAGAGGGTCTGTGGTCTCAGCCTCAGCCTCACAGTCAGAGGGTCTGTGGTCTCAGCGTCGGCCTCACAGTCAGAGGGTCTGTGGTCTCAGCGTCGGCCTCACAGTCAGAGGGTCTGTGGTCTCAGCCTCAGCCTCACAGTCAGAGGGTCTGTGGTCTCAGCGTCGGCCTCACAGTCAGAGGGTCTGTGGTCTCAGCGTCGGCCTCACAGTCAGAGGGTCTGTGGTCTCAGCCTCAGCCTCACAGTCAGAGGGTCTGTGGTCTCAGCGTCGGCCTCACAGTCAGAGGGTCTGTGGTCTCAGCCTCACAGTCAGAGGGTCTGTGGTCTCAGCCTCACAGTCAGAGGGTCTGTGGTCTCAGCCTCACAGTCAGAGGGTCTGTGGTCTCAGCGTCGGCCTCACAGTCAGAGGGTCTGTGGTCTCAGCCTCACAGTCAGAGGGTCTGTGGTCTCAGCGTCTGCCTCACAGTCAGAGGGTCTGTGGTCTCAGCCTCACAGTCAGAGGGTCTGTGGTCTCAGCCTCACAGTCAGAGGGTCTGTGGTCTCAGCGTCTGCCTCACAGTCAGAGGGTCTGTGGTCTCAGCGTCAGCCTCACAGTCAGAGGGTCTGTGGTCTCAGCGTCGGCCTCACAGTCAGAGGGTCTGTGGTCTCAGCCTCACAGTCAGAGGGTCTGTGGTCTCAGCCTCACAGTCAGAGGGTCTGTGGTCTCAGCGTCGGCCTCACAGTCAGAGGGTCTGTGGTCTCAGCCTCACAGTCAGAGGGTCTGTGGTCTCAGCGTCTGCCTCACAGTCAGAGGGTCTGTGGTCTCAGCGTCGGCCTCACAGTCAGAGGGTCTGTGGTCTCAGCCTCACAGTCAGAGGGTCTGTGGTCTCAGCGTCTGCCTCACAGTCAGAGGGTCTGTGGTCTCAGCGTCTGCCTCACAGTCAGAGGGTCTGTGGTCTCAGCGTCAGCCTCACAGTCAGAGGGTCTGTGGTCTCAGCGTCAGCCTCACAGTCAGAGGGTCTGTGGTCTCAGCGTCGGCCTCACAGTCAGAGGGTCTGTGGTCTCAGCGTCGGCCTCACAGTCAGAGGGTCTGTGGTCTCAGCCTCAGCCTCACAGTCAGAGGGTCTGTGGTCTCAGCGTCGGCCTCACAGTCAGAGGGTCTGTGGTCTCAGCGTCGGCCTCACAGTCAGAGGGTCTGTGGTCTCAGCGTCAGCCTCACAGTCAGAGGGTCTGTGGTCTCAGCCTCACAGTCAGAGGGTCTGTGGTCTCAGCGTCGGCCTCACAGTCAGAGGGTTACGCAACCACACAACTCTCTGTGCTTTACAAACTCTGGTCATTAGCAACAAAACAGAAGTGAGTGTGAGGAGGAGAGAGGAGGAAGGAGGAGAGAGGGGAGAGAGAAGAGAGAAAGGAGAGAGGAGGAGGGAGGAGAAGAGAGAGGAGAGGAAGAAGGAGAGAAGGAGAGGAGGAGACGAGAGAAGAAGAAAGGAGAGGGGAGAGAAGAGAAGAGCACGGCCTCGGGGTCCTGAGCTCGTTCCTTTTACACAAATAAAAAATGTAGTGAATAATCTGCAGAAAAGAACCTGCACTCACAGACTCAAGTCTCTGCTTCAGAAGAAGAAGAAGAAGAAGAAGAAGAAGAAGCGAGTTTCAATTCTCATTTAAATGGACTTTAAACAAAGAAAAAACGTGAATATTAATAACCTTTGTATCAACAGCAGCAGAATGACTCTGATCCACTTCTGCTCCGACTGTTTGCACCGGACGCAAAACTAAAGATTCACCACCACCAGAGAGATTATTACCAAATACTACAAACTAAACCTCACAATCTCATGTTTATCGATCCAGAAGCAGCGGAGGGAAAAGTCCATGTTCGCGGCTGTTTGTGAACGATGGAGAAAAGATGGAAATCCAAACACATTTGTCATTAACTAAACAAAATATATGCATTTCTGTGCAGCAAGAATCCGTCACCGCGGCCGCCGAGGTGCCAAGTAGCATTTGGGGGAAATATGACTACATGACGAATGGGTGTAATGCAGGGGAAGCCATGCAGAGAGGAGAGAGGCCCCCAGTAGCAGGGGCCCCCACTGTGAGAGAGAGAGAAAGAGAGAGAACCTCTGACCCAGCAGGCAAAACTAAAACACAATATGCTAATTACACATAGTCTCAAATGTCTCAAATGTGATTCTTAAAGTTAGTGTGAGCGCATTGTGGGTTGTGGCCTTCACTCTACTGCCATCTGCTGGAAGAGGACGCCATGACATGCAAGAAGTGTGTGTGAAAGTCCAACTCAGGTCTACAGAAAAATACAGCAATAATACTTCACATGAAACGGCCACAGACGCAGGAGGCTCCAGGACATGTTCAACCACGTTCAACCACATTTATCCACATTTATCCAAATGTATCCACATTTATCCACATTTATAACCATCTGTCTCTGTCACTTATGGACCAACGTCTCTATGTATTTTTTAACATTGCATTATTTGTGTCTGTGTTTGATTCTCTGATCTGTGTTGGCAAATCGACAGCTTATGTAAAGTCCTGAGAGAAACTACTGTTGTGATTTAGAGCTACACAAAAATAAATTGTATAGAATAAACTCATTCATGAACTATACACTCTGGATTAAATGTTAAAACACACACACACAGAGACACACACACTCACAAACATATATATAGAGAGAGATACACGTGTGACCAGGTAAACAGCACAACAAAATCCAAACAAGCGAATAACAATTATAACTTCTACACAATGCGACATGTTTTTTTCCTCCGACAATCCCTGGTTCTCACACAAAAACAGGGTTAAATCTCTGCTTATGAATGGAGAGAGCGGAGGCAGGAGTCCCGGGAGCCGACGGCAGTAAATTACAGCAGCTCCCGGAGGCTCCAGCCCTCTCTCTGGCACCGCGCACGGACAACACGGACGCGCAGCCAACAGCCTAATTAAATAGAAAGCACTATTTGTCACGGCGTGCGTCTAACAGCGGCTCCACGCGCTCGCGCACAAACATAAATGGATTTTATTACACTTATTATTATTATTATTATTATCATTATTATTGTTAATGCCACAGCACGCGACACACATGGAAATACAGGAGTTGTCAAGACTTACGGTGAGACGCTGCTCGCGGGGAAAGTTATGGTGGAAAACAAACAGGTCCAAACCAGGTCCGGGTTTAGGGTCCAGACTCCGGTCTCTGGTGGTTCTGGTGGCTCTGGTGCTGGTGGTGGGGGTTCGGTGTGGTGCCGGCCGTGCTCTCCTCCGCTCGGTCTGCAGCTCCGCTCTGCCTCCTGCTCCTGCTCCTCCTGCTGATGCTGTGGATGCTCCCGATGCGCGGCCCACTTTAAACTCTGATGACGTCATGGGCACGCATGGCTCGCGCGTCTTGTTCGCGGTGTTTTTATATTTGCTTGTTTTGTTAGTTTTTGCTTATCCAAGAAATGTGGCTATTTTTTCTGTATGTATGTGTATAGCATGTGTGTATAAGTGTATAGCATGTGTGTATAAGTGTATAGCCTGTGTGTATAAGTGTATAGCATGTTGTTATATGTGTATAGCATGTGTGTATAAGTGTATAGCATGTGTGTATAAGTGTATAGCATGTGTGTATATGTGTATAGCATGTGTGTATAAGTGTATAGCATGTGTGTATAAGTGTATAGCATGTGTGTATAAGTGTATAGCATGTGTGTATAAGTGTATAGCATGTGTGTGTATGTGTATAGCATGTGTGTATAAGTGTATAGCCTGTGTGTATAAGTGTATAGCATGTGTGTATAAGTGTATAGCATGTGTGTGTATGTGTATAGCATGTGTGTATAAGTGTATAGCATGTGTGTATAAGTGTATAGCATGTGTGTATAAGTGTATAGCCTGTGTGAATAAGTGTATAGCATGTGTGTATAAGTGTATAGCTTGTGTGTATATGTGTATAGCATGTGTGTATAAGTGTATAGCATGTGTGTATATGTGTATAGCATGTGTGTATAAGTGTATAGCCTGTGTGAATAAGTGTATAGCATGTGTGTATAAGTGTATAGCTTGTGTGTATATGTGTATAGCATGTGTGTATAAGTGTATAGCATGTGTGTATAAGTGTATAGCATGTGTGTGTATGTGTATAGCATGTGTGTATAAGTGTATAGCATGTGTGTATAAGTGTATAGCATGTGTGTATATGTGTATAGCATGTGTGTATAAGTGTATAGCATGTGTGTATAAGTGTATAGCATGTGTGTATAAGTGTATAGCATGTGTGTATAAGTGTATAGCATGTGTGTGTATGTGTATAGCATGTGTGTATAAGTGTATAGCCTGTGTGTATAAGTGTATAGCATGTGTGTATAAGTGTATAGCATGTGTGTGTATGTGTATAGCATGTGTGTATAAGTGTATAGCATGTGTGTATAAGTGTATAGCATGTGTGTATAAGTGTATAGCCTGTGTGAATAAGTGTATAGCATGTGTGTATAAGTGTATAGCTTGTGTGTATATGTGTATAGCATGTGTGTATAAGTGTATAGCATGTGTGTATATGTGTATAGCATGTGTGTATAAGTGTATAGCCTGTGTGAATAAGTGTATAGCATGTGTGTATAAGTGTATAGCTTGTGTGTATATGTGTATAGCATGTGTGTATAAGTGTATAGCATGTGTGTATAAGTGTATAGCATGTGTGTGTATGTGTATAGCATGTGTGTATAAGTGTATAGCATGTGTGTATAAGTGTATAGCATGTGTGTATAAGTGTATAGCATGTGTGTATAAGTGTATAGCCTGTGTGTATAAGTGTATAGCATGTGTGTATAAGTGTATAGCTTGTGTGTATATGTGTATAGCATGTGTGTATAAGTGTATAGCATGTGTGTATAAGTGTATAGCCTGTGTGTATAAGTGTATAGCATGTGTGTATAAGTGTATAGCATGTGTGTATAAGTGTATAGCATGTGTGTATAAGTGTATAGCATGTTGTTATATGTGTATAGCATGTTGTTATATGTGTATAGCATGTGTGTATAAGTGTATAGCATGTGTGTATGTGTATAGCATGTGTGTACGTGTATAGCATGTGTGTATAAGTGTATAGCATGTGTGTATAAGTGTATAGCATGTGTGTATAAGTGTATAGCCTGTGTGTATAAGTGTATAGCCTGTGTGTATAAGTGTATAGCATGTGTGTATGTGTATAGCATGTGTGTATAAGTGTATAGCATGTGTGTACGTGTATAGCATGTGTGTATAAGTGTATAGCATGTGTGTATAAGTGTATAGCATGTGTGTATAAGTGTATAGCCTGTGTGTATAAGTGTATAGCCTGTGTGTATAAGTGTATAGCATGTGTGTATGTGTATAGCATGTGTGTATAAGTGTATAGCATGTGTGTACGTGTATAGCATGTGTGTATAAGTGTATAGCATGGTTACCATAGTTACCTGGAATGATTTCAAACGGCCATCCAGCCTCATGTGAAACCCTCTGGTCTCTGGACTGTTGTGATGTCACATGAGCACAGACCCGTACAGTTTTAGTCCTAACTTCATCTGTACCGTTCAGCACCACGGACAGTTTCAGCCCCGCGGACAGTTTCAGCACCGCAGACAGTTTCAGCACTGCAGACAGTTTCAGCACCGCAGACAGTTTCAGCACCGCAGACAGTTTCAGCACTGCAGACAGTTTCAGCACCGCAGACAGTTTCAGCACCGCAGACAGTTTCAGCACTGCAGACAGTTTCAGCACCGCAGACAGTTTCAGCACTGCAGACAGTTTCAGCACCGCAGACAGTTTCAGCACCGCAGACAGTTTCAGCACCACGGACAGTTTCAGCACCGCAGACCGTTTCAGCACCGCAGACCGTTTCAGCACCACGGACAGCTCCACTTCTCGCTGACGCAATCATCATGTTCTGAACATAATTATTGTAATTATCGTCTATTTTTCCTTCAGAGCTTCTCGTCCAGTCAGCCGCAAAGACCAGGACTGAGGCTGAGGCAGGATTCACGGGACACAGAGCTACACAGAGCCACGCAAAGCAACATAGAGCAACACAGAGTAACACAGAGCAACATAGAGTAACACAGAGCAACACAGAGTAACATAGAGCAACACAGAGCAACACAGAGTAACACAGAGCTACACATAGTAACATAGAGCCACACAAAGTAACACAGAGCAACACAGAGCAACACAGAGTAACACAGAGCTACACATAGCAACATAGAGCAACACAGAGTAACACAGAGCAACACAGAGCAACATAGAGCAACACAGAGCAACACAGAGCAACATAGAGCAACACAGAGCAACACAGAGCTACACAAAGCAACACAGAGTAACATAGAGCAACACAGAGCAACACAGAGTAACATAGAGCAACACAGAGTAACACAGAGCAACACAGAGCAACACAGAGCTACACAAAGCAACACAGAGTAACATAGAGCAACACAGAGCAACACAGAGTAACATAGAGCAACACAGAGCAACACAGAGCTACACAGAGCCACGCAAAGCAACACAAAGTAACATAGAGCAACACAGAGTAACATAGTAAGTAAGTAAGTAAGCTTTATTTATATACCGCCTTTCACAGACCAGAGTCACAAAGCGGTTTACAATTGTTATTTTTTGGGCACTTGTCTCTCACTCCACACAGAGACAGGAGCGAGGTCGCCGAACAGGAGGCACATGCCAGACCTATTGTACATATTTTTAGTGGTAGGGGAAACCGGAGGACCCGGAGGAAACCTACGCAGACACGGGGAGAACATGCAAACTCCACTCAGAAAGGCCCTGGTCCGGCCGGGATTCGAACCCAGGACCTTCTTGCTGAGAGGCGAGAGTGCTATCCACTCCGCCACCCTGCCGCCCATAACATAGAGCCACACAAAGTAACACAGAGCAACACAGAGCAACACAGAGTAACACAGAGCTACACATAGCAACATAGAGATCTGTTTTTACAACAACAGGTACAAGAGAAAGTGTTTGTGAAATACTCTGGAGACCACAGGAGAAAAGACAACACAGAGCTACACAAAGCAACACAGAGTAACATAGAGCAACACAGAGCAACACAGAGGAACACAGAGGAACACAGAGTAACATAGAGCAACACAGAGCAACACAGAGGAACACAGAGCAACACAGAGGAACACAGAGGAACACAGAGGAACATAGAGCAACACAGAGCAACACAGAGCAACACAGAGGAACACAGAGTAACACAGAGCAACACAGAGCAACAGAGAGGAACACAGAGGAACACAGAGCAACACAGAGCAACACAGAGCAACAGGACATAGGTCATTTCAGATTCACGCAGCTAAAATCTAGAACTTCCTGAACTCTTCAACTCCAGTTTTATGATTATTTTCTTGTTGATTTTTTTTTTTTTTTAAACAAAATGTGTTTCTTGTTTAGATTGAACCAAAACTGGACTAAATATAAAGATAAACACATTGGTTATATTTAACTATTTAACTTTTAATGATGCGTTTGGTTCAAATGTTAGAACATCTGAGAGAACAGATGATGTATAACATGCCATGGAACATGTCACATGACCATCAATGCTGCAGGTTCATGATAATCACTGACATCATTCAGGAGCCACTCAGAAGTTTGCCCCCCACCTCCACCTCCTCCCTACCTCCACCATCTTTCCCGCCTGCGCCTCCCCTCGGCCTCCACCTCCTCCCCAACTCCACCTCCTCCCTGCCTCCACCTTCTCCCCACCTCCACCTCTTCTCTGCCTCCACCTCCCCCCCACCCCCACCTCCTCCCCTCCTCCACCTCCCCCCCCACCTCCACCTCTTCTCCGCCTCCACCTCCTCCCCACCCCCACCTCCTCCCCTCCTCCACCTCCTCCCCACCCCCACCTCCTCCCCACCTTCACCTCCTCCCCACCTTCACCTCCTCCCCACCTTCACCTCCTCCCCACCTCCACCTCCTCCCTGCATCTTTTCTCCTGTGGTCTCCAGAGTATTTCACAAACACTTTCTCTTGTACCTGTTGTTGTAAAAACAGATCTCTCCAAACGAGGTCTGGGAGAACATCAGATTTAAGTTTGTGAACGACCCTGTGCCCTGTTCACTGAGGATCCGCGGCTGTGTTTATCTGCGCTCTGTCTCGGTCTGTTCCTGTGTGACCTGAGCATGTCCCCCGCGGCTTCGCTCTTCGTCAAACTAACTTGTGGGTCTTTGTTTGTCCTCTCCTCATCGTCAGAGTGGTCCCAGAGGACAGAGCTCCGACCCTCCGCCTCTCGCTCAGGAACACGGAGCTTTCCCTCTTCTCTCCATTAGACGCAGAGAGAGATCAGAACAAACAGTTCCAGGGACGGGTCCCGGAGCAGAGGCGGCCGCTCGACCCCAATCAGACCGACATCAGACCAACATCAGACCGACCGTGATGAGAAAGACCCTCATTTCACTGGAAAGACGTGTGTGTGCGTGTGTGTATGTGTGTGTATGTGCGTGTGTGTGTATGTGTGTGTGTGTGTGTGCGTGTGTGTGTATGTGTGTGTGTGTGTGTTTGCGTGTGTGTGTGTGTACATCAAGAACAAATGCAAACTCGTTCCTGTCCACATGAAATTGGAGAAGTTGGGAGCTCGGATTGCAGATGCTGCTCCCTCTGCACCACAACAATCTGATACAGCTGACACTAGAGAGAAAGAGAGAGAGAGATGTATATATAGAGAGAGAGACAGAGAGAGATAGAGGAGAGGAAGATAGAGCGAGAGAGAGAAAGAGAGAGAGAGATAGAGAGAAAGGCACAGAGAGCAAGAGATAGAGAGGAAGGTAGAGAGAGCGAGAGAGGGACATAGATAGAGAGACAGAGAGAGAGAGATAGAGAGACAGAGAGAAGGAGATAGAGAGACATAGATAGAGAGAGCGAGAGAGGGACATAGATAGAGAGACAGAGAGAGAGAGATGGAGAGAGAGAGAGAGAGAGAGACAGAGAGGGAGCGAGAGACAGAGAGAGAGAGAGACTCGAGGCCTTCATCTACAAGTTGTTGTCAGAGAGGGTCCACAGTGAGAGACCCCCATGGATCAGGACACAGTGACATCATGAGTAGAACCAGTTTACAACATGTGTTTTATACAAGTCATGACTGTATAGAACTACAGCAGTTCATTTACACTTAAACATGTTTGGACCAAATCTGTTCACACCATTTATCTGGACTTTATCTGGACTGAATTATGTTACTAAGAAACCGCTGTTGGACAGTGTGTCTTTCTTCTAGGATGCTAACAACATTCAATGGGAATTAGTATTTTTGTATTTTGTATTCGTTCTTGAAGCCTTGTAATGTAAACTGCTGGTGTGACTGCCCTCTGCTGGTCAGATGTAAGACTGCACTCAACACAAACACACTGATGTTTCAATAAGAAATAAAACACAACTTGAACAACAACAATAAATAATACCTAACCCTAATAATAACATAATAATAGTAATAATAGTAATGAACCGTTGGTAACGTGTGGTTGTCGCCAGCAGAGGGCGCACAGGCAACACCCGGAAGAGCCGTGGTGTTTTGGTGACGTCTCCAGGCTCCGTATCCGCACGCGCCTCAATCTACATCACTGACAGTCCGTGATCTGCCTCCAGCTCCATCAGCACAATCAGCACCATCAGCAGCAGCAGTATCAGCAGCAGCAGCAGCACCTGTGGCTCTGACCGACCCCCCTGGAGACCCCCCCTGGAGACCCCCACCACACCTGAACCATGCAGAAGCGGAGGAAGCCCGAGCCCATCCAGCTCAACCCCGTCCCGGATGGACACACCATCAACGGCACTGGAGCCTCCGAGTGAGTGAAACATCCCATAATCATTCATCTGTAACCATAGCAACCTGCTGCTGTCTGCGCGCGCGGCTCCAGAGGCCGACCATCACGCGCACTCACAACACTTTAGACTTTTTATTTTGAGTATTATTTGCTTAATATGCAGTAAAACCCGAAGAAGTAAGTGAACAATAACTCTATACTGAAATACCTAGCGTTAGCATAATAAAGAAACAAGTGGCGCGGTGGCTGAGTGGTTAGCTTCTGGTTCGAATCCCAGTCGGTACAGTGTCTTTCTGAGTGGAGTTTGCTTGTTCTCCTTGTGTCTGCGTAGGTTTCCTCCGGGTGCTCCGGTTTCCCCTATCTCATGCATATGATTATATTTAGATGTTATTCTAGTATTGTTCCTCATTCCTTCTGTTGTGTACCTGCTGATGCAACACTGACATTTCCTCGCTTTGGGACTAATACAGGTTTTCTTCATCTTTATCTTAGACCATAAAAAACTGCCAGAATGTTCTTTTGGCTTCAGTCCAACTCTGTCCCACACAAACATCTCGCTCTAACGATGAATTCTAGACAATGTTATAAACCTCCTGCTGATCCTGTAACGAGGCGTGTTTGAAAGTCCTGGAAGTAAATCAGTGTAAAGACGATGAGATATATATATATATATATATATATATATATATATAAATATATGATATAGATATATATATATATATATCATATATATATCATTTCAGTATACACATGTTGTAACTGCATTCTTGCATGTATTTGAATCATGTTTAGATAGATAGATACTTTACTGATCCTCGTAGGAGAAATTCTGGTGTCCGGTAGCAGCAAAAATAAAATTGATCATTCTGAAAAGCTTTTAGTATCAATCAGCCACAGGCCTTCAAGGTCCCACAATGCACTGCTTCCTCACAGTTTAATTCCTGTTTGAGCATTATGTAGGAAACTCACGTAAACATCTGAACTCCAGTGAAACTCAAGCCGATCCCGCGCACCGGAAGTCTCATGTTGTCATAACTAAAACGCAGAAGTGGTGCGTGCATAAAGCCCAATGGGGAAACGAGTTTAACACAGTCACAATGTGTCAGATTTAGACCAAAAACACCAGATTAAAGATTATTTTTTTACCCCACATTGTGTCATTTTTTGCAGTGTGACCTGTGTGTGTTATGTTTGATTGTTACGAGCACATGGATGTAAAAGGTGCAGATCTGACGTTACATAACCTGATCCCGGCCACACGCAGCATTTCATCATCTCTTCTCACATTAACAGTGGATTTATTATGAAACCTCCTGAAACCAGTCTCTCCACAGCGTTTGTCCCGAGTCCATCACAATCCCCCAGGTCCTTAAGTCTCAGGTGGAGCGGGCCCGGACCCTGAAGCCGCTGAAGTCGCTGTTGGTTCAAAGATCTGAGACTAAAAGATAATTCTACAAAGACTCGCTGTTGTTCGAAGTGTGATCGTTACGAAAGATCTGTGAAAATACAACAGACGCAGTGAAGGCAAAAACCAGACCTGCATGAACTACACTGTACAAAATTATCTCATATGAGGTCAGAAAAGCTTGAATTGAGTGGTTATTATTTTAATCTGACACATTCTGACTTGATAGATAGATAGATAGATAGATAGATACTTTATTGATCCCGTCTGAGAAATTCAGATGTCCAGTAGCAGCAAAAATAAGAACTACAATTGATCATTCAAAAAAGCTAACAATAGTAAAAATCAGCCACAGCCCTTCAGGTCACAGCAACAGAGGTGGAGTAGCCTCTGGGTGGTGCAGGACGGGTCACAGCAGCAGAGGTGGAGTAGCCTCTGGGTGGATCAGGACAGGTCACAGCAGCAGAGGTGGAGTAGCCTCTGGGTGGAGCAGGACGGGTCACAGCAGCAGAGGTGGAGTAGCCTCTGGGTGGAGCAGGACGGGTCACAGCAGCAGAGGTGGAAGTCAGAGGTGAAAGTCTTAATAAGTATTGAATTTTGAAACAATGTTTTCCAAACCTTGAAAAGTCTTGAATTTTGTTTGAAAGTCTCAATAAAGTGTGGGAAATGTTTCGTAAAATGTTACAGTGTGCTCAAAGGCATTGTGGAATGAGAAATATGAAGGTAGGCTATAACTGGTCACTGTACTGTATTAGCCCGAGTGACGTTCAATCAACGCTAGATTTTTGTGATGTCACTGCTACGGTCTTGGGGAAAAAAAATATCAGTTTTTAAAAAGTCTGGAAAAATCACAATCTACCTGTAGATCTGTAAAGTCTGAGTCTAAGAATGTGCTCAGATTAAGACACATTTGAACATTCTTTGACTCCTGTGAATTACTGAAAAACTATTTGTGAGATTTTGGATAAAGACATCTGTGCCTCTTTACTGTGGCTCCAGCCTCTTTGGAGAAATGTGTCCAGACAGAATCTACACGAGACGAGTTCTGTATCTCTGTCTCGTTAAACTCTGTGAGGTTGCTTTCTCTCGTGGTTTTGGTTCGTCAAAACGTGGATTATTTGTTGGGCTGGGAATCGGCAAAGTTTTGGGTTAGTTTTTAACAGTTATGTGAGCTTCAAAGCTGTAGGAGCCACCTGTGGGATAGTTTGTGAACAATCTACAGTTTCCACAGAAATCCACAGAAATCTGTTGTTGTACAAATGTTTATGGAGAGAACGTTTCCAGAACATAAGAAAATACACACACAAAAATATATATGTAATAAAGAAACATTTGTGTGAAGTCAGGTCGCTGTATAGAAAGTGCCCTAGAGTCATTTTTATTCCATTTGAATAAGGCTCTCTCTCCTCCAGCTCCTCTTTAGAGCTTTCTTTAGAGCCACCTCTCCCTCTCATCTCCTCTCCCTCTCATCTCCTCTCCCTCTCATCTCCTCTTCCTCTCATCTCCTCTTCCTCCCTCCGTCCTCGTGCCCACGCCGCCCACAGATCTCACTCTTGTTTCCATGGTTATGAATCGCTCTCTTTCCTGGACCAGAGGAAGAGGAGGAGGAGGAAAAGGAAGAGGAGGAAGAGGAGGAGGAGGAGATTTAACTTTAATTCGTCTCACTGTCCCTTGTTTGGTTTGAGTCTCGCTCTCACAGTTTTACTATCTGTAACTCTCAAACTGTCAAACCTTCATCTTCTTCCTCCTCTTCCTCTTGTATGAACAATGTCAGTTTTTATGCAAGACTTATTTTCATTGTTGATGCAAAATGGGGCAGAAACTTCAAAGCACTACTGCACTTTTCTGTCTCTAATGTTACTTTGTATCTGTATTCTTTCAGATGTGTGTGTTTGTGTGTACGTGTGTGTGTGTGTGTGTGTGTGTGTGTGTGTTTGTGTTTGTGTTTGTGTGTGTGTGTAATAACGTTTTTTTTTATCTGACTCTCCATCACCAAAACCACTATTCTGTATTTTTGTTACGCACACACACACACGCACGCGCACACGCACACGCACACACACACACACACACACACACACACACGTACACACACACACACACATGCACACACGGGTAAAATAGCTACAACCATCAAAACCTATAAAGCTGGTTGCCGGAGTAACCAGCTGAGTTTGTGTCTTGTGTCTTGGTGGGTTTCCTCCAGGCGCTCCGGTTTCCCCCACCAGCCCATAACACGCAGCATAGGCTCATGTTATTGTCTAACGGGCTCACAATCAAGACGTACCTGGAAACAAACGCACACTTTAACACTTTACTAACACACAACCAGCTCGAGCGAGACCAGAACGAGCCGTCGTCATGGAAACGTGTGGATCAAGAGGTTGTTTTTGTCGGTTGAATAGAAAAAACCTTTGTGGTCAAGGACTCTTCTCTTTGTGTCAGAATCCTTGTGATCTGACTTTTGATCCAACACAAAGTCACAAAAACTGGAAGATTTTCGGGAAGATTAACGACGCCTTTAGTCATTTATTTGTTGTTAAAAGTTTTATTATTCTGTTGCCGAGATTCTTATTATTTGTGTTTCTCGCTGTGTTTTGTGTTTTCTGCATCGTCTTGTTTTCGAGATGCTGGAAAAACGCTGAATTCTATCGATTAAAACATTCTTCTTCGTTTACAGTAATTTTGTTTTATAAATGTATACTGTTTGAAAAGATACATCAGGCTCTATCGCAATCCAAACAAAACAAACAAAAAATAACTAACAATTTCAGTTACACTTTTTTCAATTCAGAAAAGGATTAATTTGGCGATAAAACTTAAAAAGTACATGATTTTTGACTGAAAATGAAATAATAATAACACTTTTTTCATAAATATTTTAGCCTCATTTTAGCCACACCAGGGCTCCCAAAACGCTGAAACTGCTAAAACTCCCAGAGCCGCCATTTTGACTGCTCCCATTTGAATCAATGGAATCATGAAATGGAATTCTAATTTATTTTTATTAAAAGTAGGTCATTTATAATTCACATATTTTACCTTTCAAACTAAAACCTGAAACTGATGAACGTATCTGTAACTTAAAATACAGAACAGAACAGTTTGTTGAAAGGCAAATGCTAACCGCTAACAGTAAACAGTGTGTTGCCATGGTAACTAGCACAAAAAAATGATTTCATAAAAACAGTGACATATGAATAAACTATAAATTGAGGCACACGTTAAAAACTAAAACCCGTCAAATTAGTGCTAATATAAGTGTGTTCTGTCAGAGCGAATCTGGAGTCTCTGCAGAAGAAGCTGCAGGAGCTGGAGCTGGACGAGCAGCAGAGGAAGAGGCTGGAGGCCTTCTTCACTCAGAAGCAGAAAGTGGGAGAGCTCAAGGACGACGACTTCGACAAGATCTGTGAGCTGGGGGCCGGCAACGGGGGCGTGGTCTTCAAGGTGTCCCACAGACCCTCCGGACTCATCATGGCCCGCAAGGTCAGTCCCAGGGGGGTCCGAGGTCAGTCCCAGGGCGGGCCAAAGTCAGTCCCAGGGTAAGGTCAGTCCCAAGGGGGTCCGAGGTCAGTCCCAGGGCGGGCCAAAGTCAGTCCCAGGGTAAGGTCAGTCCCAGGGGGGTCCGAGGTCAGTCCCAGGGGGGTCAAAGGTCAGTCCCAGGGCGGGCCAAAGTCAGTCCCAGGGTAAGGTCAATCCCAGGGGGGTCCAAAGTCAGTCCCAGGGTAAGGTCAGTCCCAGGGGGGTCCGAGGTCAGTCCCAGGGCGGGCCAAAGTCAGTCCCAGGGTAAGGTCAGTCCCAGGGGGGTCCGAGGTCAGTTCCAGGGGGGTCAAAGGTCAGTCCCAGGGCGGGCCAAAGTCAGTCCCAGGGTAAGGTCAGTCCCAGGGGGGTCCGAGGTCAGTCCCAGGGCGGGCCAAAGTCAGTCCCAGGGTAAGGTCAGTCCCAGGGGGGTCCGAGGTCAGTCCCAGGGCGGTCCAAGTGAAGGTCTGAGATCATGGACAAAAGTACATTCTCTTTGTATTTGGATCGGACAGATTCAGGACAAACTATGGTTGTGTCCTTAGGCAAGACACTTCCCCCGCATTAGAATGAGTCTGGTGTGTGTGTGAATGGTTGGTGGTGGTGGGAGGGGCCGTTGGCACAGACTGGTTTGCCTCACTTCTGTCAGTGTGCCCCAGGGCAGCTGTGGCTACAGTAGTCGTTTATCACCTGTGTTTGGAGAGAATGAATATCAATGTGAGAGTCCTGAACAGTGCTGTAAAAAACCCATGGATTATTATTATTATAATTATGGATGATCTATTATTGTGTTTGCTGTGATCAGCTGATCCACCTGGAGATCAAACCCGCAATCCGGAACCAGATCATCCGTGAGCTGCAGGTTCTGCACGAGTGTAACTCTCCGTACATCGTGGGATTTTACGGAGCCTTCTACAGCGACGGCGAGATCAGCATCTGCATGGAACACATGGTAAACTATATATATATATATATATATATATATATATATATATATATATATATATATATATAGATGGAACACATGGTAACTATATATATATATATATATATATATATATATATATATATGGAACACATGGTAACTTATATATATATATATATATATATATATATATATATATGGAACACATGGTAACTATATATATATATATATATATATATATAGTTACCATGTGTTCCATATATATATATATATATATGGAACACATGGTAACTATATATATATACAGTATGTATATATATATATATATATATATATGGAACACATGGTAACTATATATATATATATATATATATATATATATATATATATATATATATATATATATGGAACACCTGGTAACTATATATATATATATATATATATATATGGAACACATGTTAACTATATATATATATATATATATATATATATATATGGAACACATGGTAACTATATATATATATATATGGAACACATGGTAACTATATATATATATATGGAACACATGGTAACTATATATATATATATATATATATGGAACACATGGTAACTATATATATATATATATATATATATATACAGTGCCTTGCGAAAGTATTCGGCCCCCTTGAACCGTTCAACATTTCGCCATATTTCAGTCTTCAAACATAAAGATATAAAAAATGTATTTTTTGTCATGAATCAACAACAAGTGGGACACAATCGTGAAGTGGAATGACATTTATTGGATAATTTAAACTTTTTTAACAAATAAAAAACTGAAAAGTGGGGCGTGCAATATTATTCGGCCCCTTTACTTTCAGTGCAGCAAACTCAGTCCAGAAGTTCAGAGAGGATCTTTGAATGATCCAATGTTGTCCTAAATGACTGATGATGATAAATAGAATGCACCTGTGTGTAATCAAGTCTCCGTATAAATGCACCTGCTCTTTGATAGTCTCAGGGTTCTGTTTAAAGCACAGAGAGAACCATGAAGACAAAGGAACACACCAGGCAGGTCCGAGATACTGTTGTGGAGAAGTTTAAAGCCGGATTTGGATACAAAAAGATTTCCCAAGCTTTAAACATCTCAAGGAGCACTGTGCAAGCAATTATATTGAAATGGAAGGAGTATCAGACCACTACAAATCTACCAAGACCCGGCCGTCCCTCCAAACTTTCATCTCAAACAAGGAGAAGACTGATCAGAGATGCAGCCAAGAGGCCCATGATCGCTCTGGATGAACTGCAGATAACTACAGCTGAGGTGGGGATGGTGTGTTCAGGGTGATGAGCTGTGTTGCTTTTACGCCAAACATATTGTTTTGCATTGTGGCCAAAAAGTTGATTTTGGTTTCATCTGACCAGCACCTTCTTCCACATGTTTGGTGTGTCTCCCAGGTGGCTTGTGGCAAACTTTAAGAGACTTTTTATGGATATCTTTGAGAAATGGCCACTCTTCCATAAAGGCCAGATTTGTGCAGTGCACGACTGATTGTTGTCCTATGGACAGACTCTCCCACCTCAGCTGTAGTTATCTGCAGTTCATCCAGAGTGATCATGGGCCTCTTGGCTGCATCTCTGATCAGTCTTCTCCTTGTTTGAGATGAAAGTTGGGAGGGACGGCCGGGTCTTGGTAGATTTGTAGTGGTCTGATACTCCTTCCATTTCAATATAATTGCTTGCACAGTGCTCCTTGAGATGTTTAAAGCTTGGGAAATCTTTTTGTATCCAAATCCGGCTTTAAAGTTCTCCACAACAGTATCTCGGACCTGCCTGGTGTGTTCCTTTGTCTTCATGGGTCTCTCTGCGCTTTAAACAGAACCCTGAGACTATCAAAGAGCAGGTGCATTTATACGGAGACTTGATTACACACAGGTGCATTCTATTTATCATCATCAGTCATTTAGGACAACATTGGATCATTCAAAGATCCTCACTGAACTTCTGGAGTGAGTTTGCTGCACTGAAAGTAAAGGGGCTGAATAATATTGCACGCCCCACTTTTCAGTTTTTTATTTGTTAAAAAAGTTTAAATTGTCCAATAAATTTAGTTCCACTTCACGATTGTGTCCCACTTGTAGTTGATTCATGACAAAACATTAAAATGTTATATCTTTATGTTTGAAGCCTGAAATGTGGTGAAATGTTGAAAGGTTCAAGGGGGCCGAATACTTTCGCAAGGCACTGTATATATATATATATATATGGAACACATGGTAACATATATATATATATATTATATATTACAGTATATATATGGGTCTACACATATATCTCTGATCTCATTATGTGCCTCTGTCACAGGACGGAGGATCTTTGGACCAGTCTCTGAAGTTGGCAGGAAAGATCCCAGAGCAGATCCTGGGAAAAGTCAGCATCGCGGTGAGAGAGCATCAACTACAATACACCAACTGGTCAATTCAATTCACAGTCTCTCTCTGGTCTCTCTCTCTGGTCCCTCTCTCTGGTCTCTCTCTGGTCCCTCTCTCTGGTCTCTCTTTCTGGTCTCTCTCTGGTCTCTCTCTGGTCCCTCTCTCTGGTCTCTCTTTCTGGTCTCTCTCTGGTCTCTCTCTCTGGTCTCTCTCTCTGGTCTCTCTCTCTGGTCCCTCTCTCTGGTCTCTCTCTGGTCCCTCTCTCTGGTCTCTCTCTGGTCCCTCTCTCTGGTCTCTCTTTCTGGTCTCTCTCTGGTCTCTCTCTCTGGTCTCTCTTTCTGGTCTCTCTCTGGTCCCTCTTTCTGATCTCTCTCTGGTCTCTCTCTGGTCTCTCTCTCTGATCTCCCACTGGTCTCTCTCAAACATGTTGCTCCTACTTGGTTTTGGTTCCATTCACTATCATTAAATGCACCTGTCTATAAAAACAGAACAAACAGGTGCCTCCATTTCCCCAAACGTGTCTCGTCTGTTGCTATGAGGTTGCTATGAGAGAATTTTCCTTCAGATTTTTGCTTTTAGATGAATCTTTCAAACAATGGATCCAGGAGAGAAATAATCATTTGTGTAAAATCTCTGCAGGTTCTTAAAGGCTTGTCGTATCTGAGAGAGAAACACAAGATCATGCACCGAGGTGAGTTTAAACTGTTTAAACGTTATTATTATTGTCTGTGTTGTTAAATGTCACTTTGTTCCGGTGTCAGACGTGAAACCCTCCAACATCCTGGTGAACTCTCGAGGGGAGATCAAACTGTGTGACTTCGGGGTCAGTGGGCAGCTCATCGACTCCATGGCCAACTCCTTCGTCGGAACACGCTCCTATATGTCTGTGAGTGAGGATTCTGACCAATCAGGAGACGCCACACGGACCGTAACACGTCAATTATTACTGGACGAGAAAATAAGAAGCGACCGTAGGTTTATTCTCAGGAGAAAATATCTGCAAAAACACTGAACTTTAAGCTTTTGGTTCTGATACGTTACGTCTAAACTGGGAGGATTTAAGCCTGACTTAAAGGTGCAGTTAGCGATGTTGTTAGCTTAGCCGTAGCACCAACTGGAAACCACTCCCCCCTCCCCTCCCTCTCCACCAATCCACTCCCCCTCCACCAAACCACTCCCCCTCCCCCTCCACCAAACCACTCCCCCCTCCCTCCCTCTCCACCAAACCAAACATCCAGCATTGTCTTTTCTTTGTCACAGGGAGAGTGAAGCAAACGTGAAATTGGCATTTTCTGTTCAGCCATTTTAAGTTTTAGAAAATCCGATAACTCCGGTGCACTCTGAGAAACAGGAAGAGGCTGAAGGGGGTAAACACATCCCATTGGTTCGTTGGAGATGAATGAATCCCATTGGTTTATTTTTATCGGTCCGCTCCAAAATATTTTCTATTAATTTTTGTAGACTATAGACATCTGGTCAGTTCCATTACTATTTGAAAACGCATGAAAACTTGATACTTTTAGGGTTTAGAGACGTTTTCCCACAATATTTAAAAAATGTGTCGTCTGTCATGTCAAACACAGTGGTTTCTCGTGTACATTGATTAACATTTATCAACATTTCTGGGCAGTGGTCTCTCCTTATGGACCAATGGCTCCTATGTGTTTGTTATTCTACAAACTGGTTGATTCTCTGATCTGTTGTTGGCAAATCGACAGCTTTGGAAAGTCCCTCGAGAAGACCGCTGTTGAACGTAGTTAAAAAATACATATTATAAAAGTTTGTCTTCCTTCTGAGGTCTAGATTCACAACATTTACAGTGCAGTACTAAACAAAGCAGTGAGTAAAGTATAGTTATGTTTGGGTCCTAAACTGTGCGGTGTTTCCAGCCGGAGCGTCTGCAGGGGACACATTACTCTGTCCAGTCCGACATCTGGAGCATGGGGCTGTCGCTGGTGGAGATGGCCATCGGGCGGTTCCCCATCCCGCCTCCGGACGCTCAGGAGCTGGAGCAGATCTTTGGGGTCTGTTTGGACGGAGAGGCCACAGGGAGCGAGGCCTCGTCTGTGCCCCGGCCCGGCCGTGAGTCCGCTGCTGTTTAAGGAATATACGTGTGTTCATAGTGTCAGACCTGCAAACCTACAGTATAACACTATTGTATGTAAATATCAGTGTCCTTGGTTTGTAGATTTGAATCATGTATTTATGTGACAGATGGACTTCTTAATTCTGTATTGTAAAAGAAATCTATAGAAATGTCTTGGTTTAATAACAAATAAGTAATTTCTCAGTTTAATTTTAAAACGTAAATGTTTAAGGTACTTTCAGATAGATCCCTAAAGGATTTAGACATTAACATAGTACAGGGATATTCCAGCTACTCTTTCCAATCCCTGTCAGAACACTTTAGTACCAGCTCGGCCTGGGCAGAACCGGGACCAAGAGGGACCTGGACCAGGATAAAGAAGCACCTGGTTAAACTGGGCCACAGTAAAGCTCTATGAATTAAATCATTTCTATACTGTACTATTATATCCTCTATATATTATAACATCTATATTTTTACACATTTAAGGGAAATACTTAAACTGGGCACAAGGGATCCAGGTTTTTTTTAAATCTAAGTGGAACTGTTTTTTCAAGATCTTATTACTTTGGGGCTGGAGGTTATTGTTATATTATCGATCCATGGCTGCATTATTGACTAACGTTACAAATGTACAGCAGAAATAAATGAGTTAGTTTAGTGCCCCCTGGTGGTCAACAGCTGACAGTGCAGCAAGAACTGGGCCTGATAAAACTCATGAATTTACTTTTAGATCAGATTGACTTTATTGTTCTCACACAGGAGAAATTTACATTTCTTAATCTGTATTGTTTCAGCTTTTTCCCACGACAGCCGGCCTCCGATGGCGATCTTTGAACTCCTGGACTACATCGTCAACGAGGCGAGTCCTTTAAGTCGGTAATCTTAATTGTCCAAAGAACTAACATCTTTTCCATTCGCAGCCTCCACCGAAGCTTCCGGGAATATTCAGCACAGAATTCCAAGAGTTTGTGCATAAATGGTTTGTATTTAAATCCCACGTTAGAAACTACTTTATTTGATCTTTTCTCTTTTATTACAGTTTAATCAAGAATCCTGCGGACAGAGCCGACCTCAAACAGCTGATGGTGAGTGATTCAGGAGCTAAGCAGGGGACTGGAGAGGGATGGGAGACCTGGCCACACCTGCAGGTGAAAACCAGATCCCAACAGACCTCTGAAGCTAAGCAGGGCCTGGTTAGTACTGTGATGGGAGACCTCTGGGAACAGCAGGTGCCACAGTTGGGCGGCTGTAAAGGGCCAAACTGGTTGTGTCCTTAAGCAATACACTTAACGCACATTAGAATGAGTGATGTGTGTTGGTGGTGGAGGGCCTGATGACAGAGTGGTTGCCTCAGATTTGGCTACAGTTGTAGTTTGAAGTGACTTATGAAACTTTAGTGCAATCTAAAACCAAAGCATTATAACCCCATGGGAACAGGAGCTTTCAGTGGGGCAGTTGCCAAACTCACGTTTTTTTTAGGCAAGAATCACTCAGCCTTGAAAAGCCTGGTGTGAGTGGATGGGGTCAGAGGGAACAGATTAGTTGCCCAATTTCCTTCATTCTGCCCCAGCAGTATATGGGCTAAAGTACAATACATGAAAAATACTTTATCAAGAGATCCCCTTTGTCCCACAGTGGGGAATTTTTGGTGTTGCAATAAACAGAACAGGAATGAGCCAAAGGGTGATTACTATAATAAACTAATAATTAAGCAGAAGCAAGAATGAAGTTCGTATTTATGGTATACATAAGTAATTTTAGCACCAGTTTAATAGATCTAGTTTGAAGTGTGATCTAAAACTAATGCAATTTTTCTCCAGGCGGATCAGTTCATTCGGAAGTCTGAGGCTGAGCAGGTGGACTTTGCCGGATGGTTGTGCAGCACCATCGGCCTGAACCAACCTTCGACTCCGACTCATGGACACGTCCCATAAGCAGAGTCTGAAGGTGCAGTCACTCTGACGTTAAGCCATGTGAAATTCCTCCAGGTTTACGCCTGTTCTAAGCCATGATTTTACAAGATTCATATTTTAAAACTACGCTGCTGCTTCATCTTTGTGCTTGATATTTTTAAAGTTTGTTATTGTAAAATAAAAGAGTCTTGTGGATATATTTTAACCTGGTTTATTAGTCTCTGAACTGGGTCTTATGCTGTGGGTTTTGCTTTCCCCTTCTTCAGCACCCTCTTCTTTTTGGGCTTCAGCATCTTTGCCTTGATCTACAAAGAGAAAAGTGTCAGTTTGTGGTAAACATTAAAAGGTGTATGGGAAGGATTTTCTTCTGGTGGGGGATCTAAACTATTGGTCCTCCCAATTGTCAATCATTCTGGTGATAGACATTTTAGTTCTTGCCTAAAATTCAGGAAAACCTGACAGCAAGTGCAGCCTTACCGTCGGGTCGTGCTTGAGAATAGCATGACGTCTGGCTGTCTTGGCGTACGGGTTTAGCTTCAGCATTATCCTCAGGTTCTTCAGAGGATTCTTCTTCAGGACTCTGCGATTGATCTTCTTGCTACAGTAACAAAGAAACAGAATTTCTTTAGAAAAATCAAGATAAAGGATTATGTCTTTCATAGAGTACACGGGACTCAGGACTTCCTAATAATCAGGGTTCAGAAACACGGACCTGAAGTGGAAACTCATCATAGATTTAGATTATTTTAAAAAGGGTTAGAACTTACTTTGGGGCACGAAGGGCTTTCTGGATCTCTTCACTCTTCAGGATTCTGCTCAAGTCTGTGTTGGTCATCTTGTGCATTGGGAGGCTGTAAACCAAAACATGTACATTAGTTTTTCCACATAAGAATTAAATGACACTTTAAAGAGGACAGAAAGTCTCAGAACTTCAAGTATTATCACAGAATTCAACAACACGGACCGAAGTGGAAGCTCATCATTGCATCTCATACTTTAGACCCAAACCAGGACCAGAGCTTGAGGAGGAAGTTACACTCTAGACTGACTGAGACTCACTTGTAGTCCACCTTCTGCGTGGAGGGTTTGCGCCAGGTGCCGTAGAGCTCGTCCAGTTTGCGGAAGGCGCTCTCGGTCCAGATGCAGAAGCGACCAACGTGACCTCCAGGAGCGATCCTCAGGAGGTTCAGTTTGTTCACGTTCTGCAGCGTGATGCCTGTAGATGCATGAGATTTACATTAATTCTACTCAGAAATGTACAGCAGGAATAAAGAGCACTTAATCTAGTGACCCCTGGTGGACAGAAGCTGGCACTGCAGAAAGAACTGATTTACGAGACTTCCTTTCCCTTATGCCATCCTGGGGTCAAATTTTCCAGGGATGAAAAAAATTCTACAAGTAAAATGTTGAGAGTTTAATTTAGATTGATCCACAACTAGTTTATAATTTTTTTTTAACTTTTAAATCAGTAGAGGGCCATTTCAACCTGTGGGTAGCACCATGATTTAAATTTCTGCATTTAAAAAATACCATTTCACCACAACTGTACTTTTTTCCAACATATGCCCAGGACAGCAGGCCTCCAATGGCAATAGTTTAAATGTATTTGATGACTAAAGGTAAATTAGCTTCAGACCAACAGATGCAGGAGGGTCTCAGGACAGTGGTGATAATCGTTTGTAAAGCCATCCAGTGTTTTTGTTTTGAGTAAAGAATTTCTCAGAACTTCAGGTATTATCATAGCAGTCAACAACACGGACCGAAGTAGAAGCTCATCATTGACTCATACTTCAGACTCAAACAAGGACCAAAGCTCGTGGAGGAGAGATCTTGGGTTCGGCTTTCCCCCTTCTACTGTTGCGATTTCGGGCTATACAATACGGTGCATGTGGAGCAGGTACCTGGGATATTTCTGAAGGCTTTTGTGACTCCGGCGTCCTGGTTGTAGATTAAACACGGTCCTCTACGTTGGATGCGTCTGCGATTCCTCATTTTACCCTTTCCGGCTCGCATGCGCTGGGAGGCGTACACCTGGAAACACAGCACTAAACTTTAGTCATAAACACATACAGGATCCCAGTAACAGACGATTGTTCAAATACCTTACCTTCTTGATATCATTCCAGGCTTTGATCTTTTTCAAGAGCAGCACAGCCTCCTTTGTCTTCTTGTAACCCTCAACTTTGTCGTCAACGACCAGGGGAACTTCTGGGATCTCCTCAATACGATGTCCTGGGGAGAAACCAAGAAAACTTAAGAAAAAGTTTAAATATTAGGTTTGACTGGACAGTTTTTTTTTATTGCTCAGACTCAAGGTTCAACAAAAACATGTGAACAGCTAAACGACAGCAGGCTACTGTCACTATCCACAGCTTCAGACGCAAATTACACCATCACTGCAAAACATCAGCCCATTACAGACATACCTAATACATGAACTGAGAACGAAGCTCACCTTTGGACATGACAAGTGCTGGGATGGCGGAGGCAGCCAGAGCAGAGCAGATGGCATAACGCTTCTGGGTGGTGTTGATTCTACGGTGCCAGCGACGCCAGGTCTTAGTGGGAGCAAACATGCGTCCTCCACGACACATCTGGACTCCAGTTAAGGACAAAACTAAAGTGATTTAGGGCAAGGTCACTGTCCAAGCAGTTTAACGCTCTCCACTCATGTCTAGACCTGAAGTAATTTCCCTTGTACCAAAGCTCAGAGTTAAGAGTTCGTCAGCCTTCTGTGCTAGCCTTCGACAGTAGGCATCTGTCACTAACACAGAGTAGGACGCAAATTACACCATCATTGCCAGAGAACCGCTACAGAACTGAGTAGAAAGGATACATTTCCGAAGGCTCCCTGACCAGAGCGGTGAGTACCACCTCCTCTCACACGCGGGATACGGGCCACAGCTCTTCCAGTTCCCCAGGACTCAGCACTGGTCTGGTGACCTGGAATACAAAACCAGTCTTACTCTGTTCTACACCTTAAACTGTAATTGTACCAGTTAGAACATTGCATACCTGCGAGCTCGCTCACAGCGTAAGGCTGGCGGCCGTTTTTGCGCATGTTTGTGTGCACAAAGTTGACCACGTCGGGGCGGATGGGTGCCTTGAACACAGCAGGCATCACTACATTTTTGCCAGAAGATTCTCCTTTCTCGGAATATACCGAGATCAGAGGTCGGGCACAGGCCTGAAAGAAAATAAATACATGATTTAATACACAATATTCTAGGGGCTGCATCTAGAATAAGATGAGATGGCCATGTCTGAAGAGTTAAACAATCCTTAAAACCACTTAAATTAGACTTCCTTTGATAGTTTTAAAGTACGTCGTTTCTCTTTTCCACATGACTGTGGGCGTCCATCTGCTTAACTATTTCTTGCTGACACTTTAAAAGAGATGTGTCCTTATTCATGTCAGTGTTGCATCACCAGTCATAGAACAGGAGGTGCACACAATTACAGGGGAAAAGTTAAGTAGTTGCATCCTTAGGTCAGTTTCAGGATATCAGATTTGGTACATTTCTCCAAAATGAGATCGATAAAGTATCTTTATAAATAAAAACTGCAGAAACCAGAACCAGGGACACAGTTAATGTATACAATGAAAAGCAGTAATTTAAACCCAAAGTGCTAGAATAAGGCAGAAAACGGCGAAGGAGTGTCTAAACTAGTAACACGTGTATAGTTTACCACACTGTGAAGGGATTTCAAAATGGCTGCGCGTTAGCTTTCTCATGGGGTGTTGCACAGCTCAAAATTACTCTTATATCGCAGTGGATTCGCCAAACGAATGCAGTCACAGTATCATACCGTGCGGATTGACCTTCACACGATTCATTCCAGCACACCCAGTAAGAATATCTCACCATTTTGAGGTTATAGAATTTCGGCTCGCCGGGACCACGCTCCTCTCTCTATGGCGGCCACAGAAAAAAGGAAGTGTGATTCGCGTCCTTTACGCTTTATCCATCCGCTACGTACTGCACTACTTCCGCCTAACGTAAAGTTTATATATTAATAAATACCTGGCAAGTGACACACAATAATTTTACTTAGGTGGGGTAATAAATATCTATAACTCGCGTATGGTGTTTTAACTGGGTACAAATGTATCTAATGAGGTAACAGAATTGGGACTATTTTTGCATACACGCGGAGATATACGCACACATCCGGTCATATTATTTGGTTAAGAAAATAATGTATTAAAATAGAAAATGATGTCTAATATGTTTTACGACATTGTAAACTAGTGTATCTTAATAAAACCTAAAAAAAAATGAAATTAAAATTGGACTCGTCATGGTCATCCGGCGACGTCATGTAAAGGGGCGGGTACTTTCTAAAATCTTGGTATTTCGTTCCACAGCAGGCTAGCTTTCCCTAACCCTTATCATAACCAAATTAGCTCGTCTTAAACCTAATGATAAGCTTAACGCTAACTCTTTACTACGAATTAAAACAAATAAAAAGCTATACAACTTTAATATTTCTGTCTACTCGATCGAAATACCAAGATTATTGTGAGTCTATTTGGGGGCGGGGCCTATATTGAGCGCGCGGCTGCAAACAAGATTTGACGATATTTTCAGAGTAAAGTTTGTTCATGTGACTTTCCACTAGTTGTATTTACTGCCTTTGGTTCTACGATGGGATCCAGGACTCTAAATGGCGCAAAAACGTTTATTGATCTCCTCTGGTGAGTTTTGCGCTCAGTTGGTGTCACCGCGGTTTAACTTAATGTCATTGATTTTCCTGCAGGTCCATTCATGAGGATAATAACACTCACTCCCTGTATGAGGTGGGACCAATATTCCAACTCTTTATGGCATGGTTATATGGGCTTCTGAGATATTGCTGTGTTATCAATCTGTTTTAGGAGGACATACAGATTTCAAACGTACGAGGAGAGGAAATGGATCTTTTAAATATGATCTGTAGTAATCAAGCCATCTTTGTTTGTGAGAAAATGGTATGTATAAGGACCAATGCATGTCCTAAGTCATCATGCACCTATGCAACTACATACAGTATGCCCCGTTTCCACTAGCCCTGCTTGGCTCTACTCCACTCTGCTCTACTGTACTGCTCTACTCTACTGTACTCTACTGGGCTCTACCCTACTCCACCCCGATTAGGAGGGCCCTGTTTAAACCAGTACCAGGTCCTTCGGGGTCCCTCTTGATCCTGGTTCCACCCAGGACGTGGATGGTGTTAACTATAACTCCCAGTGATTGGTCAGAGTGCTGCTGGAAGCCATGGTTACCAAGGAATTTGCCCTGATACTGGTTTGTTGTGGGTAGTTTGCAAGGATGAGGTAGCAGATACTAAAGCACTACCAGGAAGAGTAGACTGGTGTGGAGAAGGGCCAAGTAGGGCTGGTGGACACAGGGTATAGTTATCATTTATTTAAAGCCTGTACCTTTTTCAAGAGAGGCATTCATTCCCCTGACCCATCAGAAACTCCGATTCAGACTATAACAATTTAAATCACTTCTCAAAACCCGTCTATTTCACCTCGTCTGTCATTAATTGTGTTCTATTTTCATGTTTTGTAAAGCATATTCGAGTGCCCAAAAAGTGCTATATAAGTTTGCACTATTATTATTATTATTATTATTACTATTCAAGCATGCAGAAGATGGTATTAAGCTGAAGATGGCATATTGTGTTCTGCTTTGTTCACGTTTCGCTTTACAAGACTCTTTCCCTCTCCTTGAGGTTCCCAAATTTGATTGTGAACTGGAGCTGCAGCCGACAGCAGAGACCTCCAACTGCTCTGAGATCAGTGACTCTGCAGAAGGCGCTGAAATCACACAAGAACAAGACACAAGTATTCTCAAAACTGAACCCAAACCAGAGCCTCTCAGTGTCAACAAAGCAAGGTGACCAGCCCTGGACGCAGCATATAAATAATGAATATGAATGTTTACATGTGGTATATTTCCCTGACTTGTAGACAGCTGGTGTCTTTCTACGTCCTGGCCCAGAACCCGTGTATAGGTCTGGTGCAGGATCGAGTCTTGGGGCCGTTATGGGTGCGCTGTGATATGACGGGCCCATCGAGTACCACATGGCTCGGAGCTGAGACGGTTTGCACTGGCAGCAAAGTCACAGGAACCAAATTGTACTCGGTTACTTGTAAAGGTGATTTCAAACTACTCTTGCATCTCTTTGGTTTTGCTCTTACGTTATTGTTTAGTTTGACCACAACTGACATTTTACTTTAGCCACTTTACCTGTACCCTCATGCTGCTAACATGTTTAGACGAAAACACACAACTATATATGTTTAACACTAGAATTTGCAGTGTTTTTACTTGCTTTGTTATTATGCTAAAGCTAGAGATTTTATACTAGCTTCTTTATTATGCTAAAGCTAGAGATTTTATACTTGCTTCTTTATTAGTAAGTAGGTAATCTTAAATATTTTTATAGCGCCTTTCACAGACCAGAGTTACAAAGCGCTGTACTATTGTTGTGGGCATTTCTCTGACTCGGAGGACACCTACGCAGACATGGGGAGAACATGCAAACTCAGAAAGGCCCTGTTCCGACCGGGATTTGAACCCAAGACCTTCTTGCTGAGAAGCGAGAGAGCTAACCACTTTAGTATAGCTTTGTTCTGTAACTGCTGATGCAACTGACATTTCTCCACAGTGGGATTTTTAATCTTAATCTTAATCTTGTTCCAGCTGCGACGACGGATAAAAAGTCGGTGATGTCGTTGGAGGAGGTGAAGCAGGAGCACAGGGCGGCCCATCACCCCTCCTCAGTGAGTGCAAACATAATATTGGTTTTTTTAAAGAATTTTTACCAATGCATTTAACTTTAACGTTTGACTTTTCAGATGGTTCTAAAAGGTTCCGCCAGATACAAGTTGTTTGGTTCCACGGTCGTTGAGAACACAGTGATCGAGTCTCAGAGCAGCGTCACTGTGGACTTTAAATGGAACGATGTGGGCACTATTCTGGAAACACCTCCTATGTCCTCAGCAGCAACACTGGTAACAACAGAGAGAGAGACCAGAGAGAGAGAGAGACCAGAGAGAGAGAGACCAGAGAGAGAGAGAGACCAGAGAGAGAGAGAGACCAGAGAGAGAGAGACCAGAGAGAGAGAGAGACCAGAGAGAGAGAGAGAGACCAGAGAGAGAGAGAGACCAGAGAGAGAGAGAGAGAGAGACCAGAGAGAGACCAGAGAGACCAGAGAGAGACCAGAGAGAGAGAGAGAGAGAGACCAGAGAGAGAGAGAGAGACCAGAGAGAGACCAGAGAGAGACCAGAGAGAGACCAGAGAGAGACCAGAGAGAGAGACCAGAAAGAGAGACCAGAGAGAGAGACCAGAGAGAGAGACCAGAGAGAGAGACCAGAGAGAGAGACCAGAGAGAGAGACCAGAGAGAGAGACCAGAGAGAGAGACCAGAGAGAGAGACCAGAGAGAGAGAGACCAGAGAGAGAGACCAGAGAGAGAGACCAGAGAGAGAGACCAGAGAGAGAGACCAGAGAGAGAGACCAGAGAGAGAGACCAGAGAGGGCGTTATGATCAGATTCTGTACATATTCAATCATTATTTCTTTCTGTGCAGAACATCCAGGTTTCAGTCGGAGACCCGAGGAGCCCAATGTTTGAAATCTTCAGGGAGCTAGAGTTTTTGCAGGTTTTATGTTTTTTAGTTTTGTACTTTCATTATTTCAGATGGTGCTTGAACACGTCCCAAACTTTTCATCCCTCCTTTTGTCAGAGTCTGGCAGATGGTCTGAGAACCGGAGAGATCGAGTGGTTGGAGCCGGTGGAGACGGCCTCAGCAGTGGATCTGACCAAGGCCCATCTGGAGGGTGAGGATTTGGGTGTTTGTGTTACGCTAGCACAACATTAGCTTAGCATTAGCATAGCATTAGCATATATATAACAGTGTTGTTTGATTTTAGAGCTTCAGAACGCATCAAAAGCCCAAGACCACGCAGTCAAACCCACACAGGTACTGTACATAATCTGAAAGTATTATATGAATGCTTTTAGATTCCTCTTTGCCACGACATACGACAGTGTAAATCTTTTTCAGACTCAGAATCCAAAGTCTGAGGAGGAGACGCCCTCGTTCACGTCTCTTCTGGAGCGAGGAGATCTGGACTTCATCGAGCAGCTGTGGGTCCAACTCAGGAAGAGTAAGTCATGTATAAACGTCTTTTACGACAAAGTACTGATCCTACATTAAAGTTTAGCCACCAACGATGACTCTGTCCACACATTTATTCAGTGTAGATTTGTTATTTATCACTCATCTGTAATATTTAGGGCTGTCAAAATTATCGCGTTAACGCACGTTAATTAATTTTTTTCATTAATCACGTTAAAAAAAGTTAACGCATTTGACGCATGCCCATGCGTCCCATAATAACACTCATGCCGCGGACACATGCGTGTGTAAGATGGGGACAGAGCAGGTCTCTGGGAATTCAAGTTTTGAAAGAATACACGCGTGACCGCGGGGCACTTGTTGTTTCCTGTATGAACTCTGCATGATGAGCTGCGGGCGCCACAGCGCTCTGGACAGCACCACTTCCAGCGACTGTGATCACGGTGAACGGCGCTGCGTAATGGGATCATATCCAAGACCACGCACAGAACTATTACAGAACTATTCTCTAGTGTGCGTACGTATCTTTGCGTAACCGACGCACACAATATGTACAGCGCTGAAGCTGGACTGAGGAGCCTCAGTCTCCTCCGTGTCTTCTCCCGAAGCGCACTCGCTAAATTAAAGCTGAGGTACCTAATTTTCCTTTCGACCATCAGTTCATGTTAGTTGTGCCAAAAAAAGTAATGGTGTGAGCAAATCAAACAGATTCAATGACATTCTGCATTTCTGACTATTTTTAAATGTCCCTCATCTGTAACAAACAATGGTTTTGGTCTGAGTCTAAACAGAAAGACAGAATGTTAATACTGTTAATTCCATTTTATATGGATTTATTGTTATAACAAACAAATACAGTACATATGTTCACTATGTTGTCATTTATCTTTCCATTCAAACAACAATTTACAGAAAAATATGGCATAATTTTGCCAATAGTTTGAAATGCGATTAATTACGATTAATTAATTTTTAAGCTGTAATTAACTGAATTAAAAAAAAAATTGTTTGACAGCCCTAGTAATATTACATTATTATTTCACATTAATGTGTATGTAGGTATAGGTGTATGTCTGTTTATGTGTGTGCATGTATGTATATGTGTGTGTATGTATGTATATGTGTGTGTTTGTATGTATATGTGTGTGTATGTACAGTACAGTACAGTTCATATAACTGAAATTTCCCCATTGTGGGACCTTCTTCTTATAGGATTATTAGAGCATTGTGTAATTTAGGCATATGATAGTGTAGTGGTGTCTAAAATAGTTTATATATATATATATTATATACATATACATATACATAAAGTTCTAATGGCAACTCCTTGTTTCCAGGTGTGACGTCGTATCAGGACGTTGGCTCCTGTCTGAAGCTTGTAATCGATGCTTTACGATACGGAGACATTAAGCCGTGGGTAACTAAACCATTATTTAAAATTCCCTTCATTCTCTTTCTTCTGCTTTATCCGTTACCGGCACGAGAGAGACACAGTCTCTCGGTGTCCTGGGTCTCCCCCTAGTCTCCTCCTGGTGGGAGACCAGAGAGAGAGACCAGAGAGAGAGACCAGAGAGAGAGACCAGAGAGAGAGAGACCAGAGAGAGAGAGAGAGAGAGAGAGAGTGAGAGACCAGAGAGACCAGAGAGAGAGAGAGAGAGAGAGACCAGAGAGAGAGAGACCAGAGAGAGAAAGACCAGAGAGAGAGAGAGACCAGAGAGAGAGAGAGACCAGAGAGAGAGAGAGAGAGAGAGAGACCCGAGATAGAGAGAGACCAGAGAACCTTTAGAGCAGGGGTGCTCAATACGTCGATCGCTATCTACCAGTCGATCGCAAAGGTAGTATTGGTAGGCAATGCATAAAAATAAAAAAAATTGTTTATGCATTTGCGTATAGACAGAGATGACCGGAGTTTTGCGTTTTTGCACGCCACAGTATGTCCCAAAAACAACAAAAAACAAAACGTGCGACCTCTGATCACTGAAGAAGGATCGTACCGCCTTAAAAACTACTGTTCACTGCTGCAGCGGTTCACAGCAACGAACATCCTCGCTCCACATCAGAGAGCAGCAAAGTGATCAGGATCGCTCGAAAACAACCAAAACAGGAGCTAAACCAGGATCAAAGCAGGGCTGAGGACGGGGTCAGTGCTTGTAAACATATGTCTTCACTATGGATCTATAATAATATGCCCTCTGCTGCGACTCTGAGGAGCACAGGGAAGAACCGGCGTCTGCATCAAAGCTCCGCCCACTTCTGTGTTTTTCCCCAACGCAGGATGTCAGAGACGCACATGTTTGGAATGTTATTAATGTCATTGAAAATGTTATGAATCATGTGGTTTTGCATGTACATCAACATACATTGTAGATATAAAGAATCCTCAATATATTTTTACAATCAAATATATGTTTTGCATTTTTGTAGTAGGTAGATCATTTTGACTTGGTCATTTTAGTAGCTCGCATGCTGAAAAAGTGTGAGCACCCCTGCTTTAGAGAGAGACCAGAGATGGAGAGAGACCAGTGTCCTCCCTTTGCGTTCACTGGTGTTTGGTTCCTCAGATCCACAGAGACAGCAGCAGCAGCCTCAGTAAACTCATCCTTCAGTCGTACCATCAGAAAATAGACAAAGTGGATCTGTCGGGTCTCGCTCCGGTCCACATGCTGCTGGAGATGGGTCTGGACAAGATGAGGAAGGACTACATCAACTATCTCATCGGTAAGACCTGTTAGAGAGAGAGACCAGAGAGGGAGACCAGAGAGGGAGACCAGAGAGGGAGAGACCAGAGAGGGAGAGACCAGAGAGGGAGAGACCAGAGAGAGAGAGACCAGAGGGAGAGAGACCAGAGGGAGAGAGACCAGAGGGAGAGAGACCAGAGAGAGAGAGACCAGAGGGAGAGAGACCAGAGGGAGAGAGACAAGAGAGCAGAGAGGGAGAGAGACAAGAGAGCAGAGAGGGAGAGAGACCAGAGAGCAGAGAGGGAGAGAGACCAGAGAGGGAGAGAGACCAGAGAGGGAGAGAGACCAGAGAGGGAGAGAGACCAGAGAGGGAGAGACCAGAGAGGGAGAGAGACCAGAGAGGGAGAGAGACCAGAGAGGGAGAGACCAGAGAGGGAGAGACCAGAGAGGGAGAGACCAGAGAGGGAGAGACCAGAGAGGGAGAGACCAGAGAGGGAGAGACCAGAGAGGGAGAGACCAGAGAGGGAGAGACCAGAGAGGGAGAGAGCAGAGTGAGGCCGAGGCCAGTCTTGGGTCATGAAGGTACATTTTATTACTGTGGAGTAGATCCAACATAAGGTCCTGTTCCTCTCTGTGTTATTGGTCGTATTCAAAAATCACTGATGTCAAACCTTCTTCTTTCCAGGTGAAGAGCTGACGACCTTAAACCATCTGGTATGTCATGCCTTTTAAACAATTATGAAAACACTGAATATAAAACACTCAAGAGCAGGTGGTTGTAAAGGATCATAACTCTTTTGCTTTTTAATGGACTGATATTTTGGGCATTAAAACCAAATTTACCTTTTTTAAAGTCTGTAAATTATGTTTGAAGAAAGCGACTAATTTATTTTCAAGGAGTTGCACTGCAAAAAGTGATGAAAAATTGGCAAAATGTATCTTAATTTGAGCACATTTTGACCAAGATTTGCCAAAGGGACAAAGCCAAATCTTGTCTCCCTTTTGAATGAGAAAATTAAGCAACGGTTCTAAAAGTCTTAGTCAAATTGGAGAATCTTGTTTTAACACAGTCAGAATGTTCTCAAATTAGGATACAAAAAAATAGGATTCAAGCCTTTATTACTTCATCCATCCATCCATCCATTTTCTTCCGCTTTATCCGTTGCCGGGTCGCGGGGGCAGCAGTCTAAGCAGAGACGCCCAGACTTCCCTATCCACACACACTTCCTCCAGCTCGTCCGGGGGGACCCCAAGGCGTTCCCAGGCCAGCTGAGAGACATAGTCCCTCCAGCGTGTCCTGGGTCTTCCGCGGGGCCTCCTCCCGGTGGGACGTGCCCGGAACACCTCCCCAGGGAGGCGTCCAGGAGGCATCCGGAACAGATGCCCGAGCCACCTCAACTGGTTCCTCTCGACGTGGAGAAGCAGCGGTTCTACTCCGAGCTCCTCCCGTGTGACTGAGCTCCTCACCCTATCTCTAAGGGAGCGCCCAGCCACTCTGCGGAGGAAGCTCATTTCGACCGCTTGTATCCGCGATCTCGTTCTTTCGGTCATTACCCAAAGCTCATGACCATAGGTGAGGGAGGGAACGAAGATTGACCGGTAAATCGAGAGCTTTGCCTTTCGGCTCAGCTCCCTCTTCACCACAACGGTCCGATACAGCGACCGCATAACTGCGCACGCTGCACCGATCCGCCTGTCAATCTCACGCTCCATTCTTCCCTCACTCGTGAACAAGACCCCGAGATACTTGAACTCCTCCACTTGAGGAAGGACCTCTCCACCCACCTGCAGAGGGCAAGGCACCTTTTTCCGGTCGAGCACCATGGCCTCGGATTTGGAGGTGCTGATTCTCATCCCAGCCGCTTCACACTCGGCTGCAAACCGTCCCAGTGCATGCTGCAGGTCCTGGTTCGTTGGAGCCAACAGGACAACATCGTCCGCAAACAGCAGAGATGAAATCCTGTGGTCTCCGAACCGGACCCCCTCCGACCCCTGGCTGCGCCTAGATATTCTGTCCATAAATACAGTGAACAGAACCGGTGACAAAGGGCAGCCCTGTCGGAGGCCAACATTCACCGGGAACAGGTCTGACTTACTGCCGGCAATGCGAACACAGCTCTGGCTCCGGTCATACAGGGATCGGATGGCCCTCAGCAGAGGACCCCCGACCCCGTACTCCCGGAGAACCCCCCAAAGGACACCCCGGGGAACACAGTCGAACGCCTTCTCCAAATCCACAAAGCACATGTGGATAGGTTGGGCGAACTCCCATGAACCCTCGAGTATCCGATGGAGAGTATAGAGCTGGTCCAGTGTTCCGCGACCGGGACGAAAACCACACTGCTCCTCCTGGATCCGAGATTCGACCATCGGCCGTAACCTCCTCTCCAGTACCTTGGAGTAGACCTTACCGGGGAGGCTGAGGAGTGTGATCCCACGATAATTGGAACACACCCTCCGGTCCCCCTTCTTGTAGAGAGGGACCACCACCCCGGTCTGCCACTCCATTGGCACTGCCCCCGATCGCCATGCGATGTTGCAGAGACGTGTCAGCCAAGACAGTCCTACAACATCCAGAGACTTTAGATAATCAGGGCGGATCTCATCCACACCCGGAGCCTTGCCACCATGGAGGCTACCAACCACCTTGGTGACCTCAGCCAGGGAGATGGATGTACCCGCCCCAACATCCTCAGCCTCTGCCTCTGTAACAGAGGACGTGACGGGGGGATTGAGGAGAACCTCAAAGTATTCCTTCCACCGCCCGACAATATCCCCAGTCGAGGTCAGCAGCTCTCCACCCGCACCGTACATGGTGTTGGCAAAGAACTGCTTCCCCCTCCTGAGGCGCCGGATGGTTTGCCAGAATCTCTTCGAGGCCGACCGATAGTCATGCTCCATGGACTCTCCGAACTCCTCCCAGTCCCGGGTTTTTGCCTCTGCAACAGCCCGGGCCGCGGCACGCTTGGCCTGCCGGTACTGGACAGCTGCCTCAGGAGTCCCCCGAACCATCATGGCTCGATAGGACTCCTTCTTCAGCCTGACAGCATCCCTTACTGCCGGTGTCCACCACCGGGTTCGGGGGTTGCCGCCGGGACCAGCACCAGAGACCTTGCGACCACAGCTACGAGCCGCCGCATCGGCGATTGAGGCAGAGAACATGGTCCACTCGGACTCCATGTCCCCCTCCTCCGCCGGGACCTGGGAGAAACTCTCCCGGAGGTGTGAGTTGAAAGTCCGTCTGACAGGGGGCTCAGCGAGACGTTCCCAGCAGACCCTCACTATACGCTTGGGTCTTCCAGGTCTGACCGGCTTCTTCCCCTGCCAGCGGATCCAACTCACGACCAGGTGATGATCGGTTGACAGCTCCGCCCCTCTCTTTACCCGAGTGTCCGAGACACGCGGTCGAAGGTCAGATGATACGACAACAAAGTCGATCATCGACCTCCGGCCTAGGGTGTCCTGGTGCCACGTGCACTGGTGGACACCCTTGTGCTCGAACATGGTGTTCGTGATGGACAAACCGTGACTGGCACAGAAGTCCAACAACTGAGCACCGCTCGGGTTCAGATCAGGGGGGCCGTTCTTCCCGATCACCCCTCTCCAAGTGTCACTGGCGTTTCCCACATGGGCGTTGAAGTCCCCCAGGAGAATAACGGAGTCCCCGGGCGGTGGACCGTCCAGTACCCCTCCCTAGGACTCCAAGAAGGCCGGGTACTCTGCACTGCTGTTAGGCCCGTAGGCCGTCACAACAATGAGAGACTTGTCCCCCACCCGGAGGCGGAGGGACGCGACCCTCTCATTCACCGGGGAGAACTCCAACACGTGGCGGCTGAGATGGGGGGCAATGAGAATGGCCACCCCAGCTCGCCGCCTCTCCCCGCGGGAAACTCCAGAAAAGTGGAGCGTCCAACCCCTCTCAAGGAGTTGGGTTCCAGAGCCCAAGCTGTGTGTGGAGGTGAGGCCGACTATCTCTAGTCGGTATCGCTCAACCTCCCCCACGAGCTCGGGCTCCTTCCCCCCCAGTGAGGTGACATTCCACGTCCCAAGAGCCAGATGTTGTGTGTGCGGACTGGGTCGCCGAGGTCTCCGCCTTCGACTGCCGCCCAGTCCTCTCTGCACCGCTTCACCACGGACCCCTCTGCAGGTGGTGGGCCCACAGGAGGGACTGCCCACGTCATCCCTTCGGGCTGAGCCCGGCCGGGCCCCGTGGGCTAAGGCCCGGCCACCAGGCGCTCGCATACGGGCCCCGACCCCAGGCCTGGCTCCAGGGTGGGGCCCCGGCTGCGCCATGCCGGGCGACGTCACTGTTTTCGTGTTAGTGCTGTCCATGGTGTCTTCTGGACTGCTCTTTGTCTGACTCGTCACCTGAGACCTGTCTGCCATGGGAGGCCCTACCAGGGGCATGAAGCCCCAGACAGCATAGCTCCCAGGATCATCTGAGTACTCAAACTCCCCCACCACGTTAAGGTGGCAGTCCAGGGGGGAGCCTTTATTACTTCATATTTTATAACTTTTTGCAGTGTAGCAAAGGTTCCCAAGCAAGACATCGAGGATAAAAGCTCGGCTTACATTTAACTTGTAAATATAACAAAATAATAAATATATTTATTGTATTTTTGGCTCGTTATTTTAACGTGGTTTGATCAATCTTTAATGTTACATATTTCCTTTTACTCTGGGATCTGAGTCTCTTGGATGTTTTGTGTTGACAGCATTACTATCTGAGCACTGAGGTGGAGGTGCAGGAGCAGGTGACGCGGCTGAGGAAACTGCACCACCTGCTGGAGATACTGGTGACCTGCAGCATGTTCCTGGGGCTGCCGTACCACCGCCTCTTCCTCCTCACGCAGTAAAGACACTTCCTCCTCAGCCTCAGTGGGATCATAACAGTGGAATGTGGAGACTCGTTTTCATGTAGTTTAATTTACTTTTGTTTAGATGGAACAAACATGTGAGTGTTTGATTTAAAAAAAGTATTCACTGAAGAGAAGAAGAGAAACTTGAAGAATCCATGTTATCTTTTGTTACCTTTTGTTACCAGAGACCAGAGAGAGAGAGAGATCTGAGAGAGAGAGAGAGGCCAGAGAGAGAGATCTGAGAGAGAGAGAGGCCAAAGAGGGAGAGGCCAGAGAGAGCACTTTTCCCAGGTCTGCAGTAGGAGAAACTGCTACAGACCCAAACCTCTTCCTCGGAATCTTCTCTCCGGTCTCTCTCTCCGGTCTCTCTTTCTGGTCTCTCTCTCATGTTGGTCTCTCTCTGGTCTCTCTCTCTGGTCTCTCTCTCTGGTCTCTCTCTCTGGTCTCTCTCTCTGGTCTCTCTTTCTGGTCTCACTCTGGCCTAAACAGGACCTATCTGGTCCTCGGGCCACACCTCGGTCTGCAGTGGTAGAAACTGCTCCAGACCCAAACCTCTTCCTCAGAAACTTCTCTCTGGTCTCCCTCTCTGGTCTCTCTCTCATGTTGGTCTCTCTCTCTGGTCTCTCTCTCTGGTCTCTCTCTCATGTTGGTCTCTCTCTGGTCTCTCTTTCTGGTCTCTCTCTCTGGTCTCTCTCTCATGTTGGTCTCTCTCTCATGTTGGTCTCTCTCTCATGTTGGTCTCTCTCTCTGGTCTCTCTCTCTGGTCTCTCTCTCTGGTCTCTCTCTCTGGTCTAAACAGGACCCATCTGTTCTAAACGGACACCTCGGTCTGCAGTGGTAGAAACTGCTCCAGACCAAACTAACCCGTTGTTTCACACAGGTCGTGTCTGCAGTTCTACAAAACACATCCGTACGACGAGAGCCACACCTTCACTCTGCCAATCAAACCCGCTCTCATCAGCCACTTCTACCAGACGTGAGGCGCTCTATTCACATAAACGTCATTCCAGTTTTATTATGAAGGGAAAGAAATTAGTTTTATTTTTTTGTGTTTGTCTGCTGCTCACTATTTCCAATGTGGTTGCCTCATATGTTATCACTTTTTGCAGTGTGTTGACATATTGTTGTGTTGTGTTGTGTTGTACTGTACGATATTATGTTGTGTTGTCAGAGAGCATCCAGTCCTGTGGGGGGTGGAGGTCTCCAGTGGTCATGGCGCCCGTGAAGTCAGAACGTTACTGCAGCTCAGCGACAGACCTCTGGTGGATCACGTCATCTTCGACTCAGGTCTCTCTCTCTGGTCTCTCTCTGGTCTCTCTCTGGTCTCTCTCTGGTCTCTCTCTGGTCTCTCTCTGGTCTCTCTCTGGTCTCTCTCTGGTCTCTCTCTCTGGTCTCTCTCTCTGGTCTCTCTCTCTGGTCTCTCTCTGGTCTCTCTCTGGTCTCTCTCTGGTCTCTCTCTCTGGTCTCTCTCTGGTCTCTCTCTGGTCTCTCTCTGGTCTCTCTCTGATCTCTCTCACTGGTCTCTCTGGTCTCTCTTTCTGATCTCTCTCTGGTCTCTCTCTCTCTCTCTTCTCTCTCTCTCCCGCTGCTTTCTCTGATCTCTCTCTCTTCGGTCTCTCTCACATCCATCTAATCCATCTGTCTTTTTCTCTCAGACTTTTCCAACGTGACTCTGAGCGCAGACACAGAGGACCCGGCCTTCTACTCTTCCCTGGTCTCCTGCAGTCTCCTCACTTTTGCATAAATAATGTTATAAATTATTATAAATGTCGTGTTAAATAATTGCATCTGGACTAGTCGACTGTTTGATAATGTATTTGTCACAATATTTTGAATAAACATTTTTACAAAGCACTCAGGATTTTGGTTGGTTCTACTTCAACAAGCTTTTATATCACTTCACAGCAGGACCATGTGAAATTAAAGTCTCTAGCTCCGCCTCCTCAGCAGGACCATGTGAGAATAAACTCTTAGCTCCGCCTCCTCAGCAGGAACATGAGCAGCACGGCACAGATCAGAATGGACAGAGTACAAACGGTCGGAACCACGATCTCCGTCACCATCTCCATGTGGCTCGTCAGAGGATCTGGCAACACACAAGAGTTTAGTTATTGGATCAGTTTTCATTCTGAGAGATCACAGAGAGATAGACTCGAAGGAGAGAGATCAGAGGGGGAGGGAGAGAGAGAGGGACCCAAAGGGGAGAGATCAGAGATAGAGAGACCCGAAGGAGAGAGATTAGAGATAGAGACCCGAAGGAGAGGGATTGAGACTCGAGAGAGGCTCAAAGGAGAGAAATCAGAGAAAGAGAGACCCAAAGGAGAGAGATAGATGAGATCAGAGAGATACACGAGAGAGATCACAGAGATAGAGGCCCGACAGAAAGGGAGATCAGAATGAGAGAGAGTGACCAGAAAAGGAGAGACCCGAGAGAGAGGGACCGGGAAAGATAAGAGAGAGAGACCAGAGAGTAACAAATAACCTCGTCATTCTATCAGCAGAGCACAGCACTCAAAGGGTTAATTTGGACTTGAACAAATGAATTCTTACCATGAATAAGTCTGAGAATATTGGCAGCAGTGCTCCGCTGTTCCTCTAAAGGAAGAAGACAAGGGTCAGTTTAACCCTTTGAGGACAACACCACTGGAAGGACTTGGTTTTGGTCTTATCCGGGTTTGTGAGAACAGGTAAAAACAGTTTTGTTTAGCTGTGCATACAACTGAGAGATTTTTATCTTTCTTTTAAATGTTCTGTGATTATTTAGGATTGTAATGCTTTCTTATTTTGTTCAGCACTTTGAGTTGCCATGTGTAGGAATTGTGCTATACAAATAAACTTGCCTTGCCTAAGAATCTGGACCTCTCTGTGACAGCGGCAGAGGGGATCCAGGACATTCATGGTCCTTGGTCTGCCCCTGATGGACCTTGGGTCTCGGCCCCTGATGGACCTTGGGTCTCGGCCCCTGATGGACCTTGGGTCTCGGCCCTTGATGGACCTTGGGTCTCGGCCCCTGATGGACCTTGGGTCTCGGCCCCTGATGGACCTTGGTCTCTGCCCCTGACGGTCCTTGGTCTTGGCCCCTGATGGACCTTGGTCTCTGCCTCTGACGGACCTTGGTCTCGGCCCCTGACGGACCTCGGTCTTGGCCCCTGATGGACCTTGGTTTCTGCCCCTGACGGACCTTGGTCTCGGCCCCTGACGGACCTTGGTCTCGGCCCCTGATGGACCTTGGTCTCTGCCTCTGACGGACCTTGGTCTCGGCCCCTGACGGACCTCGGTCTTGGCCCCTGACGGACCTCGGTCTTGGCCCCTGACGGACCATGGTCTCTGCCCCTGACGGACCTTGGTCTGCCCCTGACGGACCTTGGTCTCGGTCCCTGACGGACCTCGGTCTTGGCCCCTGATGGACCTTGGTCTCGGCCCCTGACGGACCTCGGCTCTGTGTGTTTATTATTACAGTATTGTCTGTGTTCGAACAGTTCATTTCTCAGATCTGTAAATGAAGAATCTGTAACATTGTAAATCCTCCGAGACGACTGCTGTGGTTTAGGACTGACCTAAAATCAAATGAATCGAATTGAATCGAAGGAAGTCAGTGCATTTTTATGAAGTAGTGAACTTTTCATGCTTTTTAAAACACACATCTGTACAATATTCTACAACATATATTGGCACTGCACTGCCTCTGTGTTTTTATCATTACAATTTGATTCTCAGATCTGTGTTGGCGAATCTACAGATCTGTAAAGTCCTCTGAGATACTACAAAATAAATTTAATTAAAAATGAAAGAATCTGGACAACTCTGTGACAATGCTAAAGAAGCCGGAGAAGCTAAAAATAAATGTAGAACAACAAAGTGTCCCACTGTTTTTCCCCAGATCTTTACTTGAAATGGATTTATAATTTAAAAAACCTGCCATTTTATCACACACTTCTTATGAGAAAATAGATATGACTTGGTTTGTTTTTGGGTTAAAAGAGTAGAAAATGTACCATGAGTCTACACTTCGTCATGCACAGGCCAAACCTTTGGCAACTCTCTATGTTCCGTGTTGGTTCTTGCAGCTGCGGGGCAAACAAAAAAGACGTCTCAGAAACAAGATCAACTAAAATGTTTAGAAAATGCTGCAGAAGCACTTTTTCAGATCCAATCTTCATCCGGTGTGTTTGGTCACGCTTTAGTTTAGCCCTCACTGATCAACAGATAATTAGTGTGTAATTCATGGTTAATTAGTTCTTATTTAGCATCTAGCTAGCTACTAACTGGGAATTTCCCATGTGTGCTAGGGCTAGATTTAGGGCTAGGGCTATATCTAGGGCTGGTGCTAGGGCTGTATTTAGGGGTAGTGCTAGGGCTGGATTTAGGGCTAATGCTAGGGCCGGATTTAGGGCTAGGGCTAGGGCTGGATTTAGGGCTAATGCTAGGGCTGTAATTAGGGCTAGGGCTGTATTTAGGGCTAATGCTAGGGCTGGATTTAGGGCAAGTGCTAGGGCTTTATTTAGGACTAGGGCTGGATTTAGGGCTAATACTAGGGCTGTATTTAGGGCTAATGCTAGGGCTGGATTTAGGGCAAGTGCTAGGGCTTTATTTAGGACTAGGGCTGGATTTAGGGCTAATACTAGGGCTGTATTTAGGGCTAGGGCTGTATTCAGGGCTAGTGCTAGGGTTGGATTTAGGGCTAGTGCTAGGGCTGCACTTGAGGAGGGAAACCTGAAGAATCCAATGTTATCTTTGTGTTCGTGTGTTAGCTGGTATCTAGCATCTGTGGCTATGTTTTTCTTTCAACTTGCTGGGATTGAACCAAAGCTAAAGGAGGCTAAGTTTTGTGGACTAGTTCATGTTTTTGATGAGGTATAACATGCCATGGAAGCTCTCACACTGTTATTAATCTTCATTGGATGGTCATTTAAATGGGGGGAGACAGTATAAAGCAGGGGTCTCCGACCTTTTTCACCCGGAGAGCTTCTTTCTCGGGTCTACAATGGCAGAGAACTACTACTTTGAAGATACACTGTGCAATTTTTTGGGCAAAATGTGTTTTAAGATTGCTTCCAGGGGAAAATGTGAGGATTACTGGTGAGAGTTTACTTAAAGACGGTTACTATATAGAGTAATTATTTATCATTCATTAGTTTGTTAGAACAGAGAGAGAGACCAGAGAGAGAGGACACAGAGAGAGGACACAGAGAGAGAGACCGGAGAGAGACCAGAGAGAGACCGGAGAGAGACCAGAGAGAGAGACCGGAGAGAGACCAGAGAGAGACCAGAGAGAGACCAGAGAGAGACCAGAGAGAGACCAGAGAGAGACCAGAGAGAGACCAGAGAGAGAGACCAGAGAGAGACCAGAGAGAGACTAGAGAGAGACCAGAGAGAGACCAGAGAGAGACCACAGAGAGACCACAAAGAGAGACCAGAGAGAGACCAGAGAGAGATCACAGAGAGAGACCAGAGTGAGACCACAGAGAGAGACCAGAGAGAGACCACAGAGAGAGACCAGAGTGAGACCACAGAGAGAGACCAGAGTGAGACCACAGAGAGAGAACAGAGAGAGAGCACTGGGAGAGACCACAAATAGACCACAGAGAGACCAGAGAGAACTTAAATTAAGATTTTAAAAACCCTCGATTCGAGCAAATATTATCTCATAGTTGATTATTTTTGCAGTGTAGGAACAATAAGGTCCCTTTGCCCAGGTCTGGGTAAGGGGCAGACTATGCTATACTTAATTAGCTGTTATTAGTGAGGGCTAATCTAAAGTTTTACGGTATACTTTAATCAATCTTTGTTTGTTTACCCCGGCTGAGACCTCACCAGACCAATCACACAGTCACCTGCTGCTAACAGCTGGTTACTTGAGGAGCAGGTCTCTACAGCTTTCCGCCTCCAGTTTTCCACCTGCGTCACACACACAGCGGTCAGACACGGAGGTAGATTCAGCCGCGATCACATGACCTCCGCCGCCGTCTCACCTCTCTCTGGTTGGGGAAGCCATTGGAGCTGATGATGCTTTTGTAGAAGTGGACCGAGGCCTTGGGGTAACGAGCCTTGTTCTTGTTCCGGAAGTCGACAAAGTAGAGTCCGAATCTCTCCGTGAAGCCTTCGTCCCACTCAAACTTGTCCAGCAGAGACCAGGCGGTGTATCCTTTCACGTTCACGCCGTCTTTGATCGCTGGGAACAAAGATTTCAAAAGACGTCTGAGTGGACTTTGGTTGTAACATAATGCTGCTGCTGTCAGACTGTACAACGAACAATGAGGACACAGACACACTGCCGACCTGAGTTTATATGTCATGCATCTGTGCAATAAGAACCACCAGAGAGAGACCAGAGAGAGAGACCAGAGAGAGACCAGAGAGAGACCAGAGAGAGACCAGAGAGAAACCAGAGAGAGACCAGAGAGAGAGACCAGAGAGAGAGACCAGAGAGACACAAGAGAGAGACCAGAGAAAGACCACAGAGAAACCAGAGAGAGACCAGAGGGAGACCAGAGGGAGCCCAGAGAGAGCCCAGAGAGAGCCCAGAGAGAGCCCAGAGAGAGCCCAAAGAGAGAGACCGGAGAGAGATCAGAGACCAGAGAGAGACCGTAGAGAGATCAGAGAGACCAGAGAGAGACCAGAGAGAGGCCAGAGAGAGACCAGCTAGAGACCAGAGAGAGACCAGAGAGACCAGAGAGAGAGACCTGAGAGAGACCAGAGAGAAACCAGAGAGAGACCAGAGTGAGACCAGAGAGAGAGATCACAGAAAGACCTGAGTCGAGTCACTTTGTCCCAGACCCTCATGTACCAAACATCTACACTTCTTATTATGCTAAAGCTAGAGATATTGTATTTTATCATATAGTTATGTTCATTTATCTTGTGCTGTGCTGCTCCTCATTCTTCTGTTCTGTAACTGCTGATGCAACACTGACATTTCCCTGTGGTTTGATTCCAGCGTGTACCTTTGAGCATCTCGTTGGTGTAGTCCCTGAAGTACTGGATCCTCCACTCGTCGCACAGCTCTGGACACTGCATCTTCTCAGAGACGCCGTTCTCCGTCACGTAGACGGTGGGGTTTCCGTACTGACTCTGCAGGGACAGACACGATCCAGGACTCGCCACGGTCAACCACATTTATGGACTTTATCTACATTTATAAACATTGGTCTCTGCTCCTTATGGACCAATGGCTTCATGTGTTTTTTATCAGAGTATTTCCTTTGATTTTCTGATCTGTTGTTGGAGAATTGACAGCTTTGTAAAGTCCTCTGTTGTGATTTAGGGCGATAGAAAAATGAATTGAATCTTTAACACTAGAACTCCCAGAGCAGTCAATATGACGGCTTTTAGTTTTGGAAGTCATGTAAATTGTAGGGCTTGTACATTTCTCCATTGTGAGATCATCCATCCATCCATTTTCTTCCCCTTAATCCATTTCTGGGTCGGGGGGGGGGTGGCAGTCAGAGCTGCACCCAGTTCACAGAGCACCAGCCTCTCACTGATCCTCCTGCAGGTGGTGAGTCCACAGGAGCTGAGATCTTTCAGCGGGGGCTTCAGGCAAAGTGGGGTTAAGTGTCTTGCCCAAGGACACAACAACAGCAGACATCAGTGGGAGTTGTGAAGAAGATCTTATGGTGGGCTCGAACCCACGACCTTCAGGCCCAAAGGCTCTACCAACTGAGCCACTGTCACCCCAAGTGTATGTGAGATCAATAAAGATTTATCTTAACTTTTTTCTGTGTCTCTGTGTTTTTATTGTTATGTTTTATTTTTGTAATGTATTGTATTACAGCAGTGATAGTATGTAAATGTGCTCTGTATTGTCCCCTGGGGAATTTTGTCCTCTGCATTTGACCCCGATGCTTACGTCAGGAGCAGTGGTCGCCATAGTAACAGCGCCAGGAACCATCTCTAGATGGAGATCTCCCATCTCGGCTTGGTCAGGACCATAGCTGGAGGATTTTTTTAGCCGGAAGAAACTTATGCAGACACAGGGAGAACATGCAAACTCCACTCAGAAAGACCCTATTCCGACCGGGATTTGAACCCAGGACCTTCTTGCTGAGGGGCAAGAGTGCTAACCACTCAGCCACCGTGCCTTTTATTCTATGACAGTATTTGATAGTGACCTTGACAAAGTTGAGCAGGCGTCTGAAGCCCCAGGGCACGGCGTAGAGCCACTCGGAGCCGGGGTCGGGCCACCGGGGGTCCACCAGCTCCGCCAGGTCTCGGTCCTGGAAGTAGCTGCTGCCGCCGCGCGCCGCTACGTTGTTCTTGTGCGTGACGTAGCGTGTGGTGAAGTGGCCGACGCCCAGAAAGTCACATGTGCCTTTGATGTAACTCTTCTCTTCAGGAGAGAATGACGGGAGACGAGACGTGCCCAAGCCCTGCTGAGCACTCTTTCTACCTAAAAACACACACACACACACACACACACACACACACACACACAGACATACACACACACACACACACACACACACACACACACACACACACACACACACACACACAGACATATACACACACACACACACAGAGACATACACAAATATATACACATGAAGAAATGAATTTTATTTGAATGTGGAAATAAACTTCAAAATAAGAACAAAAAACAAACAAACAGAGAGATTATCTGGTAAACTGTGATTATTTATTGTTGTTTTCTTACCAATAAAGTCCTTCATGACTTGGGGGTAGTCTCCGTGGAAGATGGGTGTTGCGAACCATCCTAAGTAGAACTGGACATATCTTTCCGCCGCCTCGATGTCCTTCTGGTCTGTGAGGTCGACCGGCTCGCCCCAGTCTCCCGACAGAGAGATACCGATCGAACCTGCACAAAACAAAACATACTGTGTTTTCTAAAGCACCAAGACGAGTTTGTGTTTCACTAATATCTAATTTAAAATGACTCACCTTTTTGTTTCGCTCTCCATTGTGTGTCGTAGCTGTGCCAGACCTTAGCATGGGCCTAAAGACACATTCATTACAGTGTTATTGTTTGATTTCTTTGATCTTTTATGTTACTATTGTTACCTTTATGATGTGATGTGCAGCTTTGTATGCTCCTGTGCCTTTGAGCTTCAGGCCTGGGGCGTGTTCCCCGGTCTCATAGCCTTCCACTGCCACAGACTGAACACACATGAAATCATCAAAATAAAAAGCCCCGTTTCCACCAGCCCTACTCTACTCAACTCTACTCGGCTCTACTCTATGGTTGTGTTTCCATTAGACCCACCACAATCCATTACGGAGAAAATTCTTTGGCTTCTATCTGAAATCTGGACAATCTCTGTTAGAACCAGCTCTGTCCAGATAGAACCAGAAGCAAGTACTTGGCACCAGTGGAAACGCTTTAAAGATGAGTAGAGAAGAGAAGAGAAGAGTAGAATAGAGAAGGGTAGGGTAGGGTAGGGTAGGGTAGGGCAGGGTAGGGTAGAGTAGAGTAGAGTAGAGTAGAGTAGAGTAGAGTAGAGTAGAGTACAGTACAGTACAGTAGAGTGTAGTAGAGTAGAGTTGAGCAGAGGAGAGTAGAGTAGAGTAGGGTAGGGTAGGGTAGTATAGGCGAGAGCAGAGTAGAGTAGAGTAGAGTAGAGTAGAGTAGAGTAGAGTAGAGTAGAGTAGATTTACCCAGGGATTGTTGAATGTGATCCAATGCTTTACTCGATTTCCAAATTTTTCAAAACACAAATTTGCGTAATCGTTGAAATGGTTGATGATGCTGAGGTTTTGCCATCCTCCGTACTTCTCCTGCAACACCTGCAAACCACACAGTGACGTCAGCGGTGGTGCGTTCAGGTGCGGTGCGTTCTGGTGCGGTGCGTTCAGGTGTTGTGCGTTCAGGGGCGGTGCGTTCAGGGGCGGTGCGTTCAGGTGCGGTGCGTTCAGGTGCGGTGCGTTCAGGTGCGGTGCGTTCAGATGTTGTGCGTTCAGGTTTGGTGCGTTCAGGTATGGTGCGTTCAGATGTGGTGCGTTCAGGTGCGGTGCGTTCAGGTGCGGTGCGTTCAGGTGCGGTGCGTTCAGGTTTGGTGCGTTCAGGTGCGGTGCGTTCAGGTGTGGTGCGTTCAGGTGTGGTGCGTTCAGGTGCGGTGCGTTCAGATGTGGTGCGTTCAGGTGCAGTGCGTTCAGGTGTGGTGCGTTCGAGGACCTTTGAGAGAGTGGGACAGACCTGAGGCAGATCCCAGTGGTACAAGGTGACGATGGGAGTGATGTTGTTCTCCAGAAGTGCGTCCAAGAGCTCGTCATAATACTGGATCCCTCTCTCATTGACGTGGTCGGCTGTCAGAGTAGATAAGGTAAGGGTTAGGGAGCTAGGGTTAGGGGTAGGGGGCTGAGGGTAGGGGGCTAGGGTTAGGGGTAGGGGGCTAGGGTTGAGGGTAGGCGGCTAGGGTTAGGGGTAGGGGGCTAGGGTTGAGGGTAGGCGGCTAGGGTTAGGGGTAGGGGGCTAGGGTTTGGGGTCCCAGGGCGGTAAAACTAGACTCACACTTGATGCCTGTGGGGATGAGGCGAGGCCAAGAGATGGAAAACCTGTAGTGATTCAGCTTCATCTCCTTCATCAGAGACACATCGTCCTAAAACACACACACACAATCTGTCTGAATCTCTCTGAATCTGTTAGAATCTGTCTGAATCTGTCTGAATCTGTAAGAATCTGTTTGAATCTGTTTGAATCTGTTAGAATCTGTCTGAATCTGTCTGAATCTGTCTGAATCTGTTAGAATCTGTTTGAATCTGTTTGAATCTGTTAGAATCTGTCTGAATCTGTCTGAATCTGTTAGAATCTGTCTGAATCTGTCTGAATCTGTTAGAATCTGTCTGAATCTGTTTGAATCTGTCTGAATCTGTTAGAATCTGTCTGAATCTGTCTGAATCTGTCTGAATCTGTTAGAATCTGTTAGAATCTGTCTGAATCTGTTTGAATCTGTCTGAATCTGTTAGAATCTGTCTGAATCTGTAAGAATCTGTTTGAATCTGTCTGAATCTGTTAGAATCTGTCTGAATCTGTCTGAATCTGTCTGAATCTGTCTGAATCTGTTAGAATCTGTCTGAATCTGTCTGAATCTGTCTGAATCTGTCTGAATCTGTTAGAATCTGTCTGAATCTGTTAGAATCTGTCTGAATCTGTCTGAATCTGTTAGAATCTGTCTGAATCTGTCTGAATCTGTTAGAATCTGTTAGAATCTGTCTGAATCTGTCTGAATCTGTCTGAATCTGTTTGAATCTGTCTGAATCTGTCTGAATCTGTTAGAATCTGTCTGCATCTGTTAGAATCTGTCTGAATCTGTCTGAATCTGTCTGAATCTGTTAGAATCTGTTAGAATCTGTCTGAATCTGTTTGAATCTGTCTGAATCTGTTAGAATCTGTCTGAATCTGTAAGAATCTGTTTGAATCTGTCTGAATCTGTTAGAATCTGTCTGAATCTGTCTGAATCTGTCTGAATCTGTCTGAATCTGTTAGAATCTGTCTGAATCTGTCTGAATCTGTCTGAATCTGTCTGAATCTGTTAGAATCTGTCTGAATCTGTTAGAATCTGTCTGAATCTGTCTGAATCTGTCTGAATCTGTCTGAATCTGTCTGAATCTGTAAGAATCTGTTTGAATCTGTTTGAATCTGTTAGAATCTGTCTGAATCTGTCTGAATCTGTCTGAATCTGTTAGAATCTGTTTGAATCTGTTTGAATCTGTTAGAATCTGTCTGAATCTGTCTGAATCTGTTAGAATCTGTCTGAATCTGTCTGAATCTGTTTGAATCTGTCTGAATCTGTTAGAATCTGTCTGAATCTGTCTGAATCTGTCTGAATCTGTTAGAATCTGTTAGAATCTGTCTGAATCTGTTTGAATCTGTCTGAATCTGTTAGAATCTGTCTGAATCTGTAAGAATCTGTTTGAATCTGTCTGAATCTGTTAGAATCTGTCTGAATCTGTCTGAATCTGTCTGAATATGTCTGAATCTGTTAGAATCTGTCTGAATCTGTCTGAATCTGTCTGAATCTGTCTGAATCTGTTAGAATCTGTCTGAATCTGTTAGAATCTGTCTGAATCTGTCTGAATCTGTTAGAATCTGTCTGAATCTGTCTGAATCTGTTAGAATCTGTTAGAATCTGTCTGAATCTGTCTGAATCTGTCTGAATCTGTTTGAATCTGTCTGAATCTGTTTGAATCTGTCTGAATCTGTTAGAATCTGTCTGCATCTGTTAGAATCTGTCTGAATCTGTCTGAATCTGTCTGAATCTGTCTGAATCTGTTTGAATCTGTCTGAATCTGTTTGAATCTGTCTGAATCTGTTAGAATCTGTCTGCATCTGTTAGAATCTGTCTGAATCTGTCTGAATCTGTCTGAATCTGTTAGAATCTGTTAGAATCTGTCTGAATCTGTCTGAATCTGTTAGAATTTGTCAGAACATTTAGAACAGTCACAAAACCACACGGCCATGAGTTCAACTACTCTCAACTACACAGACAGACAGACACACAGACACAGACAGACACAGACAGACACACAGACACACAGACACAGACAGACAGACAGAGAGAGAGATAGACACACAGACAGACAGACACACGGACAGACAGACACACAGACACACACACAGACACACAGACACACAGACACACACAGACACACACAGACACACACAGACACAGACAGACAGAGAGAGAGGTAGATCAATAGATCAGAGATAGATAGACAGATAGACAGACAGATAGACAGATAGATAGATAGACAGATAGACAGATAGACTGATAGACAGATAGACTGATAGATAGATAGAAAGACAGATAGACAGATAGACAGATAGATAGACAGATAGACTGATAGACAGATAGATAGACAGATAGATAGACAGATAGATAGATAGACAGATAGACAGATAGACAGATAGATAGACAGATAGACTGATAGACAGATAGATAGACAGATAGATAGACAGATAGATAGATAGACAGATAGACAGATAGATAGATAGATAGATAGACAGATAGACAGATAGACAGACAGATACAGATAGACAGATAGACAGATAGATAGATAGACAGATAGACAGACAGATAGACAGATAGACAGATGAGTCAATGATACCTTGACTTTGTAGTAGCCTTCCCCAGACGTATCTCCAGTCTGGTTGTGTTGGATCTTTCCTTTCTTGTGGGAGAAGACGTCCCAGATGCTGAGTCCTTTCCCGTCTTTGTCCCAGGCTCCTTCAGTCTGATAGGCAGAACTCCCCGCTCCCCATGAAAATCCTGATGGACGTTTGAAGAGAAAACAAAAAAACAATACCTGAGATCAAAATCAGCATTATCTAAGTATCTATAGTTATTCTAAGATGTGATGGAGAAGATGGAGAAGCAACGGGAGAGCTGCGGAGACTGGGATTCTCTGCTTAGACTGCTGCTTCCGCTACCTGGCCATGGATAAAGCGGAGGAAAATGGCCGCAGTCCTCGTTCTACAGCCTCAGTCCTGGATCTAGTCCTGGGTCTACAGTCTCAGTCCCTGGGTCTACAGCCTCAATTCTAGGTTTACAGCCTCAGTCCTGGATCTACAGCCTCAGTCCTGGGTCTGCAGCCTCAGGCCTGGATCTACAGCCTCAGTCCCTGGGTCTACAGCCTCAGTCCCTGGGTCTACAGCCTCAGTCCTGGATCTACAGCCTCAGTCCTGGGTCTGCAGCCTCAGTCCTGGATCTACAGCCTCAGGCCCTGGGTCTACAGCCTCAGTCCTGGGTCTGCAGCCTCAGGCCTGGATCTACAGCCTCAGTCCCTGGGTCTACAGCCTCAGTCCTGGATCTACAGCCTCAGTCCTGGGTCTACAGCCTCAGTCCTGGGTCTACAGCCTCAGTCCTGGATCTACAGCCTCAGTCCTGGGTCTACAGCCTCAGTCCTGGATCTACAGCCTCAGTCCTGGGTCTACAGCCTCAGTCCTGGGTCTACAGCCTCAGTCCTGGATCTACAGCCTCAGTCCTGGGTCTACAGCCTCAGTCCTGGATCTATAGCCTCAGTCCTGGATCCTACAGCCTCAGTCCTGGGTCTACAGCCTCAGTCCTGGATCTACAGCCTCTCCGTCTTGTGTTCTGAATGCTTCTCTGATCTGTGGGTGAATCAACAACTTTAGCTTATTTGAATTTTACTTTAGCATCCAGCATTATCCGGACTCGAGGTTGCGCTAGTCGTATACAGTAAATGCAGCCAGTACCAGTTGGAAAAGCGCCATAGTAGAAGGAGCCGTGCTGGTTGTTGGTCCAGTCGAAGTCCTCAGCCGCAGACAGACACAGCACCAGCACCAGCACATGTCCCAGAGCGAGAGCAGAGGGCGTCATGGTCCTCGGGCTCACTCCGCTCCTCTCAGGTCTGCAACAACACATTCTCAGCTCTTTACATTGTGTTTCATGTGTGTGGAGGAGGTGTGTGTGTGTGAGGAGGTGTGTGTGGAGGAGGTGTGTGTGTGTGTGGAGGAGGTGTGTGTGTGAGGAGGTGAGTGTGTGGAGGAGGTGTGTGGAGGAGGTGTGTGGAGGAGGTGTGTGTGGAGGAGGTGTGTGGAGGAGGTGAGTGTGGAGGAGGTGTGTGTGTGTGTGTGGAGGAGGTGTGTGTGTGGTGGAGGTGTGTGTGTGTGTGGAGGTGTGTGTGTGTGTGGAGGTGTGTGTGTGTGTGGAGGAGGTGTGTGTGTGGAGGAGGTGTGTGTGTGGAGGAGGTGAGTGTGGAGGAGGTGTGTGTGTGTGTGGAGGAGGTGTGTGTGGAGGAGGTGTGTGGAGGGGTGTGGAGGAGGTGTGTGTGTGGAGGAGGTGTGTGTGTGGAGGAGGTGTGTGTGGAGGAGGTGTGTGGAGGAGGTGTGGGGAGGGTGTGTGTGTGTGGAGGAGGTGTGTGTGTGGAGGAGGTGAGTGGAGGAGGTGTGTGTGTGGAGGAGGTGTGTGTGGAGGAGGTGTGTGGAGGAGGTGTGTGTGGAGGAGGTGTGTGGAGGAGGTGTGTGTGTGTGTGGAGGAGGTGTGTGTGTGGAGGAGGTGAGTGGAGGAGGGTGTGTGTGTGGAGGAGGTGTGTGTGTGGAGGAGGTGAGTGTGGAGGAGGTGTGTGTGTGGAGGAGGTGTGTGTGTGGAGGAGGTGTGTGTGGAGGAGGTGTGTGTGTGGAGGAGGTGTGTGTGGAGGAGGTGTGTGGAGGAGGTGTGTGGAGGAGGTGAGTGGAGGAGGTGAGTGGAGGAGGTGAGTGGAGGAGGTGTGTGTTACAGATAGATTTCTGTGACTGGTCCATTTGACTGTTGTCCATAAACAGGACGTGTCATTTTGAGACAGAGACAGTTTTGTTGCTCTTGAAGAATTAACTTTTCATTTTGAGAAAGTGACTTTTGCAGTTTTTACTAATTGTTTTGAGAAATGCACAAACTGTTGAGTAAATGTGAGAGTGATGTGAGAAATGCACCAAAGCGACTGAGAAAACTGTAAACATTTATGGACATTGGTCTCTGCTCCGTGTGTTTTATTGTGTTTGATTTTCTGATCTGTTGTTGGCGAATCGACGTCTTTGTAAAGTCCTCTGAGAAAACTACTGCTGTGATACAGTACATCAAACTGAATAGATAGATACAGAGATAGATAGATAGATAGATAGAATTATAGAAAGATAGATTTTTTTTATCCTCTGACCTGTTGTTGGCGAATTATATATATATTATATATTATATATATATATATATATGTGTGTGTGTGTCTCTCTTACCTGCAGTGAGAGCCGGGTCCAGACTGAGCCGTGGACCCAGAGCAAAGATGAATATGTCCATTGTGTGTAACTGTTGTGTAGCTGCAGTTTGGGGGAGGCCCACAGTGTTGTCGCAGTATTGTTACTCTAAAAACGCTGAACTGGACACACACAAAATGATTACTTTGCATTATTCATTTAGCTCTCTGCGTCATACAACAATAAGGACACACAACTCCAGCACTCATCAGCTATCATATATTCTACACACACACACACATACTGTATATATACACACATAAACGCACATTATATATATATATATATATATATATATATATATATATATATATATATATATATATATATATATATATATATTCACACATACACACAACACCAGCATTCATTGGCTATCATATATGTATATATATATATACATATATATATATATATATATACACCCACAAACACACATACAGTGGTTCTCAATGTTTGTGATTTTCCTTTATATCTATCCTAAAAGAATAAATCAACCAAATACCACAGCATATTTTCAAACACACATCTGAAATACTGTAGGACAAACACACATCTGAAATACTGTAGGACAAACACACATCTGAAATCTTTCCTGGTTACTATGGTAACTGTCTAAAGTCAGACTTCTTGTCTTAGATTAAAGATCATTTCTCTCTCATTTTTGAATCATCCACAACAAAAACTGTCACATATCAACTAAGGGCTCATTATTACTCTACTCCATCCAGGTTGAGTTGGTAGAGTAGTGTAGAGTAGAGTAGAGTAGAGTAAAGTAGTGCAGAGTAGAGTAGAGTAGAGTAAAGTAGAGTACGTGCGGCTGCGCAGCTGTGAGTCTGAGGTGGTCGTCTGCAGCACTGGGGCCCCTCAGGGCACTGGGGCCCCTCAGGGCACTGTCCTCTCACCGTTTCTCTTCACCATCTACACCTCAGACTTCACACACGACACACACAGCTGTCACCTGCAGAAGTTCTCTGACGACTCCGCCATCGTGGGCTGTGTGTCTGAGGGGAACCAACTGGAATATCGGTCGGTTATCGAGGACTTTGTCGACTGGTGTGAGCGCAACCACTTGTGCTTGAACACCAGTAAGACCAAGGAGATGGTCCTCGACTTCAGGAGAAAACCACTTTCCCACACGCTGCTGAACATCCAGGGGGAGGACATTGAGCTGGTGGACAGCTTCAAGTACCTGGGTGTTCACATTAACAATAAACTGGACTGGTCCATAATACAAACGCCCTGCACAAGAAGGGCCAAAGTCGCCTCTTCCTTCTGAGGAGGAGACTGAGGTCCTTCGGAGTGAGCAGGCCTCTGCTCAGGACTTTTTATGACTCTGTGGTAGCATCTGCCATTTACTACGCTGCCGTGTGCTGGGCCCCGGGCAGCACAGAGCGGGACAGGAGCAGACTGAACAAGCTGGTCAGGAGGGCCAGCTCCACTCTGGGCTCCTCCCTGGACTCTGTGGAGGAGGTGAGGGACAGGAGGCCCCTGGACTCTGTGGAGGAGGTGAGGGACAGGAGGCCCCTGGACTCTGTGGAGGAGGTGAGGGACAGGAGGCCCCTGGACTCTGTGGAGGAGGTGAGGGACAGGAGGTGCTAGTCAAAGCCACCTCCATCATGAACAACACCTCCCACTGCACAGGACTGAGGAGGAGCTGAGGAGCTCCTTCAGTGAAGACTGAGGCACCCTCAGTGGAAGAAGGAGCGGTACCGCAGGGCCTTTATCCACCGCTGTCAGACTGTACAATAAGTCACTTTAAGTCACTGTATAAGACTGAAAAAACTGCACTGACATTGACACTATGTCTGATTGCCACTTTTTTATTGTACATAATATATCCTCATGTTTGCACATTTCCTCTCTTTTTGCACAATCTGGGTGTTTCTATCCATGCCAAATGTCACATGTACATTTCTCCTTTGGGAGATAAATAAAGCATATCTTATCTTATCTTAAAGTAGAGTAAATTAGTGCAGAGTAGAGAAGAGAAAATAATCAGACCATACTTGTGTTCTGACAAAGAACTGTGTGACAGTTTTTTACCCCAGTCCCTTCTGTACTACTCTATAATAATAATAATAATGCATCGGTTTTATATAGCGCTTTTTTGGACACTCAAAGACGCTTCACATGTCATTATTCATTCACTCCAAACACGGTGGTGATAAACTACTAATGTAGCCACAGCTGCCCTGGGGCACACTGACAGAAGCGAGGCAACCAGTATGTGCCATCGGCCCCTCCCACCACCACCAACCATTCACACACACACCAGACTCATTCTAGGCAATGGGGGTGAAGTGTCTTGCCTAAGGACACAACGGCAGTTTGGCACTTTACAGCCGCAGCCGCCCCACTGTGGCTGGTGTTCCCAGAGGTTAAGTGTCTTGCCAAGGACACAACGACAGTAGTCAGTGGGAGTCGATGGTGAAAGTCTTGAGCGGGGCTTGAACCCACGACCTTCTGGCTCAAAGGCCAACGCTCTACCAACTGAGCTACTGCCGCCCTCTTTACTCTATGGTCTCATTATTACTCTATTCTACTCTACTCTATGGTCTCATTATTACTCTACTCTACTCTATGGTCTCATTATTACTCTACTCTACTCTATGGTCTCATTGTTACTCTACGGTCTCATTATTACTGTACTCTATGGTCTCATTGTTACTCTACGGTCTCATTATTACTGTACTCTATGGTCTCATTGTTACTCTACGGTCTCATTATTACTGTACTCTATGGTCTCATTGTTACTCTACGGTCTCATTATTACTGTACTCTATGGTCTCATTATTACTCTACTCTATGGTCTCATCATTACTCTACTCTACTCTATGGTCTCATCATTACTTTACTCTATGGTCTCATTATTACTCTACTCCAGCCATTCCCAAACTCAGTAACACCGAGGCCCCCTTAAAAATCTGACGGGTCTGCGTGGCCCCCCAAAATAATAACCAAGAAGACAACATTAAGAATAGGCTCTTCTGGTTATTTTATTTTGGGGAAATAGCCTCTGCTACAAACATTGTAATACAAAAATGATTACAGTGGATTATTCAAGTCAAATAATGAACACAAATATTTTAATATTACAAACAAAACATTATAAATTTAACATTAAATAATTATATATATATATATTTTTTTTTTTATGACCTCCCGCGGCCCCCCTGCAGTACCCTCGCGGCCCACCAGGGGGCCGCGGACCCCACTTTGGGAGACACTGCTCTACTCTATGGTCTCATCATTACTCTACTCTACTCTATGGTCTCATTACTTTACTCTATGGTCTCATTATTACTCTACTCTATGGTCTCATTATTACTCTACTCTATGGTCTCATTATTACTCTACTCTATGATCTCATTATTACTCTACTCTCATAAACATACTCAGAAGAGGTGACAATACTCAAACACATCCAGTGGAGTTTTTGTTGTGTTTGTGAATCACTGTCAAATAATAATCTGAGAAAACATTTGGACTTTTGCTTTTTCAGTTTCTTTGAATAATAAAAATGAATCTTATTTCCCAGAGTTGAAGTTTCAGCTGCAACATGAAAGAGACATATTTTATGAATGTCAGATGTTGAAATGAACCAAAAGAACAAGCATCACATTTAAATAGTTTTACTCACTTCAAATCAGACGTATTTAAGCCACTGCTTCTATTGGCACATTTTAAAACAAGATATGGTCAAATAAGGCAAATACTGGATTCATTTCCGGGTCTCTCTTCTGTACCAGTGCTAACCGCTAACCGCTAACTGCTAACACAACATGCCATCATCAAACAGATTAACAAGGTTCAAAAGGTTCAATCAAATACTTTGTGTTTATTGAGACCAAGTTTTACATCGAGGAAAAGCAGATGACAGGTGTGTGTGTGTGTGTGTCTGTGTCATGAATATATGTGTGTCATGAATGTAAGTGTGTGTGTGTATTTCACTGTGTGCGTGTGTGTGTCATGAATGTAAGTGTGTGTGTGTGTGTGAGCATCTGTGTGTGTGTGTGTGTGTGTGTATTTCACTGTGTGCGTGTGTGTGTGTTTGTATGAGAAAGCAGCATTTCAGATTTATGCAGCTAAAATCTGGAACAGTCTTCCTGAAAATTTGAGGCAGGCTTCTTCTCTGACAATGTTCAAATCCAGGTTAAAAGTCGTATTAAAGTTATTAATGATTTAATGCTTTGTGTGTCGTTTTGTTCAGCACTTTATGAACTGTGATATACAAAGAGTGTGTGTGTGTGTGTGTGTGTGTGTGTGTCATGGACAGTAAGTGTGTGTGAGAGAGAACTGGGGCGCACAATAACAAAATGTACATTTCCTAAATGAGGTGAAACTCGCAGCGTCCTGATCTTCGTCACAGTCGTAACATTGTTTTTGTCGTGAACTTTAAATAAATTAAACACTGAGATTCTTTCTTTTCAGTGAAAAAGCTTCAGTCTCTGAAGTCCGTGACGTGGAGCTCAATAATCATCGTCCTCTTGATCTTCATCAGGCCCCAGCTCAGAGTCCTCTTCCTCTTCCTCCTCCTCTTCCTCTTCCTCGTCCTCCTCTGCTCCATTGTCCTCTGCTGCATTCAGCAACAGTTTGGTCTGATTTATTTCCCTCTCATCGTCCGGATTTATACAAACCTGAAAGAAAATAGTTTAGTAATAATAATAATTATAATAATAATAATACTACTACATTGGTTTTATACAGCTGCCCTGGGGCACACTAACAGAAGTGAGGCAACCAGTCTGTGCCATCAGCCCCTCCCACCACCACCAACCATTCACACACACCAGACTCATTCTCATGTGGGGGAAGTGTCTTGCCTAAGGACACAACCACAGTTTGGCACTTTACAGCCGCCCCACTGTGGCACCTGCTGTTCCCAGAGGTCTCCCATCACAGTACTAACCAGGCCCTACCATGCATAGCTTCAGAGGTCTGACAGGATCTGGCTTTTACATGTAAGTAGAGTTTGCATTTGTTACACCGGATCAATGTCTCTGGACCAATCCTCGTAGTGTAATTACAGTTACTTTAGTTACTCTACAGTTACTTTACAGTTACTATACACTTACTATACAGATAATTTACAGTTACTTTAGTTACTTTACCAGTGGTTCTTCCGCCTGCTCCTCGCCGTCTCCGTCCTCAGACATGGCGTGGATCATGGATTTTAAGGCGCCCTCCTCAAACTGTGGACAGAGGTTACATGTTGTCATGAAAGTGTGTTACATGAAGGAATAAACTACATCTAAATGAGTGCCTCCTTTAGTTTATCTGTGTTCTTCTGTTTACAGGATTCTGACCAGTCAAAATGATTATCGTAAAGTCAAGGCTACAAATGTACAATACATATGTATTGGTTTTGCACATTTCATTCAGAAACTGTGGATAAATTAAAACAAAAATAATGGGTCTAAAAATACAACCTGATTAACCAAATGAAAATAGATTCTTTTATGACACTTTTGATGTAACTGTTAAAACTGACCTCTCAGAACAGTCTGAAGAAGAGTCATTCACCACCACATGTTTAAGTTGAAGATTAAAGGTGGAGTAAGCGAAGTTGTTAGCTTAGCCGTAGCACCAACTCTCCCCCCTCCCCTCCCTCTCCATCAAACCACCCTTTCTGCACTGACTCCCACTGATGTCTTGTGTCTGGGAACACCTAATGCCACAGTGGGGCGGCTGCGGCTGTAAAGTGCCAAACTGCCGTTGTGTCCTTAGGCAAGACACTTCCCTCACATTAGAATGAGTCTGGTGTGTGTGAATGGTTGGTGGTGGTGGGAGGGGCTGATGGCACAGACTGGTTTCCTCCCTTCTGTCAGTGTGCCCCAGGGCAGCTGTGGCTACAGTAGTAGTTTATCACCACCGTGTTTGGAGTGAAAGATTAATGACATTTGAAGCGTCTTTGAGTGTCCAGAAAAGCGCTATAAAAAAACCAATGCATTAATATTATTATTATTATTAAACGCATCCCATTGGTTCGTTGTTGATGAATGAATCCCATTGGTTTATTTTTATCGGCCCACTCCAAAATATTTGTTATTAATTTTTGTAGACTATTAGACTAATTGACCATCTGGTCAATTCTATTACTATTTGAAAACACATGATAACTTGATACTTTTAGGGTTTAAGGACGTTTTCCCACAATACAAAAAAAAAAATCATCTGGAAAACATAGCTGACTGCATCTTTAAAGCTAACATATCTAAAGGCAGAGGCCGAGGAGGACATGGGTTTAAAGCCATGTGCACGCTGCAAATCTGGGATCGAGTCTTTTTAACCAACAATAAAATATATTCTGCTGTGACTCGATCCCAGACGTCTACATACATTCTCATTTTGTTCAGTTATTTCCCACTGAAGTCGCAGCAGGACACAGTATTGCACAGAGACAGAAGTGCAATAGTGAAGTGTACCTTGAGTCTGTTGAGCTGGTCCTGCAGAGTCACCTTTAACTTCAGAAGCGTCTCTGCTTCTTTCTTCAGCTCCTGCAGGCGGCTGTGCATGTTCCCGCGGACAGACCCTCTCTCCCGGACCTCAGACCTCTCTCACGGACTCTCTCTCACGGACTCTCTCTCACGGACCTCTCTCACGGACCTCTCTCACGGACCTCTCTCACGGACCTCTCTCCCGGACCTCAGACCTCTCTCACGGACCTCTCTCCCGGACCTCAGACCTCAGACCTCAGACGGACTCTCTCTCACGGACCTCTCTCACGGACCTCTCTCACGGACCTCTCTCACGGACCTCTCTCACGGACCTCTCTCACGGACCTCTCTCACGGACCTCTCTCACGGACCTCTCTCACGGACCTCTCTCACGGACCTCTCTCACGGACCTCAGACCTCAGACGGACTCTCTCTCACGGACCTCTCTCACGGACCTCTCTCACGGACCTCTCTCACGGACCTCTCTCCCGGACCTCAGACCTCAGACGGACTCTCTCTCACGGACCTCTCTCACGGACCTCTCTCACGGACCTCTCTCACGGACCTCTCTCACGGACCTCTCTCCCGGACCTCAGACCTCTCTCTCAGACCTCTCTCACGGACCTCTCTCACGGACCTCAGACCTCTCTCTCGGACCTCTCTCACGGACCTCAGACCTCTCTCTCAGACCTCTCTCCCGGACCTCAGACCTCAGACGGACTCTCTCTCACGGACCTCAGACCTCAGACAGAGCCGCTGTGGAGAAGCCTCTACAATCATTCTGTCCCATAGTTTAACGTTGTTGAATGTTTTTGCTTTTGGTTGTGTTCGCTGGTTTGTTTTGGTGTGCGCGTGCAGGGCTCGGTGTTTACTTCCGCATCGTCACATCCGGGTTTCTTCTTCGCGTGATTTGCGCCAAAGACAAGTGCGCGACAGCCCCTAGTGGTTTATTAGTCAGGGTGCAGATGGGGTTTGTGGACTGCTCTTCTCTACTCTACAAGACCACAGGGAGAGACAAGAGAGAGAGATCAGAGAGAGACCAGAGAGAGACCAGAGCGAGACCAGAGAGAAATACCAAAGAAAGACCAGACAGAGACCAGAGAGAAAGACTAGAGAGAGACCAGAGCGAGACCAGAGAGACCACTAGAGAGAGATTAGAGAGAGATCAGAGAGAGACCAGAGAGAGACCAGAGAGAGACCAGAGAGCCCACTAGAGAGAGATCAGAGAGAGACCAGAGAGAGACTAGAGAGAAATACCAAAGAAAGACCAGACAGAGACCAGAGAGAAAGACCAGAGAGAGACCAGAGCGAGACCAGAGAGAGACCAGAGAGAGAGATCAGAGAGAGACCAAAGAGAGAGATCAGAGAGAGACCAGAGAGAGACCAGAGAGACCAGAGAGAGACTAGAGAGAGACCAGAGAGAGACCAGAGAGACCAGAGAGAGACTAGAGAGAGACCAGAGCGAGACCAGAGAGAGAGATCAGAGAGAGACCAGAGAGAGACTAGAGAGAGATCAGAGAGAGACCAAAGAGAGACTAGAGAGAGACCAGAGAGAGACCAGAGAGACCAGAGAGAGACTAGAGAGAGACCAGAGCGAGACCAGAGAGAGACCAGAGAGAGACTAGAGAGAGACCGGAGAGAGACCAGAGAGAGACTAGAGAGAGACTAGAGAGAGACCGGAGAGAGACCAGAGAGAGACTAGAGAGAGACTAGAGAAAGACTAGAGAAAGACCAGCTAAAGAATAGAGAGAGAGAGACCAAAGAGAAAGACCAGAGAGAGAGAACAGAGAGTGAGACTAGAGACAGAGAGAAAGACCAGAGAGAGACTAGAGATCAGAGATAGACAAGAGAGAAACCAGAGAGAGAAATAGAGACCAGAGAGAGGGACTAGAAACCATTTAGAGAGAGACCAGAGAGAGGTGCTTCGCTCTCAAAGAGGACTGTGAGCTGTAAATTCTGGAGGTTCTTTATGAATCCAGTTCTTAGAATAATCAATGACTCCTCTGGCTTCTGGAGAAGCCATGTTCCAGCTTCTTCCCTCTGGCAGAAGATATTGTTGGCTGCAGGACATTTGGACATGCTAACAGCTTCTTTCCACAAGCTGTTATCACTCTGAACAAATCACTCTGGTTTCTCTCTGTTTCTCTCTAGTCTCTCTCCGGTCTCTCTCTGTTTCTCTCTAGTCTCTCTCCGGTCTCTCTCTGGTCTCGTTGGTCTCTCTCTGGTCTCTGTCCGGTCTCTCTCTGGTCTTTCTCTGGTCTCTCTCTGGTCTCTCTCTGGTCTCTCTCTGGTCTCTCTCTGGTCTCTCTCTGGTCTCTCTCTAGTCTCTCTCTGGTCTCTCTCTGGTCTCTCTTTCTGGTCTCTCTCTGGTCTCTCTCTGGTCTCTCTCTGGTCTCTCTCTGGTCTCGCTGGTTTCTCTTGGGGGTCTCTCTGTCATGAAACTGGTTTTATTGATTGATTTCAAAGCGACAATTACTTCTTGTACTTTTTACCGTGTTTAATTCCCGTTCTTGTCTGTTCCACTCTGAGGACTCTTGCACATGTATTCCAACATGGTTTTACTGCAAACGGCAAATAGACTAAATCTGAATCTGGTTTTTGCATCTCCCCAAACCTTTTGATTGTCACTGCGATGATGTTAGGGTTGGGGTTCCTGTCGGTCCCAGGTCCCGGGCTGAGGACTGGGGGCAGCTGGGCCCTGTGTGTGACTGTGTCTGTGCGTTATTTGAAGGTTCCTCCGGTGTCTGTGGAATGCAGGGCTCAGTGTGTGGAGAAAGGGGCCCACCAAAAGGGCAGGACCGCGGGGGGCAGTGAACACACAGGGGAGAGGGGAGGGGCCGACCCTTGACCTCTTCTGTCAGGAAGATATGACTCAATCTTTCACACTGTAGTAAACAGAACAGGAGACTGCGGCGAGAGACGGATCTGAGCCAAGAATCAAATATGTTCAGACAGAAATGACAAAAGAAATCATTAAAATATAGTAAATATGTTGAAATATTCTAGAGCTGTGTGCTGTATCTCCTGTGTGCGGAGACTTTGGGCTGGATGTGCTTTGATGCCATTTTTAAAAACTTATGTGAAAGTAATGTTTTAGTTGACCAGCAGAGGGGGCTGTTGGCTTGTTTCACTCTTTTGCTCGTAGCGGCCCTGGCACCACTGAACACGGATTGGTTTGTCAGTGCATTTATACTAATTTCTAACAGAGTAATATGTAATATGTAGATTTTAATGTTCATGATTTGCACTCCCATCTCTGTTTGGAGTGAGACAAATGCCCACAACAATTATAGAGCGCTCTGTGACTCTGGTCTGTGAAAGGCGCTATATAAAAAAAACATTACTTCCTTCCTTCCTTACATACTTACTTACTTACTTACTTAATCACTTAGTTGATGTGATATGGGTTGTGAGGCGCGTTGTGTTGCTTTGTGTAGGAAATGTGCTCTATACAAATGTTGATTGATATTCATTTTGGCCATTTCAACCAAGAATTACCATCGCAAATAAATAAATAAACTATGTCTGTAAAGATCTCTGGCCAACGTAGTAGAAAGTATTGAAATGACCAAAACTACTACTACTACTACTTCATACTGCTGCGGTGTAGTATGATGTTGGAATCTTATCTCCTCTGAGAGAACCTGCTCTGTCCAAAACGAAAGTGTCCTGTGTTGTGTCCAAAGTCCTCCAAGGTCAGTTCAATCCAAGGCCAGTGGCTCAGCGCGAGAGAAGAAGGAAATCTGGGACACGTTCAACATATGAGGGAGAGGTTTTAGTACAATATAAATGTTTATTTTTGTTTTTTACTCCATTGCAGTGTTCCCATGCAGCCATCACACACAGGGCAAGGCATGAGTGTGATTTATTCAGTTTGAAAAGTCATAAAGTAATATCAAGACTCTTGGAGCAGGAGGCCAGTCCCTGTGCTCCTCAGAGTCCCAGCAGGAGGCCAGTCCCTGTGCTCCTCAGAGTCCCAGCAGGAGGCCAGTCCCTGTGCTCCTCAGAGTCCCAGCAGGAGGCCAGTCCCTGTGCTCCTCAGAGTCCCAGCAGGAGGCCAGTCCCTGTGCTCCTCAGAGTCCCAGCTGGAGGCCAGTCCCTGTGCTCCTCAGAGTCCCAGCTGGAGGCCAGTCCCTGTGCTCCTCAGAGTCCCAGCAGGAGGCCAGTCCCTGTGCTCCTCAGAGTCCCAGCTCGAGGCCAGTCCCTGTGCTCCTCAGAGTCCCAGCAGGAGGCTAAGTCCCTGTGCTCCTCAGAGTCCCAGCAGGAGGCCAGTCCCTGTGCTCCTCAGAGTCCCAGCTGGAGGCCAGTCCCTGTGCTCCTCAGAGTCCCAGCAGAAGGCCAGTCCCTGTGCTCCTCAGCAGATTGGTATTTTTTATTTTTGTGTTATAATTATAGTGAGAAAGTACTGTCTTTAACCTTTGCAACAATGTGTTTAAAACCAACATAAATACACAGTTCCCTCAGAGACATTTAGACGTTTTTGTTCCGTTTTGTTTCGAGCGATGAAGAAATGTAGAAGTTTTGTTTGATCCAACTCTTTTCACAGCTGCTGTTTGGGATTCTGTTTTTCTTTGTTGTTCTGTGAAATTGTGCTGTAGAGATTTTGAAATAAAGTCTCTAGCTTTAGCGATTAAAAGATTATTAAAATCATTACATAGTTTGTGAGTTTATATTTGTTTGTTGTTGAAAATAATCAAACATTAAAACTCTATAAAGTTAATGTCATAAACTTGTCTAGTTTATGGTCCCTGTGATCACGATTTACGAGTCACCAACATAATCTAGATCTTCTTTAATTCTTTTTAAACTAATTCTGGATCAGATTTATCTCTCTCTTTGCTGTGGTTTGTATCAACAATTATTAAAGAGATTTAAAATATTTTTATTTGATTAAACATTTAAACTACGGTCATAAGACGATCGAGTCCAGCAGGAACCAAACTGGGCTCCAACAATAATAATAATAATAATAATAATAATAATAATAATAATAATAATAATAATAATAATAATAATAATAGTAGGTCTCTCTCAGGTGTCTCACTTTTCTCTCACTGGATTTTTTATTCTATTATTTATGTACATTTATTCACATGTGTTTTAACTGTTTGAGAGACCAGAGAGAGACCAGAGAGAGAGACCAGAGAGAGACCAGAGAGAGAGACCAGAGAGAGAGTCCAGAGAGAGACAAGAGAGAGACCAGAGAGAGAGACCAGATAGAGAGAGAGACCAGAGAGAGAGTCCAGAGAGAGCCCAGAGAGAGACCAGAGAGAGACCAGAGAGAGACCAGAGAGAGAGTCCAGAGAGAGACAAGAGAGAGACCAGAGAGAGACCAGAGAGAGACAAGAGAGAGACCAGAGAGAGAGTCCAGATAGAGACCAGAGAGACCAGAGAGAGAGCCCAGAGAGAGTCCAGAGAGAGACCAGAGAGAGCCCAGAGAGAGACCAGAGAGAGGCCAGAGAGAGACAAGAGAGAGACCAGAGAGAGACGAGAGACCAGAGAGAGACCAGAGAGAGAGCCCAGAGAGAGTCCAGAGAGAGACCAGAGAGAGAGCCCAGAGAGAGACCAGAGAGAGGCCAGAGAGAGACAAGAGAGAGACCAGAGAGAGACCAGAGAGAGGCCAGAGAGAGACAAGAGAGAGACCAGAGAGAGACCAGAGAGAACAGGATTGGTTCTGAAGCTCGTTGTGAGAGACTTTAATGAAACGATCCGAGTCTAATTTGAAAGTTCGGTCGTCGCGACAGGTCCTGAGAATGTTTGGTTTAATATTTCAGTTTTGAACATGTAAAGATAATTCAATAAGTGCTCTGAAGAGAAGCGAGCAAAGTGGGTTTGTAATTGTTCCATGTCTGCAGCAGCAGGCTGTGGGCAAGACCTGACGCCAGACTCCACACTATCACTGCTACGCCTGATGGAGAGATAGCAGCAGGGAGCAGCAGGCACAGCAGAGCCTGGAGGGGGAGGCCAGACTGTCTGCACCGGAGAGACAGGGGGGAGGGGAGGGGAGGGGAGGAGGGGAGAGAGAGACAGGGGGGGAGGGGAGGAGGGGAGAGAGAGGGGGGAGGAGAGAGACAGAAGGGAGACACGGGAGAGTGGGGAGGGAAGGAGGAGAGAGAGAGAGGGGAGGAGAGAGACAGAAGGGGGAAAGACAGGGGAGAGATAGAAGAGAGGGAGAGAGGGGAGAGAGAGAGAGGGGAGGAGAGAGACAGAAGGGGGAAAGACAGGGGAGAGATAGAAGAGAGGGAGAGAGGGGAGAGAGATGGGAGGGAAGGAGGGGAGAGAGAGAGGAGGGAAGGAGGGGAGAGGGAGCGAGAGGGGAGAGATAGAAGAGAGGGAGATAGGGGAGAGAGATGGGAGGGAAGGAGGGGACAGACAGAGGGGAGAGACAGAGGGGACAGACAGAGGGGAGAGACAGAGGGGACAGACAGAGGGGAGAGACAGAGGGGAGAGACAGAGGGGAGAGACAGAGGGGAGAGACAGAGGGGAGAGACAGAGGGGACAGACAGAGGGGAGAGACAGAGGGGACAGACAGAGGGGAGAGACAGAGGGGACAGACAGAGGGGAGAGACAGAGGGGAGAGACAGAGGGGACAGACAGAGGGGAGAGACAGAGGGGAGAGACAGAGGGGAGAGACAGAGGGGACAGACAGAGGGGAGAGACAGAGGGGACAGACAGAGGGGAGAGACAGAGGGGAGCCCAGATGCAACGTCGACCATGAAAACATGTGTTCTTCAAATGCCAGAGACTTTAATGTTCCAGTGTCCTGCTCTAAAACAGAGGTAAACACAGATGATTGTACCTGTGCTCACTTTTCTGCAGCCTCCTGATCAGTCTGTGGGAGAATGGCAGGAACCGTCTGTCTGAGGCGCACCTGAGATGCTCTTTGTTCAGTGTGTGGCAGAGGTGGCTCTGGGAGAGAATAGTGCAGCCACAGAGTCTGCCTCTCCAGGCCCAGCCCGGCCTGGCCCCGGCCCGGCCCCGGCCCCTCACTTATCAGCTGGCTCAGCAGCCACAAAGAACTGGCTAAACAAGGCCTTGTTTATCTTTGCAGACTGTATTCACTGCACATCGCAGCCACTGGTGGTGGCACCACTGCTCTGATCTGTCTGTCCAGAGAAAGGTCACCAGCCTGCGGTGAACATTAGTGAACAAGAGCAGAACAACAGTCTCACGATCAGCGGCTCCGCTCAAAGCTCTCTGCTGTAGAAGACCATGTGTTACAATGTCCATGGTTTTAGAAATCTTTTTTACACTTAGGAGTGACCCTGTGTCGCTCCCAGGCCCTTATCTGTGAGTCAGAGCATGACTCTAGACGCTGCAGACATTGCTATCAAACTGGTCCTGTCTCTGCGAAAGGAAATCATCCAATCTGCCCCGAGGACGCAGACTCTGGGCCTGAGAGGACGCAGACTCTGGGCCTGAGAGGACGCAGACTCTGGGCCTGAGACTCTGGGCCTGAGAGGACGCAGACACTGGGCCTGAGAGGACGCAGACACTGGGCCTGAGAGGACACAGACACTGGGCCTGAGACTCTGGGCCTGTGATAACACACTAATGATGCAGAGACGGGTGTGAGACACAGCCACACTACTGCTCTACAAACATTTATATAATGTATAACATTTATATGTTATACATGTGTCTTCCTCTGTGTCTGTCTCTGTGTCTTCCTCTGTGTCTGTCTCTGTGTCTTCCTCTGTGTCTCCCTCTGTGTCTTCCTCTGTGTCTGTCTCTGTGTCTTCCTCTGTGTCTGTCTCTGTGTCTTCCTCTGTGTCTGTCTCTGTGTCTTCCTCTGTGTCTGTCTCTGTGTCTTCCTCTGTGTCTCCCTCTGTGTCTTCCTCTGTGTCTGTCTCTGTGTCTTCCTCTGTGTCTCCCTCTGTGTCTTCCTCTGTGTCTCCTTCTGTGTCTTCCTCTGTGTCTTCCTCTGTGTCTTCCTCTGTGTCTGTCTCTGTGCTCTTCCTCTGTGTCTGTCTCTGTGTCTTCCTCTGTGTCTCCCTCTGTGTCTGTCTTTGTGTCTTCCTCTGTGTCTCCCTCTGTGTCTCCCTCTGTGTCTTCCTCTGTGTCTGTCTCTGTGTCTTCCTCTGTGTCTGTCTCTGTGTCTTCCTCTGTGTCTCCCTCTGTGTCTTCCTCTGTATCTGTCTCTGTGTCTTCCTCTGTGTCTCCTTCTGTGTCTTCCTCTGTGTCTTCCTCTGTGTCTGTCTCTGTGCTCTTCCTCTGTGTCTGTCTCTGTGTCTTCCTCTGTGTCTCCCTCTGTGTCTGTCTTTGTGTCTTCCTCTGTGTCTCCCTCTGTGTCTCCCTCTGTGTCTTCCTCTGTGTCTGTCTCTGTGTCTTCCTCTGTGCCTTCCTCTGTGTCTGTCTCTGTGTCTGTCTCTGTGTCTTCCTCTGTGCCTTCTTCTGTGTCTGTCTCTGTGTCTTCCTCTGTGTCTTCCTCTGTGTCTTTCTCTATGTCTGTCTCTGTCTCTGTGTCTTCCTCTGTGTCTGTCTCTGTGTCTTCCTCTGTGTCTGTCTCTGTGTCTGTCTCTGTGTCTGTCTCTATGTCTGTCTCTGTGTCTTCCTCTGTGTCTCCCTCTGTGCTCTTCCTCTGTGTCTTCCTCTGTGTCTGTCTCTGTGTCTGTCTCTGTGCTCTGTCTCTGTGCTCTCCCTCTGTGTCTGTCTCTGTGCTCTGTCTCTGTGTCTTCCTCTGTGTCTTCCTGTGTGTCTCCCTCTGTGCTCTTCCTCTGTGTCTTCCTCTGTGCTCTTCCTCTGTCTCTTCCTCTGTGACTTCCTCTGTGTCTTCCTCTGTGTCTTCCTCTGTGTCTCCCTCTGTGTCTTCCTCTGTGTCTCCTTCTGTGCTCTTCCTCTGTGTCTTCCTCTGTGTCTCCCTCTGTGTCTTCCTCTGTGTCTGTCTCTGTGTCTTCCTCTGTGTCTGTCTCTGTGTCTTCCTCTGTGTCTCCCTCTGTGTCTTCCTCTGTGTCTCCCTCTGTGTCTTCCTCTGTGTCTCCCTCTGTGTCTTCCTCTGTGTCTCCCTCTGTGCTCTTCCTCTGTGTCTTCCTCTGTGTCTCCCTCTGTGTCTTCCTCTGTGTCTGTCTCTGTGTCTTCCTCTGTGTCTCCCTCTGTGTCTTCCTCTGTGTCTCCCTCTGTGTCTTCCTCTGTGTCTCCCTCTGTGTCTTCCTCTGTGTCTCCCTCTGTGCTCTTCCTCTGTGTCTTCCTCTGTGTCTCCCTCTGTGTCTTCCTCTGTGTCTGTCTCTGTGTCTTCCTCTGTGTCTCCCTCTGTGTCTTCCTCTGTGTCTCCCTCTGTGTCTTCCTCTGTGTCTGTCTCTGTGTCTTCCTCTGTGCTCTTCCTTTGTCTCTTCCTCTGTGACTTCCTCTGTGTCTTCCTCTGTGTCTTCCTCTGTGTCTCCCTCTGTGTCTTCCTCTGTGTCTTCCTCTGTGTCTCCCTCTGTGTCTTCCTCTGTGTCTGTCTCTGTGTCTTCCTCTGTGCTCTTCCTCTGTGTCTTCCTCTGTGTCTGTCTCTGTGTCTTCCTCTGTGTCTGTCTCTGTGTCTTCCTCTGTGTCTTCCTCTGTGTCTTCCTCTGTGTCTTCCTCTGTGCACTGAGGACCTTCTCTCTGTGTTTTCTCATGTGTTTTCACTGTAGATCAGAGAAAGAGACTGCGGCGAAGCAGAGGCTTAACGAAGGCGGCGTCGGTTCTGAAACTTCAGGATCAGTTTTACTAAAATCACAAACTCAAAACTGAGTCAAAACTAACTCTATTTTCATTCCACAAATAACAACATTTTAACACCAGCTTTTCCACAACACCACAGGCTTTTATACTGGTTTCGGTTTCCACTCTTTATACTTTCTGAAATGAGTTTCTACACTGCAAAAAGTGATGGAAAATAAGTCAAAAATTGCTCAAATTTGGCAAAATGTGTCTTCAACCAGTCTTAAACTAGATTCTCCAACGGGACAAAGCAAAATTATCTTGTTTTATAAAGATACAGAAATGTCTTTGGAATGAGGAGATAAAGCCACAGTGGTTAAAATCAGACTAAATGGTTTTGTTCCATTGGAGAAGCTAGTTTTAACACAGTCACAAGGTTTAATAGTTTTTAGTAACCAGCATTTTTAATTTGAACTGTAGATTATTATGCAAGTTATATAATTGTTTTTCCGAGGACCACAGGTAGAAAGAAGCTGGAGCTAAATCTTTTTAATGCAACTGCACATTGTCATAAATTAAACTTCAAGTAAGACCAAAAGCACTCGATCCAAGCCATTTTTACAGAATATTTCACCTTTTCTCAAAGTGTAGTTTTGGCAATAGTTTTACCATTAATGAAGTGCTTTTCCGTGCGTTTGACCCATTACCCGGGCCATACAGACACATAAACATATCCAGAGCCTGTGGTTCTGGCCTGGTTCTGGCCTGGTCCTGGGAACGCTGCTCACAACATTATTCTAGTCTAAGTGTATGTTGCATAAATCCAGCACAAAATACATGAAGCTGTTTGTTTTTCTTCCCCTGTTCAACAAAATCAAAAACAGCCTAAAATACATAAACAGAGAGAGGCAGGTCACTGCTGCTTTCCTCTGAGTCTGCTGCTGCTGTTACTGCTGCTGCTGATACTACTACTGCTGATACTACTGCTGCTGCTGCTACTGCTGTTGCTGCTGCTGCTGCTACTACTGCTGCTGCTGCTAGTGCTACTGCTACTGCTGCTGCTGCTGCTGATACTACTGCTGCTGATACTACTACTGCTGATACTACTGCTACTGCTGCTGCTGCTGCTGATACTACTGCTGCTGATACTACTACTGCTGATACTACTGCTACTGCTGCTGCTGCTACTACTGCTGCTGATACTACTACTGCTGATACTACTACTGCTGCTGCTGCTAGTGCTAGTGCTAGTGCTACTGCTACTACTACTACTGCTGCAGCTGCTAGTGCTACTGCTACTGCTGCTGCTGCTGCTGATACTACTGCTGCTGATACTACTACTGCTGATACTACTGCTGCTGCTGCTGCTGCTGCTAGTGCTAGTGCTAGTGCTACTGCTACTACTGCTACTGCTGCCAGTGCTACTGCTGCTGCTGCTGCTACTGCTGCTGCTGCTGCTGCTGCTGCTGCTACTACTACTGCTGCTGCTGCTGCTGCTAGTGCTACTGCTACTGCTGCTGCTGCTGCTGCTGCTACTGCTGCTGCTGCTGCTGCTGCTGCTGCTGCTGCTGCTACTGCTGCTGCTGCTACTGCTGCTGCTGCTGCTGCTGCTGCTGCTGGCGCCATGCTCTCACAGAGCTGCCATAATCAGGAACAGCGAGGGGCAGGCTCTATCAGGACCACTTTCTTTCCCTTTCCTTTGTTTTCTGCACATTTCCTTCCTCGTTTTCTTAGATATTCTGTCTCCACTGATGTAAGTCCAAGCACAGGGCTATTTAGAAAGTAAACAGACGGAGGAAGACTCGGCGGCGCTGGAGTCGGGTCGAGGTGCGACCACTTTACTTAAGTCAGGGAGTTAGGGTTAGGGTCAGTGAAGGGAGACAGTTAGATACATTAATGATCTCCGTCAGAGAAATGCAGGTGTCCAGTAACAGCAAAAATCTAAAATAAAATAGATCATTCTAAAAATCTAACAATAATAATAATAAACAACAGTCCTTCAGGTCACAGCAGCAGAGGTGGAGCCGCTTGGTTCAGACCTGAATCCTCTCTGCTCTGGTCTGGACCAGTGTAAAACCATGAATCCTCTCTGCTCTGGTCTGGACCAGTGTAAAACCATGAATCCTCTCTGCTCTGGTTTGGACCAGTGTAAAACCATGAATCCTCTCTGCTCTGGTCTGGACCAGTGTAAAACCATGAATCCTCTCTGCTCTGGTCTGGACCAGTGTAAAACCATGAATCCTCTCTGCTCTGGTCTGGACCAGTGTAAAACCATGAATCCTCTCTGCTCTGGTCTGGACCAGTGTAAAACCATGAATCCTCTCTGCTCTGGTCTGGACCAGTGTAAAACCATGAATCCAGTCAAAATGAGCTCAGGTTAAGACAAAAACACTAAATTCAAGCATTATTACCTCATATTTTATTGTTTTTAGTGTTCCATTGTTGTTGAACTCATTCTGGTCAAGGCCGAAAGAAAAACTGTTTACTTCATTCTAAAAGTTGGTCGAGCATCATAGAGAGACTTGGAACCCAGTGGTCGTGGGTTCGATCCCCCCATGACCCAAGCCATCTGCTCCCACTGATGTCTGCTGTTGTTGTGTCCCTGGGCCAAACACTTAACCCCACTTTGCCTGAAGCCCCCACTGACAGACTAGGGCCGTGTCTGTGTTGACGGAGCGGCCATCTTCCCGTGCACCCAGCACCTGCAGGAGGATCAGGGGAGGGCGCTGTGAGGTCTGTCACCCCCAGACCCAGAAGTGGAATAAAAGTCTTTTTCAGTTAAATAAGTAAGAGAAGAAAGTCCAACACAGAGAATCACTAAGTGTGTAATTGAAAAACAATGTTATATTTTTATTGAAATCAAGTGACGCTTCAACACAATTCAATCTGTTTGTTAATTCTTTTATGATTGTGTGGGGAGACTGTGATGGGAGACCACAGTGGGGCGGCTGCGGCTGTAGAGAGCAAAGCTGTGGTTGTGTCCTTTGGCAAGACACTTCCCCCACATTAGAATGAGTCTGGTGTGTGTGTGAATGGTTTGTGGTGGTGGGAGGGGCCGATGGCACAGACTGGTTGCCTCATTTCTGTCAGTGTGCCCCAGGGCAGCTGTGGCTACAGTAGTAGTTTTTTATGAACAATGATATGAAGAATTTTTGAGAGTCAAAAAAAGCGCCGTATAAAACCAATACATTATTATTATTATTATTATTATTAAAGGAACTATACCGGTTTCTGCAAGGTTTGAATGTTTAGCCCCGCCCCCAACTCGCTCACAGGCTTCTCATTTCCCCTACGCTCTCCTCCCACGGAGCCAACTAGTTTTATTTGAGATCTATGTATGCTAACATTAGCATTAGCACAACTTAAGCTGTACAACAATCACTGATGAAATGGTACAAAAGACACTCATTGCTAACACAATATATAACTGAAAGATTACCGCTAGTTTCCCGTCCAAATGTAGTCTGATCGTAGATAGTCCGAGCGTAGATAGTCCGAGCATAGATAGTCCGAGCGTAGATAGTCCGAGCATAGATAGTCCGAGCATAGATAGTCCGAGCGTAGATAGTCCGAGCATAGATAGTCCGAGCTTAGATAGTCCGAGCGTAGATAGTCCGAGCATAGATAGTCCGAGCATAGATAGTCCGAGCATAGATAGTCCGAGCGTAGATAGTCCGAGCATAGATAGTCCGAGCGTAGATAGTCCGAGCATAGATAGTCCGAGCATAGATAGTCCGAGCGTAGATAGTCCGAGCATAGATAGTCCGAGCTTAGATAGTCCGAGCGTAGATAGTCCGAGCATAGATAGTCCGAGCATAGATAGTCCGAGCATAGATAGTCCGAGCGTAGATAGTCCGAGCGTAGATAATCCGAGCGTAGATAGTCCGAGCATAGACAGTCCGAGCATAGATAGTCCGAGTGTAGATAGTCCGAGCATAGACAGTCCGAGCATAGATAGTCCGAGTGTAGATAGTCCGAGCGTAGATAGTCAGAGCATTGATAGTCCGAGCGTAGATAGTCCGAGCGTAGATAGTCCGAGCATAGATAGTCCGAGCGTAGATAGTCAGAGCATTGATAGTCCGAGCTTAGATAGTCCGAGCGTAGATAGTCCGAGCGTAGATAGTCCGAGCGTAGATATTGGCTGCAGTAGTTACTCAGCAGGGGCGCAGCAGGGCAAGGCTACAATATGACTCTTGATAATTTGTGTGTTTAAAAATAGCAGTAAAGAGCCAATAGAACAAGCATTATTGTTATGGAGATTTACTCTTGACCACGACATCCATAAATACTTAAGTAGTGTTTCTCTTTTCTCTCTAAATTCTTATTGTTGGACGATTGTCAACATATAGAGGACACGGTTTAACTAATGCAGACAGAATTGAAGAATAAACTAAAGAGAAATCACTCTTTACGTGTTTGCAATGAACTCAAACCATTGTGATTTGGCTCTCCGTTACCGTGGAAACCCGTGCAGCTCTGGTTTCTCCCTCGGCCGCTGCAGTCGGAGGATGGTGGACCTGACCCAGAGTTTTCTCCCAGCGCCAGACTGGACGGCGATGCGTTTCCTCCGAGATAGCAGCTCCTTTCACTCAGTGTTTCTCTTTTAGGTCGTAATAAGCACTTCCATCAGAAAGACGTGGGAAAAGGTCTTACCCAATTATGTTTTATGAGGAGTATCAAATGTCGCAGAAATAATTTGACCGACTTCCTGTGGTCCCATGGGTCACGAGCACTATCTCCAACCCATCAACATTGTTCATATTTGATTAAAAACATAAAATCAGTTAAACATTTCCATTAGCTTGTTACTGTCAAGCTAATGCTACTGTTTTACTGTTTGAATGAAGTCACGAGGTCCTTTGAACCTTCGTGGGTTCGATTCCCCCTCGACTCGTGTCTCCTGCTCCCACTGATGTCTGCTGTCGTTGTGTCCCTGGGCAAGACACGTAACCCCACTTTGCCTGAAAACCCCGCTGACAGACTAAGGCAGTGTCTGTGTGGACGGAGCGGCCATCTTCCCGTGGACCCAGCACCTGCAGGAGGATCAGGGGCTGGTGCGTGGAATGCCCCAGAAATGGAATGATTAATGGGTTGAAAATGGTTGAAACTCTTTATGCTGATGAGAAAATGCTGTAATGTAAAATAGTAAAAGTTGATATCTATACGGACCCTTCACATTTAAGCTGTACCTAACTTCACAGACAGAAAAAACTATGTGCAATCAATTCCATGGGACTAGTTTCCACGTGTGTAGAGAGGACCAGCCAATCAGCTCTCAGTATGTAAATTATCGCTATGTCTTTTAATGATGTTGTGGTCTGTCTCTTCTACTTGAGAGTTGGGTTACTGTCAATATTTACAGTATGGCTGTGAAGGTTTTTATTTAGTTTTTTCGCATGACTTTAGTGACTTTAAACGACCAGAGAGTCCATCGTCATTGTCTGTTGATTTCCTGGTTCCTGACAAAGGGTTTGGATGTTTGAGTTTTGAGTGTATTTATCATTATAAAATTATTATTCTTTTGCATCCCTGCCTTTTGGGTCCTCATTTATTTCCACTCGTGACAGTACAGCCAGTATCTCGGAGGACTTCACAAAGCTGTCGATTCGCCAACAACAGATCAGAGAATCAAACAGTTCAACCCCAGATTAAATAAAAACACAGAGAATCTTGTCTTTGTCTCTCAGTCTCAACCTCAGCCTCAGTCTCAGTCTCAATCTCAGTCTCTCAGTCTCTCAGTCTCACCCTCAGTCTCAGTCTCACCCTCAGTCTCAGTCTCAGTCTCAGTCTCAGTCTCAGTCTCAATCTCAGTCTCAGTCTCAGCCTCAGCCTCAGCCTCAGCCTCAGTCTCACAGTCTCAGTCTCAGTATCTCAGTCTCAGTATCTCAGCCTCAGTCTCAGTCTCACCCTCAGTCTCAGTCTCTCAGTCTCACAGTCTCAGTCTCAGTATCTCAGTCTCTCAGTCTCACCCTCAGTCTCAGTCTCAGTCTCAGTCTCAGTCTCAGCCTCAGCCTCAGCCTCAGCCTCAGTCTCTCAGTCTCAGTCTCAGTATCTCAGCCTCAGTCTCAGTCTCAGCCTCAGCCTCAGCCTCAGTCTCAGTCTCAGTCTCAGCCTCAGCCTCAGTCTCTCAGTCTCTCAGTCTCAGTCTCAGTCTCAGTCTCAGTTTCTCAGTTTCTCAGTCTCAGTCTCAGTCTCAGCCTCAGCCTCAGCCTCAGCCTCAGCCTCAGCTTCAGCCTCAGCCTCAGCCTCAGTTTCAGCCTCAGCCTCAGCCTCAGCCCCAGTCTCTCAGTCTCTCAGTCTCAGTATCTCAGTCTCAGCCTCAGTCTCAGTCTCTCAGTCTCAGTCTCTCAGTCTCAGTCTCAGCCTCAGTCTCAGCCTCAGTCTCTCAGTCTCAGTCTCTCAGTCTCAATCTCTCAGTCTCAGTATCTCAGTCTCAGCCTCAGTCTCAGTCTCTCAGTCTCTCAGTCTCAGTCTCAGCCTCAGTCTCAGCCTCAGTCTCAGTCTCTCAGTCTCAGTATCTCAGTCTCAGTATCTCAGCCTCAGTCCCATGTGCTCCTGCAGGCGGCTGGATGTCTGTCTCTGGACACAGGCTGTGGTACTGCAGATCTGTGGCATTAGCAGGTCTGTTGACGTGCTCTTCCTGCTGCGGCCCTCGCCCTTCTGAGGTCTGTGGCTGAGCTTCTTGTGGCCCCCAGTCTTGAGGCACTGGTCTATTTTTGGGAGGTCACTTGGAGCCGGATACTTTGTCTCCCCGAAGCGTCTGTCTGCTGATACTGCTATCAACCCACGGCTTTTAACCAGAAGTCAGGGCAGTTTACACACTGACGCCAGCGGCTATCAGGCCTGGACTCTAGATTAGCTTCTCATAATGAGCATCCTCCAACAGGGAAGTGAGGGGCTCCCTGCGAGTACAAACAACCAGAGCTGAGGAGAGATTACACACACGCACACACACACGCACACACACAGATGCACACACACACGCACGCACACACACACGCAGTATGGAGACAATCACATCCTAAACCAGGGGACTCCAGCCTTTTGCGATTGCAGAGATACTTTTGCATAAACAGAAATGGCAGATCTGAATTCCAAAATGATTGTAGACCAGTTTGGGTCACCTTGGTCTGGGAAATGTGCTAAAACAATCTAAGATGACTTACTTTAGCAGTTGTAATAAAATTTTAGAGTATAAAAACTACAGCATAATAAACCACTGTCTCCCTGCATCAACGACAACCGTAGATAAAAAGTTACGTACATTTATAAACATCGGTCTCTGTCGCGTTTGGACCAATGTCTCTGTGTTTTTATCACTGCATTTCTTCTGTTTGAACTGTTTGATTTTCTGATCTGTGTTGGTGAAGCGACAGTTTAGTAAAGTCCTCAGGGATAACTACTGCTGTGATTCAGGGAGATACAAAAATAAATGTTATTGAATTTAATCATTCAGGACACACACACACAGACACACAAACAGACACACACACACCAACACACAGACAGGTACACACACACACAAACACACAGACACACAAACACACAGACACACCACACACACACTCACACACACACACACACACACACAAACACAGACACATACACATACACACACAGGCACACACACAGACAAACACACACACACACACACACAGACAAACACGCACAGACACACAGACAGACAGACACACACACAAACACAGACACACACACACAGACACACACACACAGACACAGACAAACACGCACAGACAGACAGACAGACACAGATCCACACACACACACACACACACACACACACACACACACACACACACACACACACACACACACACACACACACTCTGTTGTCTGGGTAATACAAACATAAATCATCTTTACACAAGACACTGGCAAAGAAAAAAAAATCTAAAGTCAGTGGTAATTTTTCGACTTTTTTCACAAATCAGTTTCCATCGATGGTGTTTTTTGTATTGTTCTGTATTTGAGAGTTTAATGAGCAAAAAGTCAAACACAAAATGTAAGAATATATTAACAGCTCATGCAGCAAGATCAAAAGAACGAGACAGAAACATAAACATCTTAGGTCCTTCTCCTGATGCTAACGCTACTGTGTCCTTAGCGACATTAGCTCGGCTCGCACCAGTCCAACATGAAAAGTGCGATATTTGCACATTTTCTGTTCTATTCTGAAAGTTTAAATAACGGAGGTTCAGTGGAGCTGAGCAGCGGGGGCAGGGCTTCTGTATTTACTGTTTGAACAGGGGTCTCCAACCAGTAGCTCAGAGGCTACCATTAGCTCTCCAGCCCCTTTCAGGTTTGTGGTGCATCTGTGCAAAAACATGAAAAAATGCCAGAATGTGCAATACAGAACCACATGTGTCACTGTCACTTTACTTTCACTTTGTCCGAGAGCCTCATGCTGCTAATGCTAACATGTACAGATGCACACAACTATACAGACAGTGTTTTGTACTTGCTTCTATATTTTGCTAAATATAGAGATTTTATTGTATTTTATTATAGTTATTGCTCATTTATCTTGTTCTGTGTGCTCCTCATTCCTATTGCTCAGTAACTGCTGATGCAACACTGACATTTCCCCACAGTGGGACTAAAAAAGCATCTCCTAGACTTATTTTTTTTTTAGTTTAATTAGAATCAGAATCAGAATCAGAATCATTTTTATTGTCACGTAAGTAACAGGAGGTCACAGACTAGGAAATTGCTTTGGCTCAGTGCAACAGTCAAAAAGAGATAATAAAAATAAGAATAAAAAAACACTTCTAAAGAATAAATTTAAATTTAAAATAGAGTTACATTAGAGCTGAAAATATAATAAATACACAGTGTTGTCCCTATATGTAACTCCTCTTCTGTGTTTACACCTATTCGAGTCATTTCTGGTGAAAAAGCGACGCCTCAAACCCGCGGTCTCTCCATAACTGAGTTTCATTCATCACTTAACTGTTTTGTGCTGGGTGTGAGTTTGTGTTCGAGGGGGCGGCTCTTACACGGCTCCCAGCCAATCAGAGCCAGGAACTACTGGACCTTAGCTTGAGTGGATCGGGTTCTCCTGTGGGGGCGTGGCCAGGACCTACGGAGTTACAGTTTAACTCTTCCATGGCAGAAATCACTAACTTCAACAAGTTAAAGATGCTAAAGATTATATTCAGCAGAACTCTAATGTACAACGAACACGTGTGTGAAGCTGCACTTAAACACTTTGTGGTACACGTGTATTTTGCTTATTATTATCACGTTCTAGTTTATATTTGAACATGCTACAACTTAAAACGCTGCAAATATCTGTTCTTTTCCACAAAGAAGAAGCTGCTCCACGTTTGATGTTATTATTCTCAGATCAAATGTAACTAATGTCGCTGATAGATTGCTCCGGGTGCTCCGGCTCAGACACGCGTGTGAGTCTGTCTGTGCATGGACTGGACACAGTGTAGAAAGTTAGTTTGAGTTTGGTGTTTTCGCCTTTAAGAGTTAAGAAACTCGAAACCTTGTTTGCGCAACAGTCAGTGCAGCTCCCAGCCGCCAAAGTGTCTAGACTAGCACATGATGGTAGCCAGCCAATGGCTCCACTGCTCTCCTTGGGGGCCCCGCGCGCGTGTGTATGTGTGCGTGCGCGTGAGTGTGAGGAAGAGGGGCAAAAGGAAAAGAGAGAAAACGCTGAAAGAAGAGGCTGTGCGCTGTAGTTTGCCTGAGAACTGAGCTGGATCTTTCGGGATTGAGACGCAGATAATTCCCCGAGACCTGCTGTTTCCAGACCCGGGTTTAAGGCTCTTTGGAAGGAATAACCCTCCGCCGTCCTCCCGCGGAACCAAGTAGTTTGGAGCCGCCGTTAAAGCTCCGTGTTGCGCCCAGGGCTTTGGATTGTTCTGCTTCTCTTTGCGCCTGCGTTACTTCGTGCATTACTTCGTGCGTTAGTCCGTGCATTAGTTGTTGCGGTGACTGTTGTAGAGACATGTTGTGTCCTTACACTGCTCTTGTGTGTGCGTGAGGCGCTATGCTCCAGTGTCTTTCACTGCCTTTAGTTTGAGCGTAAACTCCGCTGAATGTGGAGTCTCCGCTGCTCGCGCGCTGGCTGTGCACGCGCTGCACGGCATTCCTCTCTCATTCATGTTTGGCCGCGACTGTCTCACCATCAGTTGTTTTAGAACACGCTCCCTACACGAGAAGAAACGCTCTTTCTAGATCTGAAGTTGTCGTATGTTCAGGACGAAACGCTCAGGTCTTGTCCGGAGACTCTGGAGAAGCCGTTTGGTCCCAGACCGAGAGGAGGACAATGGGAACGCTGCTGACAGTGACGAGCTGTGCGGCTCCAATCCAGAGAAGATTCCCAAAACGGAGTTCAGAGCGATGACCCCCAGCGGCTCTCCTGTGGGGCCCGTGGGGGAGGACCAGGGGGGCCCGGACCGCGACAGCAGGACCGTCACGTGCTGCTTATTCTCAGACAGGGACCACTCCGTCTCTGGGGACCCGGGCCAGTGCCAGCTCACCCGGGTCAGTCCGCAGGAGGCGCAGCAGGCGATGCCACGGGCACCGCTGGAGCAGGAGCTGAAAGCCGCCGCTCACTGCCTCCTGAAGCGGCTGAAGGAACGGGCTCTGGACACGCTGCTGGAGGCGGTGGAGTCCCGCGGGAGCGTGCCCAGTGAGTGTGTGATGGTGTCCCGGACAGACGTGCGCCTGGCCGGGCACGCTGCGTCACCGCTGCTGCTTGTGTGTAAACTGTACCGCTGGGCAGACCTGCAGCACCAGGCCCAGCTCAAACCACTGTGTGAATGCACAAGCTTCGGGATCCAGGACTGTCCCTCCGTGTGCTGCAACCCCTATCACTACAGCCGCCTGTGTGGCCCAGGTAAGACCGGGGGAGGCATGGGGGGGCATGGGAATACTTTTAAATGATACACTTAGCTCCTGCAGAACAGGGCTCCACATGCAGCATATCTCCTGCTGATTCAGATGCGTGGTACTATACAATCAAATGAAATAAAGACTGTGTTTTGGAAGCCATGAGGGTCCTCCCTGCAGGCAAGTTATAGGCCTCCTCTAAAGCTTCTCACTGGACCTGGACTCACCACAAGCACAATGCTATAGTTACAGCTGGAATACCTCACTCTGAAACCACAGCAGGGGAACTGTGTCAGAAAATACATGTAACAAGTAACTCTCTCAACAGTTTCATTCCAACTCTAGTTTTTACACACACTTTTTAGGCCTTTATCTCATCTTTAAACCAGCTTTTTCAGTGTAAAAGAGAGAACCAGCTCGCCCAAGCAGCTCGCAGTAGGTAAAAGACACAATCTTCTCTAACAAGAAAGAGTCTGATTTGTTCACGACTGGACTCTTTCCACATGGAACAAAAACAATCATATTTGTTGAAGTGCAGGGATCAAAGTGGGGGTGGGGGGCAGTGAATTGGCACACCCCGGCACGCGGGTCACTTGACCTCGGTGACCCGCTGTCGGCCTGGGATCATGTGTAGAGATGTGTGTGTCAGTATTTCTGTCTCCTCAGTGGCACTGGAGCTGGAATTTCCATAACATCCATATTTACAAGAGCCAGCTGGCAGCAAGCAGCACTTCAGACGCACAAGTCCAACTATATCTGGGCACATCTCGGGAAAACCAGGAGTCCACTCATCCGCTGATCTCTCTCCCTGCTTTTCTATACCTTAGAGTCAGGTTATATGCAGTAAAACCACATTGGAATACATGTGCAAGAGTCAAGTGTGTGCACCAGACATGTACATACAATAACAAGCTAAAAAGATATTCTTTATTGGTCCAACTGTGGAGACATTTGCATCAGCAGTTACAGAACAGTAGGAATGAACACAGCACAAGATACATGGACAATAACTCTATCATAAAATTCAATAAAAACTCTATATTTCTAGAGATTTTATACTTGTGTTTTAATAAAGAAACAAGTATAAAATCTCTAACTTTAGCATAATGAAGAACAAAAACTACTGTATCCTCTGGTGCAAGACAGATATGTTTGCATGTTATAACAATACTAGTATAGATTTTGTTGGTTAATGTTAAAGTATTTTAAAGCAACTTCTACAGAAATATTTGAGCAATTACTATAACATTATAAAACATTTTCAGTCCAACAGAAATGTGTCTTTTAAATGGTGTCAAGTTTAGCATCAGACAAATGTGAAAGTATTTTAGATTGAAAATAAACTGTTTTTGCATAGTTTTTCTTATAATCAATCAGTTTTATTTATAGAGCCCTTTACAACACTCAAGGCAACCAAAGTGCTTCACAATAAAATTACATCAAATCCATTTAAAACATTTATACATTACAAACAGTTAAAAAACATTTAAAAAGTGTCACCTGCTATTGAGTGATAAAAGTGTTAAAAGCCAGTCTAAACTAAAGTGTTATATTTCTTGAGTATTAATTTGTGTGAGATTTCCCGCTGCTCAAAACGACTAAACCATCAAAACTCAATCATTTGAATCCAGCACAAAAACAAAGAAAGTGTGGCTTATGAGTGAACAAAAACCGGTCTTTTCTTCTGCGGTGGTTTAGGAACGACATTAGTTTTGTATTGTGCTCCAGCAGCTCTTTGTCCCGAGGAGGTCTCTGTGCTATTTAGGTGAAGGAGTGGTGATAATATACGTTTGCATAGAGCTGGCGCCAGGCTGACTCTGTGGATCTGAGTGACTGAGTTCAGATCCTGGCAATTACTGCGGTCACTCTTAAAGGAGCCACGCACTGCTCTCTCCGTCTCCTTTCCCCGGCTGAGGTCACAGCCGCCTCTGGGCCCCACTTCCTTTGGGGATTTTTGCTTTTCTGGCAGAGTAGCGACGGAAAGAGTTTGTGTTTAAAAAGGAGCTCGGATCGAATGTCGACTTTTCAGATGCTTGTTAAAAAAAAAAGTTGGTTACGTTGAGTTGCGTTGTGGTGGTGGAAAAAATCGATTCTGTTCAAAATAGTGATGTTTTGTATTAAATGGATACAGTAGCAAAGTATCATGATATTTAATAATAATAATTATCTGTTTCTCTTTAGGGTTTTTTAGTTTCTTATGTTTCTATCTGAGGTTTACGTGACTCTATGATGTCTGCTTGTTGTGACTCTATGATGTCTGCTTGTTGTGACTCTATGATGTCTGCTTGTTGTGACTCTATGATGTCTGCTTGTTGTGACTCTATGATGTCTGCTTGTTGTGACTCTATGACGTCTGCTTGTTGTGACTCTATGACGTCTGCTTGTTGTGACTCTATGATGTCTGCTTGTTGTGACTCTATGACGTCTGCTTGTTGTGACTCTATGACGTCTGCTTGTTGTGACTCTATGATGTCTCCTTGTTGTGACTCTATGATGTCTGCTTGTTGTGACTCTATGACGTCTGCTTGTTGTCACTCCAGGACGTCTGCTTGTTGTGACTCTATGATGTCTCCTTGTTGTGACTCTATGATGTCTGCTTGTTGTGACTCTATGATGTTTGCTTGTTGTGACTCTATGATGTCTCTTTGTTGTGACTCTATGATGTCTCCTTGTTGTGACTCTATGACGTCTGCTTGTTGTGACTCTGTGATGTCTGCTTGTTGTGACTTTATGATGTCTGCTTGTTGTGACTCTATGATGTCTGCTGTGACTCTATGATGTCTGCTTGTTGTGACTCTATGACGTCTGCTTGTTGTGACTCTAGGATGTCTGCTTGTTGTGACTCTATGATGTCTGCTTGTTGTGACTCTATGACGTCTGCTTGTTGTGACTCTATGATGTCTGCTTGTTGTGACTCTATGACGTCTGCTTGTTGTGACTCTATGACGTCTGCTTGTTGTGACTCTATGATGTCTCCTTGTTGTGACTCTATGATGTCTGCTTGTTGTGACTCTATGACGTCTGCTTGTTGTCACTCCAGGACGTCTGCTTGTTGTGACTCTATGATGTCTCCTTGTTGTGACTCTATGATGTCTGCTTGTTGTGACTCTATGATGTCTGCTTGTTGTGACTCTATGATGTCTGCTTGTTGTGACTCTATGATGTCTGCTTGTTGTGACTCTATGATGTCTGCTTGTTGTGACTCTATGACGTCTGCTTGTTGTGACTCTATGACGTCTGCTTGTTGTGACTCTATGATGTCTGCTTGTTGTGACTCTATGACGTCTGCTTGTTGTGACTCTATGACGTCTGCTTGTTGTGACTCTATGATGTCTCCTTGTTGTGACTCTATGATGTCTGCTTGTTGTGACTCTATGACGTCTGCTTGTTGTCACTCCAGGACGTCTGCTTGTTGTGACTCTATGATGTCTCCTTGTTGTGACTCTATGATGTCTGCTTGTTGTGACTCTATGATGTTTGCTTGTTGTGACTCTATGATGTCTCTTTGTTGTGACTCTATGATGTCTCCTTGTTGTGACTCTATGACGTCTGCTTGTTGTGACTCTAGGATGTCTGCTTGTTGTGACTCTATGATGTCTTGTTGTGACTCTATGATGTCTGCTTGTTGTGACTCTATGACGTCTGCTTGTTGTGACTCTAGGATGTCTGCTTGTTGTGACTCTGTGATGTCTGCTTGTTGTGACTCTATGATGTTTGCTTGTTGTGACTCTATGATGTCTGCTTGTTGTGACTCTATGACGTCTGCTTGGTGTGACTCTATGATGTCTGCTTTGTGTGACTCTATGATGTCTCCTTGTTGTGACTCTATGATGTCTGCTTGTGACTCTATGATGTCTGCTTGTTGTGACTCTATGATGTCTCCTTGTTGTGACTCTATGATGTATCCTTGTTGTGACTATGATGTCTGCTTGTGACTCTATGATGTCTGCTTGTTGTGACTCTATGATGTCTGCTTGTTGTGACTCTATGATGTCTGCTTGTTGTGACTATGATGTCTGTTGTGACTCTATGATGTCTGCTTGTGACTCTATGATGTCTGCTTGTTGTGACTCTATGATGTCTGTTGTGACTCTATTATGTCTGCTTGTTGTGACTCTATGATGTCTGTTGTGAATCTATGACGTCTGCTTGTTGTGACTCTATGATGTCTGTTGTGACTCTATGATGTCTGCTTGTTGTGACTCTATGATGTCTGTTGTGACTCTATGACGTCTGCTTGTTGTTTGAATAAAATAAATCACGATACATCATAGAATTGAATCCCATCCTGTCTGTATCACGATATGTTAAGAATCACAATAATATTGAATTGTGGCCTAAATATCACAATACTATCAATATCAATACTATCGTCACATTTTTCCAGTCCCCAGCCCTGTTAAAGTGACTGTGGATTTGACTAATACATAAATCCTGTTTTTCAGAATCACCTCCACCTCCATATTCAAGGCTATCCCTGAAAGACGACCACAAACCTCTGGGTAAGTTAGTACAACGAACACAGCAGATTTTTGTTATATTTAAATTATAAAAGGAGCAGTTTGTAAAAATGTGGCCAAAAGTGGTACTGCAGCCTCTCCCACTCTCCCTGACTCAGGTTGCCAGATATGCAGACGAATCCAGCTGGGACCATAACAGCTGAATAGACAAGAGTTTTGTCAACAACAAATCTATAACCAACACCTTTTTCCCAAAGATAGAAATCCTGGTTTTATTCCTTGTTTTGTCGTTAATGATTTGAGAATCCTAACGAGACCTTTTTTAGTTCTGCGCCACATGGTACTTTACCAGTGAGATTAGCTCCACGCGGTGAGTTCTGGCGCCCGGATCACAGACTTTCTGATTGGTGAAACGGTGGAGGGCGGGACATCGAAATGAAAACAATAACAAGATTTAGAGGCTGGAAAAGTGATTTAGAAATTCAAATATCTCTGAACTACTGGGGCGACAGTAGCTCAGTTGGTAGAGCCTTTGGGCCTGAAGGTCGTGGGTTCGAGCCCACCGTAAAACCTACTTCACGACTCCCACTGATGACTGCTGTCGTTGTGTCCTTGGGCAAGACACTTAACCCTACTTTGCCCAAAGCCCCAACTGAAAGATCTCAGCTCCTGTGGACTCACCACCTGCAGGAGGATCAGTGAGAGGCTGGTGCTCTGTGAACTGGGTGCAGCTCTGACTGCCACCCCCCCGACCCAGAAATGGATTAATGGGAAGAAGATGGATGGATGGATGGATACTGTTATCAGTTAAAGAAGGATTGGAAAAGAGCAGTTTATTATTATGACAGATTAGGACCCTTTAGTGATGACAGATTTGGGCCCTTTAATGTCGACAGATAAGGGCCCTTTAATGATGACAGATTAGGACCCTTTAATGATGACAGATTAGGACCCTTTAATGATGACAGATTTGGGCCCTTTAATGATGACAGACTAGGGCCCTTTAATGATGATAGATTATGACCCTTTAATGATGACAGATTAGGGCCCTTTAATGACAGATTAGGGCCCTTTAATGTCGACAGATAAGGGCCCTTTAATGATGACAGATTAGGACCCTTTAATGATGACAGATTTGGGCCCTTTAATGATGACAGACTAGGGCCCTTTAATGATGATAGATTATGACCCTTTAATGATGACAGATTAGGGCCCTTTAATGACAGATTAGGGCCCTTTAATGTCGACAGATTAGAGCCCTTTAATGATGACAGATTAGGACCCTTTAATGATGACAGATTAGGACCCTTTAATGATGACAGATTAGGGCCCTTTACTGATGACAGATTAGGGCCCTTTAATGTCGACAGATTAGGGCCCTTTAATGATGACAGATTAGGGCCCTTTAATGATGACAGATTAGGGCCCTTTACTGATGACAGATTAGGGCCCTTTAATGATGACATCAAGACTATTGGTCCTCACAACTGTCAATCATTCTGGTGCTCGTCCAATCAGACCAGAGAGTTTTGTTCAAAAAGTGTAGAGGGAAAAATGGAGAAATCCTCCTTTATACCTTTACATTCTGGTAAACATGAATCAATATAGAAATGTCTTACCTCATTTTAAGGTTTGAAGAGAATTCTGAATCCTTCCGATCTGGTTTGTTGGTCCCTGGAAAAGTCTGGTGAACTAAGATCGCACTCGTAATGAAAAAGTTTAGTGCTTTAGACTTTGGATACCCGTGTACAACAGATCAATAGCATTCTTAAAGTCTGAATTGGAAAGAAGCTGGAACTCTCGACCCTGCAGCGGTGAACGGACGACCTCGGGCAGTTGGACCTGAGTATTTGCATGAATGGACATTTCAGAGACGCCTGTTTGCGACCTTTGTCCAGCAAAACAAATCGGATCAACTCAATCCAGGAGACACTTCTGCCGTCTCCGTCTGCGCAAATAAGACACGGTCAGTTTGTGCTTCATTCACAAGCTTTTCTCTGACACCAAGACCGTGAGCTGTCGATGGAAACGGGAAAGAAAAGGTTCTACAGCCTCAGTCCTGGATCTACAGCCTCAGTCCTGGGTCTACATCCTCAGTCCTGGGTCTACAGCCTCAGTCCTGGGTCTACAGTTCATGTTAAATTCAATGTATTTTTGTATCCCCCTAAATCACAACAGTAGTTTTCTCAGAGGACTTGACAAAGCTGTCGATTCACCAACAACAGATCAGAGAATCAAACAGTTCAAACACAAGAAATGCAATGATAAAAACACACAGAGACATTGGTCCATACGGGGCAGAGACCAATGTTTATAAATGTTGATGAAGTCCATAAAGGTGGTTAAATGTGTAGTGTCCTGGATCATCAACGTCCTTCAACTCCCAAACCCCATTGATGCGACATCACACGTCGGCAGAACTACACCTTCCTCTCCATTTCAAAATAAAGAAATCCGAGGACCGTTTCCATGGTGATTAAGTCGTCCAAACAAACCGTATCTTTTTAAATGGGGGGCGAGTCCTCCATGCATGAAACAGGAAGCTGAAACCCAGGGATATGCAGACCATGCGTGTTAGCTAGCACCCGCAGCTGTGGAGGACCCTGGGCCGCCATGTCGTGTGCATTTGCTAACCTAAAGATAAAGGAAATGGTTTATATTTTGTTATTTATTGCGGGGAACCTTCAGACAGACCCGTCAGTGTTTGAATCTATCTCAAAGTTTGAAGAATTAACAAAAGAAACTAGGACCAAACTCAACTTGCCCTGAGTTTTAGCCTCTGTTAATTGTATGCTGTAGAGCTAAGCTAACTCAAAGCTAATGCTAAAATGCTACATCTTTACCACAATATAAACAAAAGACAAATGCAAGAATGTTTATGATTGAAAAAAACAACTCATGGCTTTAACTTTTAACTCTCCAAAAAGTTTTATACTCTTGCTTTAAACCTAATAAACCGTAGGTGAGTTTTTTCAGAGATTTGATGTGAAACAGACCAAAGGTGGAGTCCTGAAACTTGACCATGACCAAAGAAGTATATCTAGATTAAGAGATCATTTATCTGTCCCGCAGTGGAAAAATGTCAGCTTTAAAGAACGGTAGGAATGAGGCGCACAAAAAAATCTTGAGCTTTAGAAGAATATTTAAAGCATATTAACGTAAATGTATCTTTGATGGTAGTATTATACAGCTATATTGAATTAATGAAAAATACAAAATCGCTGCAGAGGTGACTTTTTTCTAAATTTCTTTCAATTCTACAGTTAATCCTGCTTCATTCTGTTTTCTAAGTTAAGTTCTTTCTCTCTCAGGACCATTTTTCTGATGGTGTTAGCTACCTGCTTGTGGCTCCAACGCCAATGGAGACAGGACAATTCCATATTCTGGAACATTTCAGGCAAAACAACAGTAGTTTTGCTAAAATCGGACGCTTGTGGAACGTACTTGTAAGTTACCGTTGGACCCAAGAAGCGTAAGCGTTACCATTAGCTTAACGGCGCTAATGAGGATCCACCATAAAACAAACCTTCATCACCGAGTTTCCTGCACGTGTAGAATCGAGTTCCCACAGTCGGTCAAAGATGTAAACTATCCATGAGAATTCATGGGGAACTTTATCAATGTTTTTTTTGACTGAAACAGACGTACGTTATTCAAATACACTTCAATATCTACGCCATCCTAGATAAGATAAGATAAGATAAACCTTTATTAGTCTCACAGTGGAGACATTTCAGTGTCATCGCGGCACGGTGGCGGCACGGTGGCGGCACGGTGGCGGCACGGTGGCTGAGTGGATAGCACTCTCGCCTCTCAGCAAGAAGGTCCTGGGTTCGAATCCCGGTTGGACCAGGGCCTTTCTGAGTGGAGTTTGCATGTTCTCCCCGTGTCTGCGTAGGTTTCCTCCGGGTACTCCGGTTTCCCCTACCACTAAAAATATGTACAATAGGTCTGGCATGTGCCTCCTGTACTGGCACCCCCCGCTCCCAAAAAAAAATCACAATTGTAAACCGCTTTGAGACTCCTATGTGCAGTGAAAAGGCGGTATATAAATAAAAATTACTTACTACTACTACTACTCATCGTTGCACATTACAACAGAGAAAGGAAATAAGAGCACTCAGATTGCACACATCAAAGGCTATTATTTAAGATAATAGACAATAAATTTAAGATAAAATAAAATAAAATAAGAAAATCTGGGCTACAATTGCACTTGGTTCGGAGTATTTACAGATGTCTATATTATACATTACACATCCTCATTCCCGTACTCAGTGTGGCAATAGAGACAGCGCCCCCTACAGGTCCTGTACATGTCTCCATAACATGTACCGGACTTTTGAGCCTAAAGCATGATTCTGTTTAGTCCAGACTTAGGTGTTTGCCTCCAATTTGCCTTTGATGATAATCTGGAGAACTGGTTTACAAATATCTGTTGAAAATCTTGGATATGACACAGTTCAATTACATTACAATTGATTCCCAGTTGTTGAATATTCCCAAAATTCCCCGGCTTATCTTTGCATGACAATTAACTGGTAATTTTCTAGAAATGTTCTGGCGCTGTTCTCACCGCCGCCTCTCTGTCCACAGATCGCTCGGACTCCACGGTGTCGTACTCGGAGAGCGAGCCGGCAAGTTCGCCCAACAGCTCACCGGGGGAGTTCTCAGGTAAAGAGCTCGCATTTGTGTTGATCAGAGTTTGGATTGATGCCGATGTAGAGGAAGTACACGGGAAGCACACGGGAAGCACACAGGAAGCAAACAGGAAGCACAGAGGAAGCACACGGGAAGCACACAGGAAGCACACAGGAAGCACACAGGATGCAAACAGGTAGCAGACGGGAAGTACACGGGAAGCACACAGGAAGCAAACAGGAAGCAGACGGGAAGCAAACAGGAAGCAAATAGGTAGCAGACGAGAAGTACACGGGAAGCACACAAGAAGCACACAGGAAGCAAACAGGAAGCAGACGGGAAGCAAACAGGAAGCACAAAGGAAGCACAAAGGAAGCACACAGGAAACAAACAGGAAGCACACAGAAAGCACACGGAAAGCACACGGAAAGCACACAGGAAGCACACGGGAAGCACAGAGGAAGCACACAGGAAGCACATAGGAAGCAAATAGGAAGCACAGAGGAAGCACAAGGGAAGCACACGAGAAGCACACAGGAAGCAAACAGAAAGCAGACGGGAAGCAAACAGGAAGCACAAAGGAAGCACACAGGAAACAAACAGGAAGCACATGGAAAGCACACAGGAAGCACACAGGAAGCAATCAGGAAGCACACAGGAAGCACACAGGAAGCAAACAGGAAGCACACAGGAAGCAAACAGGAAGCACACGGGAAGCACACAGGAAGCACACGGGAAGCACACCGACTCTATGGACTCTATGGGGAACAAAACTAGACTTCCATATTGAGGATGCCTTTTGGTTGACAATTTTGAGAATTTTTAACCAAACCAGATTTGCCGATGGACAAAAGAATACATTAGCTGTATCTGTTCTTGAAATAAGACTAACGCTCGTTGTTCCATTGTTTTCATGATAAAACCTCCGTATTCCACTGTAGCTCACCGTTATGTGGACTGTGTAAAAGAAGTAGCTCGCTGTTATTTTAGTCCTGAAAAAGTAGCTCTCCAGGGAAAAGGTTGGAGGCTCCTGCTGTAGAGCTAAGCTAACTAAAAGCTAAGCTAACTCAAAGCTAAGGCAGAAATGCTACATCTAAATAAGTATAAGTATTGTTGTATACGTTAGCATCATGTGGGCTGACAGCTAAGCTAAAAGTGCCAGTGCTCTCATATTGCACTTTCTGACATAATTGCACATCATTGCTCCAGAAATATCAAATAGCAAAAATATCCAACACAAAAACTGTGAGATTCTGCTACGTTTCGGAGGAAGGGTGAACTTGTTTTTGTGTCTTTAAGATGAATGAGCTTCTGCTTCCAATCCCTGGGTCTTATCTCTTTCATAATTGGAATTTTGAACCTGTGCAGATCCTCCGCAGTCTCTGCTGAAGTCGCTGTAGAATGTAGCAGCAGGAAGTAGCCTGCATTTATAAACCTAGCTTTAGCATTTCCTCCACATGTTCTGCCGTCATGTGGCATGACACAGACGGACCACAATCTGTCAATCAATCCATATCTATTTGAGAAGAACGTTCAAAAACTGCCTCGGGTTTACCATCGTGCAAAGAGGAGTGGGCTACCCGAGTGTGACATCACCATAGTGTTAGCTTTGATAGAGATGAAGCCGATTTTAACATATGCTAGCTGGAGCCAATTTCCTTATAAGGGCATTTGCTTCAAGGGGGGTTAGCTTTGCGCTGTAGCAGAAGCAGACGCGTCGCTAAGACGGTTGCTAAGGCAAGCTGGAGTTTTTTTTGAATGAGGGTGTCTGATTGGTCAGTCAGCCAGGATCAGAGACAGCACTAAACCACAGATTTGTTTAAGCCCAAAATGGTGATTGTGATGCAGACGTTACTGAGCCAGAGGAGTTTACTTTTACATGTGAGTCCATAGGAGTCAGAGAGAGTGGGAGCAAAACTTTGTCCATGAGTGCTTCCCTATTGAGCTTCATTGAGCTAGCGGGTTAGCATTGTCCATCTGTATACAGCCTATGGCACTGACTCTAACAGAACACTGCAAAAATGATAAAATATGAGCTAATATTCCCACCTCTGCACCTTCTCCACCGACTCCCACTGATGACTGCTGTCGTTGTGTCCTTGGGCAAGACACTTAACCCCACTTTGCCCAAAGCCCCCACTGAAAGATCAAGGCTATGCTCACACTCAGAGAGCAGCCGTCCTCCTGTGGACTCACCACCTGCAGAGGGTCAGTGAGGGGCTGGTGCTATGAGACTTGGGTGGCATCTCTGACTGCCACCCCCCTGACCCAGAAATGGATTAAAGGGTAGAAAATGGATGGATGGATGGATGGAGCTAATATCTGCTTAATCTGAGTCTTAAAACTAGATTCTCCAGAACTGCTGCTTTGTTTCCTCATTCCAAAGGAGACATTTCTGTGTCTTTTTAAAACAGGACAATTTTGCTTGCATTGGAAAATCTAGTTTTAAGGCTCACAATCAATTAAAAGACAGACAATAAAACAAACATAGAAATACAAAGATAAAAGTTAAGGCTATTTATTTAAAATAATCGTTCCATTTAGTCATTTACATACCTGAATAAGACAGTTTTCAGCCTGGACTTAAACGCTGCCTCCCCATGTTTACCCTAGGCGCAACAATAAAAAAAATACACAAAATACACAAACTAAAGCTACAAACCTTGCTTCCTGGTGTTAAAGCCAAACAGAGAAGGTCTTAAATGATGCAGCAGTGAGTGTGAAATTTAGAAGCATCTGCAGAAATAGCTCCAGGTTTAAAGCTGGGTCTAAATGTTTGGAACCCGGCGACACACGTCTGGAGTCAACACCTGTGGGTTCGTCCACCGCACTCCTCTGGGACCGTGGCGAGAATCTGTGCTTCTCCGGTGTCACGCTCAACTCGGTCCCTCTGCACAACTAGACCTTGTTACAAGTTTGAACCGAGGCCCGCACTGAAAAAAAGGCATGAAAAATAAAACAAAAATGGCTAAAATTTGATCAAATGTGTTGTAATCTGACACATTCTGACTGAGCCTTAAAACTAGATTCTCCAACGGGACAAAACAAAATGATCTTTTTTCAAAAAGATACAGAAATGTCTCCTTTGGAATGAGGAAATAAAGGAACAGTTCTTGAAATAAAACTAAATGTCTTTGTCCTGTTGGAAAATCTGGTTTTAACACTGGTCTCTCTCTCTGGTCTCTCAAGTTTCTCTCTGGTCTCTCTCTGGTCTCTCTCAAGTCTCTCTCTCTGGTTTCTCTCTCTGGTCTCTCTCTGGCCTCTCTCTGGCCTCCCTCTGGTCTCTCTCTGGCCTCCCTCTGCTCTCTCATTGGTCTCTCTCTCTGGTCTCTCATTGGTCTCTCTCTCTGGTCTCTCTCTGGTCTCTCTCTCTGCTCTCTCATTGGTCTCTCTCTCTGCTCTCTCATTGGTCTCTCTCTCTGGTCTCTCTAGTCTCTCTCTCTGGTCTCTCTCTGGTCTCTCTAGTCTCTCTCTCTGGTCTCTCTAGTCTCTCTCTCTGGTCTCTTTCTGGTCTCTCTCTGGTCTCTCTCTCTGGTCTCTCTCTGCTCTCACATGCCTTATATCTTTTTAAACCGTAGAGCCTCTAGAATTCAAAGGCCAGTGATAAAACAATCTTTCTTCAGGAAACTCGAGCTCCTCTAGATTTGAATCAATACGTTCCTGTAAAACCTTATGTTAAATCCTCCTCTGTATCAGTGTCACGCTGAGACCTCACCAGTCATCCTGCTGAGACTATGTTTACCTTTAAGTTTTGTCTGGTGAGGGAGAGAAACCAGAGCGAGACCAGAGAGAGACCAGAGAGAGAGACCAGAGAGAGAGACCAGAGAGAGAGACCAGAGAGAGACCAGAGAGAGACCAGAGAGAGACCAGAGAGAGACCAGAGAGAGACCAGAGAGAGACCAGAGAGAGAGACCAGAGAGACCAGAGAGAGACCAGAGAGAGACCAGAGAGAGACCAGAGAGAGACCAGAGAGAGACCAGAGAGACCAGAGAGAGACCAGAGAGACCAGAGAGAGACCAGAGAGAGCAGACCAGAGAGAGACCAGAGAGAGACCAGAGAGAGAGACCAGAGAGAGACTAGAGAGAGACTTGAGAGAGACCAGAGAGAGACCAGAAAGAGACCAGAGAGAGAGACCAGAGAGAGACTAGAGAGAGACTAGAGAGAGACTTGAGAGAGACCAGAGAGAGACTAGAGAGAGACCAGCTAGAGACCAGAGAGAGACCAGAGAAAGACCAGAGAGAGACTAGAGAGAGACTAGAGAGAGACCAGAGAGAGACCAGAGAGAGACCAGAGAGAGACTAGAGAGAGACCAGAGAGAGACCAGAGAGAGAGACCAGAGAGAGACCAGAGAAAGACCAGAAAGAGACCAGAGAGATAGACTAGAGAGAGACTTGAGAGAGACCAGAGAGAGACCAGAGAGAGACTAGAGAGAGACCAGCTAGAGACCAGCTAGAGACCAGAGAGAGAGACCAGAGAGAGACCAGAGAGAGACCAGAGAGAGACCAGAGAAAGACCAGAGAGAGACCAGAGAGAGACCAGCGAGAGACCAGCGAGAGACCAGAGAGAGACCAGAGAGAGACCAGAGAGAGACCAGAGAGAGAGACCAGAGAAAGACCAGAGAGAGACTAGAGAGAGACCAGAGAGATACTAGAGAGAGACCAGAGAGAGATCAGAGAGAGAGAGCAGAGGCCATCATGATAAAGGCGGCTTTAATGTCAGACAGACACATGTTGTGTTCTCACAGAGGAGCCAGTGGAAGTTCACCTCTTTCCGCCTCAGGATCAGAAATCCCCTCAACAGGCCTCTCCCAAAGACCTGAGACACATGTGAACTTGTTTGTTTTGCACGACTGTCACAACAATTATTTTATCAACTTATCAGACGCCAACATTAAAGAAGGGAGAATACCATAGCCCCGAGAAGATACTGTTGTCTGGTATTGACCTACATCACAACAGCAGGAGATGACATTTTGGTAAAGTCCATGAATGTCAAAGAGTCTGGAATTATTAACAAATTCAACAGTTTCCGTGCTGTGGCTGTGGGTTAAATGCAGGTCTGGGGTCTCATAATGTCATTTTTACTCTTATTAGTTCAGATTCAGAGTCACTTTCTTTGCCATTTGCAGTAAAACCACATTGGAATACATGTGCAAAAGTCTCCAGTGTGCACTAGAAAAACACATAGATAAAACTAAAGCTAAAAAGAAGTACAAGAAGCAATTGTCACAGTGAAACCAATCCACAAGATATTTCCCGCATCATAAAGAGGATTTGAGTCATGAAATGTATATGTATGATATGTATTTTTGCTTTAATTAAGCACAAACAGTCTGAAATCTTTATGTAATCTTGATTATCGAACGATTTTTTGGTCTTCAGAATATGCCCCGGTGTTTGTTCCACCTGATAATCGTTGCAACTGACTTCAAATCAAAGGGACAATTAAGCTTAGCACGAGTTTCAGGCTTCCATAATTATGTAAAATGCATTGTGACCAATACTTTGTCAGTGTTTTAAATGAGTAAAAGTAAGTCTGTTTTTGTGTGTATTTGGAATGTGTTTGTATCACAATCCAATTAAAACCCGTTATAAATCAATATCGGGTTGAAAAATATTGACTTGACTTATTGTGTTGGTTCTGCCCTCAGCCAATCAGCTCGCAGCATGTTTAATATATGACGTTTTCTACTGAGATAAAAACCGAATGTTACTGTCAGGAAAAACACATTTATTTTATCAACATTTATGGACATTGGTCTCTGCTCCTTGTGTGTTTTATTTGTATAGAACATTTACAACAACACCAGCTGCTCAAAGTGCTTCACAGGCAAAAAGAGAAAAAAAAAATTTTTAAAAACAGCATAAAGTACGCACACATACATGTAAAAGTAAAATGGTAATACTTTGTCAAGGGGGTGAAGTGATGGAGGACTCAAAATGCAGGAATGCGAAAAACAAAAATGGTTTAATGATAAAAATCAAATAAAAGTCCAAGATGAAAACATAATCCAAACAAGAACCAGGAACACAGACTGACAAGGACAGACAATACAATGAACCAGCAACCAGAGGAAAGGAGCACTGGGTACATATAGACACAGACACAGGTGAAACACATCAGGGCAGGGCAGACAATCAACATAGGGGAACAAGACAGGAAGTACAACTAAAACCAAACTTATGTCAAAATACAACCAAATCCACACCATGACAAACTTATCTGGTGTTAAAAGCCATGGCGTAAAAATGTGTCTTTAGACTAGACTTAAAAACGTCCAAAGCTCTAAAGAACAGAGGTCACTATTCCATGTATCACTGCATTGATGTTTGATTCTCTGATCTGTTGTTGGTGAATCGTCAGCTTTGCAAAGTCCTCTGAGAAAACTACTGTTGTGATTTAGGGCGACACTAGCCTGGTCGTACCACACCATAGTACACATTTCATTTCATACTAAGGTCTAGGGGTGTTCCATTGACTCCGTGAACAGGTGGGAGGGGTTAACTCCTTTTGCAGATTGAAACCATTGGATCTGAGTTTACTGTGACGTATGTAATGAGCCCGAGTGAGTTGTTAGCATTTAGCCTAGCTTTAGCATTTAGCCTAGCTTTAGCCATCTCTTTTGCCGCTAACGGAGCCCGTGAGGAGTAGCGCCACAATCTTTGCCAGTGATTACATTTGCTAAACGTTCCTCTTGTTCTAGCTTCAGTTTCTTGATAGAACCAGACCAGAATACTTTACTATCGCATTCTTTGCCAAACAACAACCTGCCCGTTCAGCGCTCACTGATTGGTCGGATGGAATTCAACCAATTGTATTCGCAAACACAGGGACCAGACCCAGACGTTACATGCAGTGAAATGATCATTGAGAGTACGGATGGATAAGACCAGGCTAGGGCGATACAGAAATACAGTGAATTTAAATAGAATTGCATGTTTTCTTCAGAGCCATAATAATGAGATAAAAGTCACTATGGGATTTTGAGGTTGAAATAGTAGTAGTAGTAATCTTTATTTATATACCGCCTTTTCACTGCAGATCTGAGTCTCAAAGCGGTTTACAATTGTTAATGTTGGGCATTTGTCTCTCACTCCACACAGAGATGGGAGAGGGGCCAGTACAGGAGGCACATGCCAGAACTATTGGACATATTTTTAGTGGTAGGGGAAACCGGAGCACCCGGAGGAAACCTACGCAGACACAGGGAGAACATGAAAACTCCACTCAGAAAGGCCCTGGTCCGACCGGGATTCAAACCCAGGACCTTCTTGCTGAGAGGCGAGAGTGCTATCCACTCAGCCACCGTGCCGAAATATAAAGTTGGAATAATGTCCTTCTTGTCTTAGTGCTATACTCTTGTTTCAAACCCATTTTTATTCTAGTTTAGTTTTTAACTTGAACCACACTAGCTTGGTCGCTATAATCCAGCATATTTACATTTGTTTTTTCCTGATATTCATTAACGTGCATTGTCGCTATCAAATAAATAAATAAATAAGCTAAACAGACGTAAAGCTAACATAAATATCTTGCTAACTCACATGCACCTTTAAACGCAGCCCTTTGTGGCGGACGCAGCAGCAGTGGGTGATATTCCTGGAGGCAGCTACTCGAAAGCTTGCACCTGTTTCCTAATGGTGCAGACAGCCAGGCTTGGAAGCAGCCATCTGTACTTCCTGAATGAGCGTCCCAGGGCAGCTGCGGCCACCTCATCATGTCATTCACCCGTCTGACACCGGCCTCCAGTGTCCTCACATTATCGTCACATGAGTCTGAATGTGATGTGATTGAAATGTATCTGTGTGATTTAAAAGGCTACAGGCTAATAACCTGGCAAGAGCCAGATTGATGATTGTGTAGAACTCTAACGCGTTCTCCGCGATATCAATCTGGGATTTCTCACGGAGAATCCTTTCGGGGAAAGGAGGGATAAGCAGCAGAATACTTGAAGCTGATTGGGCGAAGTGACGCTGTGTGCCCGCCTACCAAGGTTTGACTTACGTAGGTAAAAATGCACAAACATCTTTGCCGTCCAGAAATGCACAAAGCGCCTCTCGCTGTTCATCTTTCAAAAAAGAAATTGGAGATTCTGCTAAAACTGACTTGATAGCCTCAGCTACGCGTCCGTCCTCCTGCGAAGCCATGTTTGTTTTGCTTCGGCCCGGCACTTCTTGCTTTCGTCAAACCCGGATATCCCGCCCTAAACCCCCAGACTGGCGCGTGATTGGCTCGCACACCCAGTGGTTCGACTCGAAAAGTGTAAGCGGGAGCGGTACAAGATGTATTCTCGAGTGTTTGTGAACTCACAAATACCGCGAGAATTCAGCTTGCAGGCAAGGTTAACAGGCTAATGCTGAATGAGCAAACACAGGGAAAAGTTTAGTTTCTTTGATCAGTGGTACACACATGATGCACAACGACAGCTACACAATACACACTATATCTATGTTGTTGTGTGTGTGGGTGTGTGGGTGTGTGGGTCAGTGTGTGTGTGTGTCTATGTTCATTTTCTATATCTATTTTGTTAAGTGTGTGTGTGTCCGTGTCTGTCTGTGTGTGTGCGTGTGTGTGTGTAGCAGGGACCAGGATACGGATGTGTAGATAATGTAAGCGTAGTGCTTCCAGCGGCTCTGAATCAGTTTGTGAGGATTGTTTACTTGAGGGAAGGAGCCTCAGACAAACATCCTGTTTTGAAAAGCAGTCCTGGATCGGCCCTTTGACAGTGAGGGCTCCAGGGGCCGAGGCTTGTTGTGACTCTATGATGTCTGTTGCTACTCTATGATGTCTGTTGTGACCAGTGTGGGCGGGTCCCAGCTCAAAAGTGGCCAAAATGATGTGCGCTGACATGCTGCAATACCACCCCGGGCCTGTGGGGGTGGACCCGGAAGTAGAATTAGCCAATGCTAACATATAGCATCGGCAGACCTCTCAAAAACGTCAAAAGTTGGCTCTTGGCCCAAAGCTCCGTTCCACATGTGTGTCAATGCTGAGGGGGGTGAATTTTTTTGGACCACTCTAGTTTACTCGCTGTGAATTTTTGAAGTCTCTTGTTCAAATGAATGGAGTTGCGCCGGCTGACGCATGCGCAGATGCGTTTTTTTCACAATTTTCTTGTGGGCGGGACCACTCGTGGCCATTTTGGATAGCTCCAGTCAAGCACATTCTTTGGCCCATTAGTTAGAACGGCGGAGATAGGCGTGACTCTGTCCGTTAATATATACAGTCTTTGGTTGTGACTCTATGATGGATATTCAGTGAAATGAGTAGACAGAAGACTGACCCTGTCCGCACAGGTCAGAGGGTCAGGAGCATAGGTTAGAGAGTCAGGAGCCCAGGTCAGAGGGTCAGGAGCCCAGGTCAGAGAGTCAGGAGCCCAGGTCAGAGAGTCAGGAGCCCAGGTCAGAGGGTCAGGAGCCCAGGTCAGAGGGTCAGGAGCCCAGGTCAGAGGTTCAGGAGCCCAGGTCAGAGGGTCAGGAGCCCAGGTCAGAGGGTCAGGAGCCCAGGTCAGAGAGTCAGGAGCCCAGGTCAGAGAGTCAAGAGCCCAGGTCAGAGGGCCAGGAGCCCAGGTCAGAGGGTCAGGAGCCCAGGTCAGAGGGTCAGGAGCCCAGGTCAGAGGGCCAGGAGCCCAGGTCAGAGGGTCAGGAGCCCAGGTCAGAGGGTCAGGAGCACAGGTCAGAGGGTCAGGAGCACAGGTCAGAGGGTCAGGAGCCCAGGTCAGAGGGTCAGGAGCCCAGGTCAGAGGGCCAGGAGCCCAGGTCAGAGGGTCAGGAGCCCAGGTCAGAGGGTCAGGAGCACAGGTCAGAGGGTCAGGAGCACAGGTCAGAGGGTCAGGAGCCCAGGTCAGAGGGTCAGGAGCCCAGGTCAGAGGGTCAGGAGCCCAGGTCAGAGGGTCAGGAGCCCAGGTCAGAGGGCCAGGAGCCCAGGTCAGAGGGTCAGGAGCCCAGGTCAGAGGGTCAGGAGCACAGGTCAGAGGGTCAGGAGCCCAGGTCAGAGGGTCAGGAGCCCAGGTCAGAGGGTCAGGAGCCCAGGTCAGAGGGTCAGGAGCCCAGGTCAGAGAGTCAGGAGCCCAGGTCAGATGGTCAGGAGCCCAGGTCAGAGGGTCAGGAGCATAGGTCAGAGGGTCAGGAGCCCAGGTCAGAGGGCCAGGAGCCCAGGTCAGAGGGTCAGGAGCCCAGGTCAGAGAGTCAGGAGCCCAGGTCAGAGGGTCAGGAGCCCAGGTCAGAGAGTCAGGAGCCCAGGTCAGATGGTCAGGAGCCCAGGTCAGAGAGTCAGGAGCATAGGTCAGAGGGTCAGGAGCCCAGGTCAGAGAGTCAGGAGCATAGGTCAGAGGGTCAGGAGCCCAGGTCAGAGGGTCAGGAGCCCAGGTCAGAGGGTCAGGCCCTGAGTAACAAACAGAATCTGTGGTATGTTAGTGTTGGTTCAGAGAGGCTCCTGAGCGGCTCCTGAGCGGCTCCGTAGAGAACAATAGTCACGGTTATTAGACGAGGCGCTGGCCCTGACACCGCAGAGATTACAGAGGATTACGGGTGATCGGGTGAAAGGGAAACAACCATTCTGAATCTGAAGCAACACAGAGTTTAGTGTTTTGGTTCATACTCACAGAGAAAAGTTCTTGGTCGCAGATCGAAACCATGAAACAACACGGGACCATGTATGTAAAAGTTCATTATGACTTCTTTATGTTTAAATCGTATTTATTGTTTCAGTTTGTTTAAAACCAGCTCAGTCCCAGTTCAGTTTAAGATGAGGACTTAGAGATGATAGAGCCAGTGGGGGTCCTGGCTCAAAAAGGTCCAAAATGACCTGCGCTGACATGCTGCAATACCACCCCGGGCCTGAGGGGGTGGACCCGGAATAAGAATTATTCAATACTAATGTATAGTATTTTCTTACCTCTCGAAAACGTCTTTACAGGAGGTCCAAAAGTGGCTCTTGGTCCAAAGCTACGTTCCACATGTGTCAATGCTGAGGGGAGTGTATATTTTTGGACCAGTCTAGTTTAGTCGCTGTGGACTTTTGAATGCACTCATTAAATGAATAAGGCTAGTACAGCTAACACATGCGCAATTGCGGTTTTTCACATTTTCCAGCCCCGCAGTCATTTTGAGACTGCCCATAGACGGCAAAAGTGGTGGCACATTAGTTTCGACGGTGGAGATAGGCGTGACTTTGTTAATATTTACAGTCTATGGATGGAGGCCACAGATCTCAGAGGAACTATGAGAGCAGTCAGGACAGCAGGAGCTCCATACAATCATTTACAAAACTAACTAAAGGTAGTCTCTGCAACACCTGACGATGCTGTGTTCTTATTGGCTTTTTAAATAATACTCAGTATTTTGACCTCGCTGTTTCACACTGTGGGAATCCATCCATGGTCTCCCAAGATTTAAAGCAGCACATCGCAGTTGCAGCTATAGCGTGCGCGTTGGATATTCTTTTATCGCAGAAGGACAGGGACCCGGTTCTTCTCGCACGCTAACGTGTGTGTGTGTGTGTGTGTGTGTGTGTGGCAGCGTGGGACTGAGGCCTCCTGACAGTCACGGTCCAGCCGTCTGTCCTGTTCAGACACAGCCTCCCAGATAAGAAATCATGTGCTGCTTTCATCTTCTCTTCAAAAAAACTCTGACCTCTACAGACAGATTTATTTTGACTGATAAACTAGACTCGGTTTTTTTGGTGTGTGAACTTTTATCTCATGAGTGAAACAGTCTCAAGTCTTGTTATGGACGACATGAGGATGTATGTGAGGTTCATGTGACATCAGAACCTTCTTATGTTTGTTGTTGAGGCCAGAGACAGCTCCGTGGGATTTTAAATATACAGACTCTCCCACATTTATGCACTTTATTCACATTTATGGGCAGTGGTCATCTGCCCCTTATGAACCAATGGCTCTTAAGTTTTTTTTATCTGTGTTTGAACTGTATGATTCTCTGATCTGTGTTGGCGAATCGACAGCTTTGTGTAGTCCCCTGAGATAACTACTGCTGTGATTTATTTGACGCCCCTGCTTGTTGACGTGGAGATGTAGCTTTGTCTGGTTTTATGTATGCGTTTGAAAAGAGCTAAGGTATAAGAGGATGTAACTTTGTCTTGAGAAACCAGTCTTATCGTACATGATTTTAGTAGTCGGGGAAACCGGAGCACCCGGAGAAAACCTATGCAGACACGGGGAGAACATGGGAACACAGTACAGCTGTGTACAGATTTAGAGTTTATTATGCTAAAGCTAGACATGTTCTACTTGCTTCTTCGTTATGCTTAAGTCAGAGATTTAATTTCATTTTAGTCTATTGTTCAGTTACTGCAACACTGACATTTCCTCACTGTAGGACAAATAAAGCATAATTAGCAAAATTAAGTCCCCTAAAGTCTTCCTCTCCACCCACATGATCGGTGTCTCCAATTAAATTTTATTGTCGATAATTGAGTCATCATTATTGATCAATAAAACCATAGTCACTGAAATCCTGGGGCTAGCTACAACATACAGGCTAACGCTAAATGTCCACAATACAATACAACTTATTCTTGTATTTCCCTAAATCACAACAGCATCATCTCAGAGACTTAACAAAACCATTGAAATCACCAACACAGATCAGAGAATCAACAGTTAGCACAGAAAATACACATTTGTATAGGTCCATAAGGAGACCAGTGTCCATGAATGTTGATGGTCCATACATGTTGTAGAATATTAAAGTGTCCTGGATCATCACAGTCCTTTTTGTTAGACACTATTGTCCAACAGACTTCTGCATCAGAGGAAAAACTCTAAAACCCAGTGGGAAAAAAGTGAGAAACCTCGGGTAGACCCACATTGAGAGAAGGGTCCTCTCCACACGGACAGACAGGCTGTAGATCTAATAATAACCACTAATTTCTTTAACATTTAAAATCAATGCGTTTTACAATCCTCATAAATTCACACATTTCCAGCACTAAATACATGTGTGATATTAAGAACAATAACTTCCTTCCTTCAAAACAACCAAACTGAACCAGGTCAGAAGTTCAAGTCACAATCTGTGCTTTTCAAAACGATGTGAGTGGAATTCTGTCGTTGTGGAAACACTTTAACGACAACAGAAAAGTCCTGCATTTTTCATGAGGACGTTTGGATCACTTTTGGGATCCAAACAGAAGTTTCAGATGCTACGAAGCTAGTTTCAGATGCTATGAAGCTAGTTTCAGATGCTACAAAGCTAGTTTCAGATGCTATGAAGCTAGTTTCAGATGCTACAAAGCTAGTTTCAGATGCTATGAAGCTAGTTTCAGATGCTATGAAGCTAGTTTCAGATGCTACGAAGCTAGTTTCAGATGCTACGAAGCTAGTTTCAGATGCTACGAAGCTAGTTTCAGATGCTATGAAGCTAGTTTCAGATGCTACGAAGCTAGTTTCAGATGCTATGAAGCTAGTTTCAGATGCTATGAAGCTAGTTTCAGATGCTACGAAGCTAGTTTCAGATGCTATGAAGCTAGTTTCAGATGCTACGAAGCTAGTTTCAGATGCTACAAAGCTAGTTTCAGATGCTACAAAGCTAGTTTCAGATGCTACAAAGCTAGTTTCAGATGCTACAAAGCTAGTTTCAGATGCTACAAAGCTAGTTTCAGATGCTACAAAGCTAGTTTCAGATGCTACAAAGCTAGTTTCAGATGCTACAAAGCTAGTTTCAGATGCTACGAAGCTAGTTTCAGATGCTATGAAGCTAGTTTCAGATGCTACGAAGCTAGTTTCAGATGCTATGAAGCTAGTTTCAGATGCTACAAAGCTAGTTTCAGATGCTATGAAGCTAGTTTCAGATGCTATGAAGCTAGTTTCAGATGCTATGAAGCTAGTTTCAGATGCTATGAAGCTAGTTTCAGATGCTATGAAGCTAGTTTCAGATGCTATGAAGCTAGTTTCAGATGCTACAAAGCTAGTTTCAGATGCTATGAAGCTAGTTTCAGATGCTACGAAGCTAGTTTCAGATGCTACGAAGCTAGTTTCAGATGCTATGAAGCTAGTTTCAGATGCTACAAAGCTAGTTTCAGATGCTATGAAGCTAGTTTCAGATGCTATGAAGCTAGTTTCAGATGCTATGAAGCTAGTTTCAGATGCTATGAAGCTAGTTTCAGATGCTATGAAGCTAGTTTCAGATGCTACGAAGCTAGTTTCAGATGCTACGAAGCTAGTTTCAGATGCTACAAAGCTAGTTTCAGATGCTATGAAGCTAGTTTCAGATGCTATGAAGCTAGTTTCAGATGCTACAAAGCTAGTTTCAGATGCTACGAAGCTAGTTTCAGATGCTATGAAGCTAGTTTCAGATGCTATGAAGCTAGTTTCAGATGCTACGAAGCTAGTTTCAGATGCTACAAAGCTAGTTTCAGATGCTATGAAGCTAGTTTCAGATGCTACAAAGCTAGTTTCAGATGCTATGAAGCTAGTTTCAGATGCTATGAAGCTAGTTTCAGATGCTATGAAGCTAGTTTCAGATGCTACGAAGCTAGTTTCAGATGCTACGAAGCTAGTTTCAGATGCTACAAAGCTAGTTTCAGATGCTATGAAGCTAGTTTCAGATGCTATGAAGCTAGTTTCAGATGCTGCGAAGCTAGTTTCAGATGCTATGAAGCTAGTTTCAGATGCTATGAAGCTAGTTTCAGATGCTACGAAGCTAGTTTCAGATGCTACGAAGCTAGTTTCAGATGCTATGAAGCTAGTTTCAGATGCTACGAAGCTAGTTTCAGATGCTATGAAGCTAGTTTCAGATGCTATGAAGCTAGTTTCAGATGCTACGAAGCTAGTTTCAGATGCTATGAAGCTAGTTTCAGATGCTACGAAGCTAGTTTCAGATGCTACAAAGCTAGTTTCAGATGCTACAAAGCTAGTTTCAGATGCTACAAAGCTAGTTTCAGATGCTACAAAGCTAGTTTCAGATGCTACAAAGCTAGTTTCAGATGCTACAAAGCTAGTTTCAGATGCTACAAAGCTAGTTTCAGATGCTACAAAGCTAGTTTCAGATGCTACGAAGCTAGTTTCAGATGCTATGAAGCTAGTTTCAGATGCTACGAAGCTAGTTTCAGATGCTATGAAGCTAGTTTCAGATGCTACAAAGCTAGTTTCAGATGCTATGAAGCTAGTTTCAGATGCTATGAAGCTAGTTTCAGATGCTATGAAGCTAGTTTCAGATGCTATGAAGCTAGTTTCAGATGCTATGAAGCTAGTTTCAGATGCTACAAAGCTAGTTTCAGATGCTATGAAGCTAGTTTCAGATGCTACGAAGCTAGTTTCAGATGCTACGAAGCTAGTTTCAGATGCTATGAAGCTAGTTTCAGATGCTACAAAGCTAGTTTCAGATGCTATGAAGCTAGTTTCAGATGCTACGAAGCTAGTTTCAGATGCTACGAAGCTAGTTTCAGATGCTATGCTAGTTTCAGATGCTTAGTTCTCAGAAGCTAGT